GAAGCCAGAGCAGGGCCTGGCCGGGACGGCTAGTTTTAAACTAAAACACAAAAAAAAAAAAAAAAAAACCAACAGACCTCCACAGTCCTTAAGTCTTGGTACCGCAAACACGTTCGTTCTGTTATCTTCAACTTACGCACCAGCACCGAAGTCTACTGTGCCGTCTCTGCGTTTTCTGGTCGTAGTGTCCGGTCGTGGTTCGTTGTGTATACGCTACCACTAGAATCTAAGAATGTTCCTGAAGGTCATACCCTAGCTGTAAAAGTTACTAAAAGTGTCAGTCCGTCTTCCCCATAGGTTACCTGTTGCTATTTTTCCCGGCCCCGCATCCTATTGTCACGCCCCGGTCAGTTTCAGAAAGTTTATAGTGTCGTAAACTGTAAGCCGTCCTGTAGTCCGCGAGCATGCCTGTGTGTTCAATTTAACAGCTTGTCCAGTACAATGCTGTCAGCGATCGTCTTCCTGGGGACCACAGCAATTATGGTCACTCTGGCCACGCCCGGGTTGAAACGTGGGTATAGGTGATTCGTCGCGCTGTCCCCACCCCTAAAACAGCAGGGCCACTGTTGTCGTAACTTACCCTAGTTATATATATATATATATATATATATATATATATATATATATATATATATATATATATATATATATATATATATATATATACATATATTAATTAGAAATACAAATAGAGAAGCATTTTTTTTAACTTACCCTAGTTACATATATATATATATATATATATATATATATATATATATATATATATATATATATATATATATATATATATATATAGCTTAATTAGAAATACAAATAGAGAAGCATTTTTTTAAATTGTACTTATCTAGATGAAAACATTGACTACGGCTAAATCCCAAGGAATGAACAACTGAAATGTATTAATAATGAGTGGAACTTGGGGGCGGGGAAATAGTTGCGGGACATGTCGTGGGGGGGGGGGCTGTATGCCATGCCCTACCAAAAGAGTCTCATCCGGTTTTGTATTACCTTACGGGACCTCGGCCACAAAAAAAGTTGTCCGTGTCTACAATTAAGGCGTTACCAAAAGAGTCTCATCCGGTTTTGTATTACCTTACGGGACTTCGGCCACAAAAAAAGTTGTCCGTGTCTACAATTAAGGCGTCAGATACGCCTTTATTTATGAGCTGCTTTTCTCTTGGCCTGCTCAGGAATTTCTACAGGGTAATTAATACAGGAGCGAGTGTGCATTGAACTCGAGATGTTTCACATTTGTATATCTAAACCAGTCGGTCAAAAGGTCAATGCTATAAGGCAGTATAAGGAGATGTTCAAACTGTTTGAACCTTGAATATAACAGACGTGAACCTTGGTTGGCTAAAGCTACCAGCCCTACCACACCTTACAACGTTAAAAAAACTTCTACATCGTTCGGTGTCTTACCATCCATTCTGCTATGTCAGGCACTCCCTACAACTAAGGACGAGTTTCCCTAAATGTAACACCCAGGTAACGACTTCCTATCAGGTTCAGGTGGGGGATAATTCACTAACGGTAAGCATGGTCTGCCCCTCACCCCACCCACCCCACATTGCATGTGTTGACAAAGTAGATTGATATAGCAAAACTTTTTAATAGGGAAAATAGTACGTGTCCTTATAAACAATTAGTACATTGATCAATATTTAATACATAAGATGATAGCATTATGTTTAAGAATTATTTTTAAAGCCGTTTACCAAGAACGAGGAAAATATTAAATAATTTGACACCTGCTCCTCCCCCCCTCCCCCTCTCCCCTAGTATAGACAGTGCCTTTTTTTTTAACGTCCATTGCTGTAACTCGCACAAGATTCTTCAGCTTACATCGCTGTTTAAGGTTGCCAACAACAAAGCCTCGTGACCTTTCAAGTATTCATGAAATGGAAGTGTGCATAGTTTAGGCATTAAGGCCTTTTAAGTTATTAGGTGCAAAGTCGTGTAGAAAAGAAAAATGGTAATTAAAATTTTATTTGAAATATATTTTGCTCAAATTCTGTTGTACATTATGACTTTCACAGTTTAAGCAGCATTACAACAATACTACATAATAGCAATGACAAACTACTTTTAACAATGGAGATGTTTACCAAACGCTTACAAGGCGTGTTGCGTTCATTTACTACTGACTTTGCACGTGTAGGTTATTCGCTTAGTTTATTGTTACACATTGTGACTCTCGTTTGTTCTTTGTTATAAAAAAGTGTAAATAAACAAAAGTGAAGTTTTTAAAAAACCAAATGAATAATAATACATGAACGTCGTAGTCCTATCGGTATAAAAACTACACTACGCATTCACTCAGTTAGGGGTTGTCCAAAAATGACGTCACACTCGTCGGGGGGGGGGGGGGAGGGAGGGGGTCCGTAATTTTGTGACGGTGTGTGATGAGGGGGTTGGGGGGGGGGTGTTCAGATGGTGCGACGTCACACTTTTGCATTATAAAATGCAATGTTAGAAAACGAATTTTAGACATTATTTCGCGTTTTAAAAAACTGTTTTAACAAACTGTAATAGGAATTGATTAAAATACTCTATTTTGACAGAGTTCAGACAAGATTTTGGAAAAATATCGTTGTTTTAAAAAAAAAAAATTTAGGAAGGGTCTGGCTTTTTGTGACGATGTGTGACGGAGGGGAGGGGGGAGGAAAAAATCGTCCAAAAAGCGGGACGTCATTTATGGATGACCCATTAATGAACGTCGTAAAAAAGTGAGGCTCCATATTTAACGCGAGTCCAGCTGTTTCCCTTTGGTTTATGATCGGTGTAAGCTACAAGAGAGCACGTCTCTGTTTGTTGACTCCGTGTGGTGGGCGCTGTTGGGCGGGGAGTTGGACATACCTGGACCAGGCATAGTTTGAGACCCGTTCACACACACTGAACATGTGAACATGTTGACTTGTTCACGCACTTTGACTACGGTTTAAACCTGCTTGCATACATCTGTCTGCACCTCACTGCTTGCATACATCTGTCTGCACCTTATCGTTTGCATACATGTCCTTAATTTTTGTCGCGATTAACACTTTCTGTTTTTATTTATTAAATTTAGACTGCCACACTGCAACTACCATCTTCATATGTTTACTTTAGTCCAGAAATCGGAAAACAGACTATAAGGTTTTACTTCTGTGAAAACATCCTGTGTCAAAACGTCATCGACAAACTGGCCGCGAGTAATGTGGCCCCCTCAAAATAGCCCTGTCAAATGGAAGGGTGGTGATGGTGGAGATACCTAAAAGTTGGACGGCCATATAGTGTGGGGCCTGATGAAAGCTTATGGTGCGGGGAGTTGGACGGCCATATAGTGTGTGGCCTTATTAAAGCTTATGGTGTGGGGAGTTGGACGGCCATATAGTGTGTGGCCTTATTAAAGCTTATGGTGTAGGGAGTTGGACGGCCATATAGTGTGTGGCCTGATGAAAGCTTATGGTGCGGGGAGTTGGACGGCCATATAGTGTGTGGCCTGATGAAAGGCTTATGGTGTGGAGAGTTGGACGGCCATATAGTGTGTAGCCTTATAAAGGCTTGTGTTGTGGAGAGTTGGACGGCCATATAGTGTGTGGCCTGATGAAAGCTTATGGTGCGGGGAGTTGGACGGCCATATAGTGTGTGGCCGTATAAAGGCTTGTGTTGTGGGGAGTTGGACGGCCATATGATATATGTCCAAATGAAGGTTTACAGTTTATATTATTGTGAGTTGACTAGTCAGGGACATTTAATAACGGGACGTTTTTACGCGTCACCGTGAGTTACTTAGTTGCACGATCATTCCACACGCCCCTGTCAAATTTGATCCCTTCTACGACTTGACCAGATAAACGGTCGGCAGACCAAATGTGGGATCCTATTACCACCAGGCAACAAGCTGTATCCCTACTGTTTCCCCGGCTGCTTACAGCTTACCTTGATAAGATTTTTTTAAAAACAAACAACTCAGGGGAGTAAACCCGCCCAGTGGTGCAAACAAGAAGCGGAAGCTGGGAGGTTAAAACGATTACTTCTGCACACACGACGTACAAATACGGAGTTGGCCAGTTTTTTTCACACCAGTTTTGAGAAACTTTTAGAACACGCACCTCATCACTTGTGTTTATTTATTTTCAGTGTCTGTCAGTAAGTTTGATCTGATTAATACAGTTTTAGCAAGCAAGTTTTTTCCCCATTTTTTTTCTGGACTGTGTATTGTTTGGCTATGGAAGTAAATTAACAACACGGCGATAATTGTGCAGCTTTAAGCGTGCATCGTAGCTTTGGACAATCATAGTAAGTTGTTAGGGGAGTTTCTTTTTCAACAGTTGTGTGTTTAAAATCACCAACCCAATGACGATTTTAAAGAGGGTATTTAACCATTTAACATTATATAATGTATAAATAATGTAAAGGTCTTCGCATACACAAGTAGCTAATAGGATTTGTTCCCCTTGTAAATGTAAACTTCAAATATCATATGTAGCAGATAACTTAATGTGTATGTAGTCTATATGTATATTTTGCGCAATGGGGGGGGGGGGGGGGAGATTACAATAGCCATTACATCCATGTGTTTATTTATATTTAATTATTTTTTTTCTGTATTTTTAAATGCACATTTTAAAATATCTTATCAACAACCCCACTGTCCGAAATTCACTGCCAGAGCCACTACCCCACTGTCCACCCTTTAACTCATTGTCCGACCAATGTACTACCTCACCACCTCGTTGTCTGAATTACCACCACCTCACTGTCCGAAAGTCACAGCCCTATCTACCACTTAAATATTTGACCCAAATATACAACTGCCCGACACAATTTTTCTACTGCCGACCTAACGCCTCACTTCCCGACTCACCATTTCACTCTCCGACCACCTTTCTCATTGTCCGGCCCTCTACCTCATTGTCCGACTATACAGATGACCTCTGTCCGACCTAATACCTCTTCACGTTCATTTAATGTTTAAAAAACTCTTATAAAAATGCTCTACATAGATTAGCCGCAAACCAAGTAAAAATGGTGAGCAAGTCACCGTCATCACTGGTGGTGACCATCATCATAGCTCTACTGGCTCTCGGAGTGGGGCTCGTTGTAGGATACCTCCTGCGCCCCTTTCCAGAGGCAGACCGTGATCACAAGGTGCTCGAAGGGTGGATAAGTGACGTAGAGGGGGCAGGCAACGACAAGTCAGCTGCCCTAGAAATGTTGCGAGACTGCGGGCAGTTAGCAAGAGAGGAGCCTGCGATTAGCAAGTAGGTCATTTATATTGTCTGTGTGTCCGTTTTCTCATGTCCATACAGTATAAGTTAGTATCAAGTAGGTCATTTATATTGTCTGTGTTCCGTTTTCCGACGCCATTACTATTAGCAACTTAATTTTACGTCCAATATTAAAATAGGACCATAGGGGATAAACCTCAGTTCTCATAGGTTTTTACTTTTGAGAAAAAAATAGATCTTGTGTTTGAGATCTTTTGCTGTGGCATGATTTTAAAATCCTAAATATTTAGGGGATCGAGGTGGTTTTAGGGTTTCATAGATATACACTAGTACCACATGAATATAGCACTAACGCAAAAAGTGGACAACCGTGTGGTCTTCTTAGAGTTTAACCCTTAAGTCTTGTCTGTAATGACGCCTCGTGTTGTTTGATTTTTTTAGCCCACAGCCCCTGGCTAAAAAACTTACTCCCCCCCCCCCCTTCCGCCGTCTAAATCTCCAAGATTGTAATATCATAATATGTTTCAAGATCATTTAAGCTTTTTAAAAACGTACGTTTGGCAAGGTTAATAATAGTTTGATGGTTGAGCTTTAAATAAGTCCTGAAAATATTTTCTCACTGTCTGGTAAACAGAGGCGGCAATCGGTGGGGTGTCACTCTATACAGACTTCACCCAAGTGACCCAACCACCCTCCTTGTGACTCTAATGCTACTAGTTGCTTCTTCAATACTTCTGTCAATAATTTTAAGCTCTAAAATTTATCCCCCCCCCCTTCGCCACTGTAGACATTTAATAGAAAGTGACGTAGAAGCGTGCCGCGCGTTGACGTGTGACCTCCCCTACCCTCGAACCCACGTCATCTACAAGCTGAAGGGAGATGTCATTGACTTGGATGGGAAGTTGGACGAGAAGGCGTGGAAAAGTGTGGGCTGGACCGATTCTTTCGTTGGTAAGTTTCTTTTTAGTGATGTTTTCTTTTCAGTCACCAGTAGCATAAGCGTGATAAATTCAATTTTCCATGTGGTTTTCGGTAGGTTTTCAAGATTTACGGAATTATCTTATTCCCCTCAATAGATTTAATTAAAAAATTATCTGAAATTTGTCATAACTGAATCTGTATAGCTTGAATGATAAGAAAATGACAAGTTTTTTGTATGACAACGACCCCCATACCGAAATGTGAATTTTAATCGTTATAAAGTAAGGACTAGCCCAGTGGCGGAACTAGAAAAAAAGGGCCACCCCGCAAAATATTTTTTGAGGCTCCCCCCCTATATATATATATATATATATATATATATATATATATATATATATATATATATATATATACACACACACACACACACATACGAACGTAGGATATTCATTTCGGGCCTAATCTAGTTTTAAAAAACGCATTGTTTTAAAAAATACATAATACTTTTATTTTCAATTCAAACAAATTACAACTACATGTCATGTGTTTAAGCACATTAGTCAGTTTTGCAATTATGTGTGTCACTTTTGATGTCGGCCGTATAGATTCACATTCGCAAGCCGGTCAAAAGGATATAAAACGTGAAAGCTGTGTATGTGTAATGGTTTCTCGTGTTATGTTTATTCTTATGTTTTGTTTAATTTATATTATTAATTTTTGTTTAAAATCCCTTTTATACGATGTCATTCTTTAGTTTGTATTTTATAAAAAATATTAATTAAGAGAAGTAATTGCTTTTCAATTTGCGTAGTACAAAACTATTAAAAGGAGTTTATGGGCACTTCTATTTGACTATTAAAAAAAAGGGAAATAAGTCATGGACGTGGTTTGATTGCTTGTTTATCTTGCACACTAAAGCTTAAGTATATTTTTTTTTCTTTTACGCAACAGCGTGTGTTAGCTAATGTAGAGCATCACTACTGTAGTAGTTTTTTTTTTTTTACAAAACCATTATTAAGGGGCACGAAAACGTAATTTTGGAATACAAAGTCATTGCTTGTTGGTCGGATTTTGGGCCCCTAAACGGCCTGGGCCCCCCCCCCCCCCCCCCCGCATTGCGGAGTCTGGCGGTATGGTAGTTCCGCCCCTGGACTAGCCATATTTTCTATATCATTTATGTTGCTTTTCTTTTCGACTCCACCAAATTTTGGTACATTTTTTATAAGGGAAATAACCCTGCTACAAGATTTTTGCCAAAAAATAACTACTGAGTAGTTTCCCTTTGTTTGAACATCTCATTTAATTATTATAAATTTATTATTGAGAATTTTAGCAAACCAATGTACTTTATTCATTGGTCATTTTTCATAACAATGTTTTAAAAATTGAAATTAAAAAGTACTGTATAAAAAAATCCCGCTTAAAAATGCACCAGTGTGTCGTCACAATCTGATCCCCCATGAAGTGTGACATCGTTTGTGGATACCCCCTGATATGTAACAAAACGCCAATAAAAAAAAAAGCTAAAATGTCGTTTCTAAAGCTCCGACTGTTTTACTTTAAAATCACTGAGAAATGCATGAGGGTAAATGTTCTCCTCACACAGATATCCAGGGCAGGGGTTTCGCCACACCTCGCCTGGACACCAAGCTGAAGATGCGTTATGACGACAGTTTCTTGTACCTGGGCGTTTACCTTGAGGAGCCAGACGTGTGGGCAAACGTTACACTGCATGATGGGACAGGTAAGTCACGTGCAACCTGTTTCATTTTGTTGCAACTGAAAGTGAAAAAAGGTTATTTAGTAGAGATAGAGTTGTAAAGCGTCGATTTCTTACCTGATACGCTGAGTTGCTCTTAGATAAGAAAGAAAAGCGCTGTCAGATCTATTGTTGGTGTGAGGTGAGAGCGAATCTGTCAGATCTATTGTTAGTGTGAGGTGCGTGTGAATCTGTCAGATATATTGTTGGTGTAAGGTGAGAGCAAATCTAACAGATCTATTGTTGGTGTGAGGTGAGAGCGAATCTGTCAGATCTATTGTTGGTGTGAGGTGAGAGCGAATCTGTCAGATATATTGTTGGTGTGAGGTGAGAGCAAATATGTCAGATATATTGATATTGTTGGTGTGAGGACGAGGTGAGAGCAAATCTAACAGATCTATTGTTGGTGTGAGTGAATCTGTCAGATCTATTGTTGGTGTGAGGTGAGAGTGAATCTGTCAGATCTATTGTTGGTGTGAGGTGAGAGCAAATCTAACAGATCTATTGTTGGTGTGAGGTGAGAGCGAATCTAACAGATCTATTGTTGGTGTGAGGTGAGAGTGAATCTGTCAGATCTATTGTTGGTGTGAGGTGAGAGTGAATCTGTCAGATCTATTGTTGGTGTGAGGTGAGAGCAAATCTAACAGATCTATTGTTGGTGTGAGGTGAGAGCGAATCTGTCAGATATATTGTTGGTGTAAGGTGAGTGCGAATCTGACAGATATATTGTTGGTGTAAGGTGAGTGCGAATCTGACAAAAAGAAACAGAAGATTAGACAAATAAAGCGTGTAAGTTATTTGTTGTGAGGGTGTTTTTCTTTTATTAATGATTGGGGGGGGGGGATTTGCGTGAAAAGGGATGTTATTAGTAAAGTGTAATTTTGTTATTAGGCCATAGGAATGTTGCTGATGATATGGACATTGTATATTAACCGGTATCCCTTATAATTTAAAGCCTTTATTTTAAAATATAAAGGCCGTTATGTTTGTCTTTAAAAAAAATTAGGTCGATCTAATTATTTTTCATTTCTGGTTCATTTTGTTCTGTTACAAATGTGTATGACGTAGGCCCCTATAAATATATATTACCTATGCCTGTAGACACTTCAACAATGATTTCACTGTTTGATATGTTTACTAATCTAATATCTTAATCCCGTGCTTTCCACAGTCTATCAAGACAACTCATTTCAGGTAAGTTGGCATCCTTAATAGACATTAAACATAGAAATACAATCCTCTTGACTTGGGGAGTGAGTAGTGGCGTTACTAGGGAAAGGGGGAGGGGCGAGTGGTCAACCAGGAAGACATTTCTCTACTACATGTAGCCTATTCTGACCCCTTGTGTGACCTCCAAGGTAGGTATGCTACCACAAGCATATAGATCTACGTGTGCTCCTGATTTTTTTTACTGCGAGTAAGTTTATTTACATAAGGCTAGTGCCTAAATACACTTGTGTATTTTTTGTTCGTGGAAACTAAATGTCATTTTTTTATTAACAGATCTTGATGGATACCAGACAAAGTAATGTGAAGTAAGTTACCAAAGTCTATGTGTACTGTGTACATAGCCTACATGTTTGACCTTAGAAATACAGCAGGTATACGAATTTAATTCGCTCAAAACCAGCATGTTGTGCTATAGAGTACCGTTTTAATGTATATCAGGCAACAAGTTGACTTGTTGCAAAAACTTCAGTTCTACATTCTGAATGGGCAATGTATTACCATACCTTTATTTCAGCTACAAAGAGATCACCGTAAATGCTAGAGGCATTGTTTCAGACCTAATGATGACCAAGGTAATAGAATTCTATTCGGTAGGCAGGGGGAGGTTAAAGGGCGAGAGAAAAATAAATCAAGGGAAATAAATGTACATTAAATCAAGGGACGCAATTCACCACAAGTAAAGTTAGAACGAAATAACATGAAACACAAAATACTTTTAATATATTTAAATAAAAAAAGAATTTTTTTAAAGCAAAATATTTAAGTTCAAATATGTGTATCTTTCAGGCATATGTCGACAGTGGCGAACCACTAACGTTTTGGGAAAGTGACGTCATGTCTGAAGTTCATGTCCAGGGAACTATCAATAACCCAAAGAAAAAAGGTGACACTGAAGATTGTATAGCTAAACCTGTTATGGCAGATATAATTTGCTAACTGGTTAGGCTTGCTTCCCTTTATTTGAAAATGATACATAAATCAACCTTGTGTTATGAGTATAATAATTACTTATAAAAGGCAATTATAAATTTTAATATTACAATGATTTGTAAGATTATGCTAAAAAAAAAACATGTATTATGATAAAAAAAATTGTTGACCAGATGAGTACTGGACCATTGAGATGGCCATTCCATTTACAACATTGTACCAAGGCTCAGGGGCCTCAATGAACAGGTCAGCACCAGCACATGGAGAGACATGGAGGGCTAACTTTCTAAGGTAAGATGTAATTCATGGCATAATTAGGGGGGTGTCCGCCCCAGGACACGGAGGGCTAACTTTCTAAGGTAAGATTTAATTCATGGCATAATTAGGGGGGTGTCAGCCCCAGGACACAGGGGGCTAACTTTCTAAGGTAAGATTTAATTCATGGCATAATTAGGGGGGGTGGCAGTCCCAGGACATGGAGGGCTAACTTTCTAAGGTAAGTTTTAATTCATGGCATAATTAGGGGGGTGGCAGTCCCAGGACATGGAGGGCTAACTTTCTAAGGTAAGTTTTAATTCATGGCATAATTAGGGGGGTGGCAGTCCCAGGACATGGAGGGCTAACTTTCTAAGGTAAGTTTTAATTCATGGCATAATTAGGGGGGTGGCAGTCCCAGGACATGGAGGGCTAAATTTCCAAGGTAAGTTTTAATTCATGGCATAATTAGGGGGTGGCAGTCCCAGGACATGGAGGGCTAACTTTCTAAGGTAAGTTTTAATTCATGGCATAATTAGGGGGGTGGCAGTCCCAGGACATGGAGGGCTAACTTTCTAAGGTAAGTTTTAATTCATGGCATAATTAGGGGGGTGTCAGTCTTAGGACATGGAGGGCTAACTTTCTAAGGTAAGTTTTAATTCATGGCATAATTAGGGGGGTGGCAGTCCCAGGACATGGAGGGCTAACTTTCCAAGGTAAGTTTTAATTCATGGCATAATTAGGGGGGTGGCAGTCCCAGGACATGGAGGGCTAACTTTCTAAGGTAAGTTTTAATTCATGGCATAATTAGGGGGGTGGCAGTCCCAGGACATGGAGGGCTAACTTTCTAAGGTAAGATTTAATTCATGGCATAATTAGGGGGGTGTCAGTCTTAGGACATGGAGGGCTAACTTTCTAAGGTAAGGTTTAATTAATGGCATAATAAAGGGGGGTGTCCGCCCCAGGACACGGAGGGCTAACTTTCTAAGGTAAGATTTAATTCATGGCATAATTAGGGGGGTGGCAGTCCCAGGACATGGAGGGCTAACTTTCTAAGGTAAGGTTTAATTAATGGCATAATAAAGGGGGGTGTCCGCCCCAGGACACGGAGGGCTAACTTTCTAAGGTAAGATTTAATTCATGGCATAATTAGGGGGGTGTCCGCCCCAGGACACGGAGGGCTAACTTTCTAAGGTAAGATTTAATTCATGGCATGCTTAAGGGGGGTGTCAGCCCCAGGACACGGAGGGGTAACTTTCATGGTGTAGTTAGGGAGAGGGGGGGGGGTCACCCCAGGATATTGAGAGACATGGTGGACTAACTTTCTAGGGTGATTTTACTCATTGTGTATAAAGGGTGACTTTATTAACATATAACTTTATCCTGGGTTTAGTTTAAATTTTATAAAAATTTTATATAAATTAATTAATAGTTGAAGTTTTGATATTCTTTTATACTTATGACTTTCAGAGCTGAATGGCCTGTTAAAAATGATGGAGCCTACTATGAAAAGGTATGACAAAAAGAAAATAGCCTAAGCTTCACATTTCTAAAAACATTGCATTAAAAGGTTCTAGCTATCCTACATATTAAAATGTTCTGAAATATAAATTTCCAAGGTAATACCAACATCATACCAAATTATCCAACTTTTTCATTAAAATTAAAGACAAACATTTTTTTTATTGACAGCAACCTGAGGTTAGTACAGAGTGGTGGGTGTGGCAAGCACCGGAAGTCATCAATGTCCATTTACCTGAGAGGTAATTTCAAACTAGCTTTGGTTTATTGTGTCCATTCCATAATTTCATTTAACAGTAAGACTATCAACTCATTGTTCATGGTTAGTTACATGTTTATACTTAAAATGATTTGTAAATTGATTTTTTTTTAATTGTACTTATTGTACTAAATTGGAAATTGTGTCTTCCACAAATGATGGTTTTCAATTAATTTTAATTAAGGTGGGGCCTGATTCAGTTTCAAGATGCTGAAATAAATGGAACCAGGTTTCAGACAAATGACAGATGGATTGTAACAAATGCTCTACTTGATACCTATGCTGCTCTTAAGGTAAGACAAGCTATCAAGTTATATTTCAACATCATGTGATTCACATTGTACAGCAAACTTAAGTTCAAATATAAGAGGGTAGTCAACATTACAGAAGAAATGATTCATTAATCGGGGGGGGGGGGGGGGGGGGGGGGGAGAGAGAATGAGAGTGCATGCAGTTGCTCAATTATGTGATGTTTGGTAATGGTTGGAGTACTACTATTTTTTGTCATGAATGACTTTTTAAATGAATTTTCATTTTTTCTTCCACCAAATCAGTCTTTTCATGCAGTGACTGGTAGATATACAGATAGAAAAGAATTACTTCATCTGCCACCCTATATTTTATCTGGCAAATGTTTGGGGGACATTACCATAGACCTGGACTGGGCAGGTTTTAAGGTAAGCGCCCGGCCACTTGGGAAAAACAAAGAGGAGGGTCACACAAGAACAGATCACTTCCTGTGGTTTGGCAATGAGGACATGCAGTATTTTTAATCCAATGCTAGATCTCAAAGCTGCACCAGGATCAGAATTTCCAGTTTTATAAATGTTCAATGCAATTATTTTGGTATGTTTTAATTTAAAGTATGTGTGCTATTTGTGAAAAACAACCCTGTCGTTGTTAACAAAAATCATCAATTTGGTAGTTGTATAAGAGAAATTTTAAATGCACCGTGGATAAGTTTGGTCCAAAATAAACATCAGTTTACCTGGCAATAAACAGGAAGCTCATGATTTGAACAATAGATAACTAAAATAATTAATATGGATAATTAAGGATTAAAACTATATTTATATCAGATTAATAACTCAGAAAAGTGGAAACCAGTAAAATAATGAGCAGACAGATTTTCAGACGACGAAAAAAATTTTTAAATTGTGTGTACATACTTTAGAAATGGGTGAGAGTGACTGGTCTTGATATTAACGATGTGTGCTTTTATTTGCACTCAGATGTTTCAATCCACTTTCCAATTTAAACATGTTCAAATGGATTCTTCATTAATCTCTGATTGTTTTCAATGTTTAAATAAATGTTGCATTAAATGTCCATAAGATAATGTCCAACAGATAATTAACATACACTATAGCTTATGTAATTATAACTTGTCTATACATTACATTTTTTGTTTGAAAAATTATTTTGTTGACTTCATGATTTTAGATAGCAATTTAATTAGACCTACACTTTTTAAGACAACTTGAAATATATGCAAAATACTTCACATTGTTACAAATAAAGCATTAACATTCAGCAGACAAATAACAGTAAAAATACTATACAATGACACATGTTGAGCTGCTTCACTTAATGTTTAATATTGTTTTGATCCTTCAGCAACTATAAAGTTGTTTGAAATACGTATTATGAGTGTTAAAAAGAAAACTCAAAATTTCTCCCGTCACATGATTGATAATGTGTTGTATCAAATTTATCCAAATCAGTTTTCTTTGTGTTTGAAGTCTCACAAGTTTAAAGATCAGTCCTTGAGTTCACATCTACAAGAGAAATACTTACTTTAATATGCAAGTTTTCATGCATTCATTCATAAACTACAACTGCTCAATATAATTTCTATAAGGATAATCTAAATACACAAGAACATTTTTGTATAGTCCTTTCAACAAGTAGAAAAAATTACAGAAACTTTGGTGTGAAATAAAGCAAATATCATCAACTGTAGGAGGAGTTGAATGTTCAACTAGCTTTTTACAAAACTTCAAAATATATTTTCAAATTGTTCAATAATTATTTTTACCAGTCAGGAAGTTGGTTAGCTTTGTTGAGATGAAGAAACAATGCAATTCATACATTCAAAAATAAAAAAGTTGCATCTTACTTACACTGATTAAAATATAATTCAAGAATTGTTACAACCTCAGTCTCAGTGTGGATCTCAACATCTTCCAATTAAAGACAAAGTGGCAACAACTTCCTGTCATAGTTTTACATTGTTATGTTACCCACTTCTCCTTGTCATAAGCTGGACTGTTGACAGTCCTGATGTTTGGTCCCCACTTTTACTTGAACATCCTTCTGTGACAAATTGGACTCTTCACGCTCCTTTAAAGTCATTCTTTTGTTATTCAGATCTGCAAAGATTTGAGTTTTTTATTTTAAATAACCTTTTAAATTTTAAAACTCTTTTAATAAAAGTTTAACATATCTAATTTACTTAGTTAATTTATAACATTCATAAGGTATCAAATGGATCACATAGTGTGACTATTGTGTTATTCTACCATATTTTTTAAACCACACTGTTGATAGGAAATGAAACATTTATACTAAATGAACACTTTTGTGCCACGAACCCACCTGTGTGATGTCCCAGATTACGGTTGGTTTAACATTGTGTAAATCTACTTGCCAGATTACAGTTGGTTTAACACTGTGTAAATCTATTTGCCAGATTACAGTTGGTTTAACATTGTGTAAATCTACATGCCAGATTACAGTTGGTTTAACATTGTGTAAATCTACTTGCCAGATTACAGTTGGTTTAACATTGTGTAAATCTATTTGCCAGATTACAGTTGGTTTAACTGTGTTAATCTATTTGCCAGATTACAGTTGGTTTAACATTGTGTACATTCGAACACATCTTGCAATAAACCTACCTGTGTGGTGCCTCAGGTGTGTAGTGTATGAAATCTTATGCTTGAATGTTTTGCCACAGAACTCACAGCAGAAGGAGAACTCTTTGGAATGATTCATCACATGACTGGTCAAACCACCAGAGGTTATGTAGGCGGAGCTGCAGCCAGCCCATGGACATTTAAATGGCAGTTCACCTGAAAATGGTATCAATAAGTAAAGCTGTAGCTACATTTAGAAAAAATAAATACTAAACCTGAAATCTCAAGTTCGAAAGACACACATTAGTCCACCCAGTCTGTATCAAAATCTGGTCAGTAACAGATAAGGCTAACACCCCCCCCCCCCCCCAACCCAAACAAATTTTTTGAAATACAGAGAAAAAGAAAGAAAAGGATTAACTCTTCTTCATCTGCATTAGGTACCATAAGGTAAATGTTACGAGTTACAATTGAATTTCATATATTAAAATGTATCCAGCCATGACAAAAAATGTCAATTTAAAATTCTCATCAATTTAAGTCAACATACCTGTATGTGTGCGCCTGTGTTTTGTGTATTCACAGGGTAACCTAAAAGATTTTCCACAGCCTGCCTCTCTACAGCAGTAAGGCTTCTCTCCTGTGTGGAGTCTAGTGTGACATTTCAGCTCGTACTTGTTTTTAAAAGCTTTAGCACATTTTGGGAAGGAGCAGTGGAATGGGTAATTCCCATCATGAAACTGGAGATGGCGCTGGTTACAGAGAAGACATTAGGAATTCTGAGTTTGCTCTAATTTTAAAACTTAAAATGTGTGTATCAATATCCGAAATCTTCAAATAGAAAATTTTGTTTTCTCTAAATACATTAGTGTTTTTATTAATGCATGCTGATTTTAAAATAAACTAAATGTTACCTTCATACTGTTAATGTATTTGAAAGACTTGTAGCAATCTGCTTTTGGACACATGTAAGGTTTTCCCACTATTGATAAAATAAGTTTTAGATAAATAACTTGTAACAAATGCATGAATTCATTGAACTCATAGCAAGATATAGATAAATGGTATCAACCATAGAAATTCATAAATTATTCAAAAACTTTTATGGTGCTGCTTCTTCAATCATAAAGTAATTATCTTTTCTAAACCTTTAAAACTCGATTGAATATTAATTTAACAAAAAATTTAATCCACAGTTTATGTAGCCTAATTTAAAAGCTGACCATTTTATTATTTGTTTTAAGCTGGCTGAAATTGCACATACAATTTTGATCAACTTCTAAGAATCCTACTGATTTTTAAAATAGGGTTTACAATATTTTATTTTTAAAAATTAAATTTCCTTGACCTATGTGAGTGCCCTTGTGATGTTTTAACTCTTGAGAACCCCTGAAGGACTTCCCACATTGTTCACAAACAAATGGTCTCTCTCCTGTGTGTTTTCTACAATGCTGAATTTGTTTACTTTTGGTAGAGAAATATTTATTACAGTCCTTGAATGGGCATTTATGGGGCTTTCCATCTGTGAATAGAAGAAAATATTAAATAAGAGGTTTTATGTGGAGCAGACCAACAAACAGAGATTTTTTTTAACATTGTGAACAGTGGGGAACAGTGAATAATTATACATAAAACAGAAGAAATATCAACACAAATAAAAAATATATTCATCTGTAAAGAAATAGTAAAATAGGAAATGTATTTAAGTTGATTAAGTTTATTTGGCCAGTTATACTCATAATTTTTATTGAAAAATCTTAAACTTTCAATGATTTAATTGGCACTGAGCAAAAGTATAGACAGGATAAAGTAAAGAAATATACTTATCTATACCAACAGTTTATTACAACTTACAGTAATGAAAATGTCTGATATGATTTTCACACAAGAATTTAGAAGTGAAAATCCAATCACATCCACCCTCACCACATATAAAAATATTTTTATTTTTGACATCAAGTAATTTAATTGGCTGAAAAAAAAATTCAAAATTTAAAGTTACAATTAAAATGTGCTAAGAGTTAAAATTGAAAACCTTTTAAATTTAAAAGATTATTTTAAATAATGGTTGCAAATGTTAATTAAAATTGTAGTCAGCTTTAAACTTATTAAAGATATTATTATTATAAAACACAAATATAAATATTATGTGATATGTATGTAGATCTAAGTAAAAACTTACTAAAGGTGTTTTCACAATAAGGAGTGGATTAGCTAAGATTTGTGTCATCTCAGCAGTTGTATCATTTGTTGCAGCAAGTTTGTTTGTATCACTGAAAGCTTTATTAGTAACTGCGCCAGTATTTTCACTTTCAGTGTTTGGTAAGCTAACACTGTTGGAACTTCTATCACCCACAAAAATATTTTTTTTACTGTTATTCTGTTGTGTAACTGTATTTTTAGAATCATCAGAATTCCCTTCTTCTTCTGCTGTTCCCAGCATTCCATTGCACTGTTCTTGTTCACTCTGTTGATCTAAAGACTCACCACGCTTAACAGGTATTAGAACAACTTTAGGGGTTTTATAGTTGATTTTCACAAGGGTAAGGGAAGTAATTTGTTCAGTCTTTCTTACAGCAACTGAAGGAAGTTTCTTTTTAGGAACATCAACTGCAAATTAAACATGGAAAACATGTTTTACAAGTATAAATGGTGTATATAATTAAAAGTTCAAAAAATAAAAATTGTTTAAAGAGTAAGTGACTGGTTTCCAAAAAAAAAAAAACCCACTTCTATCAAAACACAAATGTTGGAATGCACTTTTTTAGTAACTGTGTAGGGGAAAGATAACAATATGCATGATGTACAGAAGATTTTACAGATTATTATTTATTTACGAGTAATCATCATCTTTTTCAGTTCGTGCCCAAGACACATGGGGCAGATAAAGTAGAGTTCATCTGCTTCAGAGATCTCTGCATATGAAAGGGATAGTGTGGTCAGCACATATACCTAGCCACCTTTGTTTCCATAAGCTGAGTTAAGTACCCATCAGAAACTGGGTGGACTCAGGAACATTCTACTGACTTGAACCCAGATTTGAACTCAAGACTTTTGAGCTAGCAGTCTAGCTCTCTCCTGCTACGCCATGATGTCCCATAAACACAGATGCCGAGAACAAAAATTTGGGGTCTTACCATGTGACTCAGTTATCCAATCTGAGCTGTACTCATCTCCTGAAAGGTCATCTGCTGGAATAAATTTTCTAACAGACATTGAGACGCCCATCTGGATCTTTCTGATATTGTCAAATGTTTTGTTGACTGTACTGTAACAATTTTTGCATATGTAGCTCCTTCCACGCTTAGTTTTGTACTTCTGACACAGTGCTGTGAATTTCTCCTTACCAATGAAAGCCAAAAGCTTTGTTTCAAACCTGGCCATAAAGGGTCGATTGCCCCCAAACATAAATAATCTCTCATCTCCTTTTCTAGAAGTTTTGCACATTAAACAAATAATGGAACCAGAGCTTGGGGACAGGCAGTGGTCATTGATTATAAAATTCATTGCCTGAAATAGATGTCATTGATTAATATGTAACTTTGTTTAATTAGTGTGGTATTGCGGTATTGATACTTTTTTTTAATGTAATGATTTCCTATAATATTATGCTTTCTTGTTAAGTTGAAGATATTGATGATTGAAGATGGTGATTGTCTTAAATATAAATGCTATGCTAACAATACAGTATCTTTTCACAGTACAGTATTCCTTTCTTAGAGTAGACTATAGTCTATACTCTATAGCGCTAACACATGTACTGCATTAATTTGTGGCTTTTAATAGACTACTGCCAAGCAAATTCTAGCACTCAAGTGTGAAATAGCGCTAACACATGTACTGCATTAAATAATTAGATCTAGATCTAGTGGCTTTTTTAATTAATAGACTACCGCCAAGCAAATTCTAGCACTCACTTGTGAAATTTCCCCCTGGTTTTGTGCCTTACTTACTAGAGTAGATTGTCTAGATCTACCCTAAATTATTCTAGATTAAAAATTTCCGAGATTTATTAAAATTCTTAAAATTAATATAATCCTATCCATAGGAGATATAGGCCAAATTTATATATAATATCTAGATTAGTTACTGGTCTAGTGAATAATCTAAGTTAATCAACGATTATCACAGATCTAGTCTAGATCTAGTACTATTTAGTAGAAGATTCAGGGGAAACCACTCTAATTTTCAGATGGCCTCTGTTCATTATATCAAATCTTACTCGCAAACACTGCTGTTTAAAGTTAATTTCTGGCCTATCCTCATCTGCCCGAGGGTTTGAACTCGAGACGTGTTGGTTTATCAACCATGAGCTTTACCGACTCGACCATGCCGATCTCTAAATACTAAATACTGTGCGATACTGACCAGAAATAGCTAACTATTGTTTATTTTTTTAATTTTCAATATAAAGGGAAACAACTCAATATTTATAGAATGTAAAGATTTAGTTACTGGAAGGGGCGGGGGTGGAGTGGTGACTTTTTGTGATAATTTGTGATTGCTAAAAATACTTATTTAAGTTTAAGGATAACTTTATATGGCCTAAATGTATGATTTGTAATTGTTTTTTATTTTTATATCATGTTTTTTTTTTTTTTTTTTTTTTTGCACACAAGTATTTTCCTATTAGGTATTTATTAAATATCAAATAACTAATTAGGTGTTAACACTTAGCTATTATTTATAAAACTTTCAATGTTGAAAGATATATTTATAGATTGTGTAGTCTACTTTGAGTGATTGAAGTTAAATAAACTTCAAGCAGCAGTGACCTAGTACATTTTAAAATACTGTCACTACTAACTACATTAATTAAACTCCTTTATTTTCTACCTGCAAGGTGATAACCACATAATTTAAAGCACATTTATCCTCAAATTTAACTTCAGAAGAACAAACTGAATGTGTTTATGTTTAGTCTTTCCTCATGTGGTTTGAATCAAAATTGTTAAAATAGCATAGTCCTTGGAATGTTTAGTTTTATAGCACAAACTTTATCTTTAAACTAATTTAAAAATGACTTTGAGACAGCATCAGGATAAAACAATCAATTTAAACTATAGCTAAAATAATTTACATCTTTTGTCGCAAATTATTTTAGCTTCAAAGAATAATTAGACACCCACATAAATAATTTTATTAATCATGCGCGTGAAGTCATGATAGTAGGAATTTGATATTTACTTGGTTCTGATATACACAATAAATTACGAACTTCAAGAATACAAAGAGTATTTAATGTAAGTTATAATAAAAAAATTAAATTAAAAACCATCACAACTTGTATATTTTTCTAAATGTTATTGATCGTTAACTACCTACATCTCTATAAAATTGGGTTCAAACAAAATATGAACAAGAGCTTGACTTTAAAATTGTAATTAAAAAACTTTAATGTAAATTCTATAAATTTATTTAAAATAGAAAATTTTAAGAAGTATCAATTGTACAAAAATCTGGACCAGTAAGAAATGCTGCACATATAAAATAGGGCGCATTTTAATTAATTTTCTTAAAATAAAAACATAACAGATATATCTATTATGGTACAAAGTGTATGTTTAGAATCATAAAAGAAATAAAAAAAACTACCCAGTAGTTTTCGTTGATTTTCTACTAACAAAAATTATTCAGTTACATATGTTCTTTGACATACTTTTAAAACAAATATATATCTAAAGCACTTAATTTTAATTTATCTAAACTAAATATATAATGTTTGTTTAAAATAGTTATAAAAATCAAAATGCTATTGCACAGGTCGATCATACAAAATAATATAGTTATAATGAGGAGCCTCTTGTAGAACTATGGTATCTGGTGCAGCATAGTTTTGTCTCATTGCTCTAGCTGCTTCTTCCACCTCCATGACATAAGAGTGGGGTGGTGGTTCAGACATCATCATCAGATTGTTCATGTTATCTGTAGGGATAGTTTCAAAATAATGAGTTGTTCTGGTTTTCCCACCAATGAGGTACAATGATTATTGTTTTTCCCACCAATGAGGTACAATGATTAAAAATCAACTTTAGAAAACATCTGTTTCAAATTTTTAAACAATTATGTTTTATTTCAGTTAAATTAAAAACCTTAATAAAGTTACTGTAAAAATAGGGAGATAGTAAAGTGGGGCGTGATAACATTTCTACAAGTATGAACAAAACATTGTAGAGTAGACATAGTGTTAATTGCAGTATATCAGTTTTTAAAGAAGTTCTTTAAAATAAACATATTATGTATAAGAGACAAATTATTTAATTAAACGACTTCATATAAATTTTGATGTGTTGCTGTAGCCATTTTTTACTATGTTGACTAATGCAAAATTTTTATTTTGACTAATCAGAAAGCAATACTGGTTCTTTTAAGTTCTTTGAGACCATGTACAGAAACAGCTGTCATAAAAACTTGTTTTATTTATTTATCAGTTTTGACATGCAACTTTATTTTACAGAATAAACAAATAGACATTTTTGTGACATTAATGTCAGAAAAATACTTACATTGTTGTTGTTGTTGCTGTAATTGTTGTGGCATTTGAGGTAGTGGCTGCGCCAATGGTTGTTGTATATGCTGTATTGTCAGGGGAATGGACTGGGGCATGGAGTCAACTACTGAATGAGAGATGGCCTGAGCTACTGGTATTGACTGGGGCACTGTCTGGGGTAAGGGCTGTGACAATGGAGTTTGGACAGGGGTTTGCCTTAACAGCTGGGGCTGCATTATGTCTTGCTGTTGCATGCTGTTCTGTAGGAACCCAACATTTGCCGCTGGTTGTATATGATCTATAGGATCAATTTTGCACTTGTGTTTGCTGATACTGAACTTGTACACCTTGCCACACTGAGTGCACAAGTGGCTAGGTTTTGTGTGGGTAATTTGATGGGCTTTAAGGGAGCCATTTTCTCTGAATGCCTTACCACATCCTTCTTCTGGGCAGATGAATGGAAGTTCTTCTAAAACAGAGGTTTTAAACAAACAAGAATGTCAGAGCTTTGAGCTTGAAAATCTAGGATAAGTAAACATTGAGTCCCAAGTATGGTATACCACTATAACAGATATATTAAATTATGACTATGGAATACCATGGTCTCACTTAAAAATATAGCATTACCAATTATACCAAAATATTGTTTCACTTACGAGTATGGCTTTTCATGTGATTCTTTCTAGAGACCTGACTGCTGAAGCTTTGACCACATTCTTCACACATGTAACGCTTCTCTCCCTTGTGATTCATCTTGTGTTGCTTGAGAGTTTCTGGGTGTGAAAACTGACTAGAGCAAACTTTACATTCATAAACTTTTTCACCTAGACCAGGGATAACAAAAAAAATATCATTTATTATTATCATAAATAGCCCATGAATATACTGTTTTACAGTGTTTTTTTATGTTAACAGACATGTTTTCAAAAGTTACTTTTTATCAGTTATTTTTGCAACCTTGAATACAAAGAATACCGGCAGTAAAAAATACTACAAATAAGATAACTTTGTAAATGAACACATAGTTAGAGGATTTATTAAATAGTTTTAAATTAATGCATCTTCCTCACATGTACTATGTAGATCTCTTAATTACAATAGGAAAAAAAATACAATTTTTTTTTTATATACCTGCTAAGGAAAATATTTACCTGTGTGAGATCTTTGGTGTTTTGTCCAAAGGTGACTAGAAGAGAATCTTTTACCACACAACAAGCAAACAAATGGTTTTTCATGGTGTTGAAGATGTATTCGAGCATTGCTTAAAGTCTGCATGGCTTTACTGCATCCATCTAAAGGACATCTGAATAAACCTGAAAATAATTGCTGCATATAATAAAAATTTGATTTGGTTCTATGCCAGGATTATTTTTACATTCAAAATGAATGAACTTTTTATAAATATCTCAAAATAAATTGAAAACATGATTAAAAATAAATCTTTAACTTTGTGATCATAGGTATTTGCTAAATCATTTTTAAAATAATCAGTCAAATATCCCATGATTAAATTTACACAGAAAATTTACCATAATGAATCTTGGAATGTTTAAGAACTTTGAGGTGTGAAGTGAAGCCTTCTTGGCAGTGATCAAAACTACAGGTAAATGGTTTTAGATTTTCATGCTCAATTTGATGATCATTGTAGATTTTCTCCAGAAGAAAAGATCTCCCACAATTTTCATATTCACATCTGTAAGGTGGGTTACCTTAAAAACACACATCAACCAATGATAAAATTGTTCAGTATTAACAATACAGGAAAAAAAACAATGCAACTAATATAATTACTTGAGCCCGTTGGATTACATGACCCTACTCAGCTATGATGAGAATCTGACTCATTTCAGGGAAATATAAGATGGCTAGACACACATATTGACCACATTATTTCTAAAACAGATGAACTCTACTTCATCTGCCCATAAATCTTAAGTAATGTTATGAACAATGCTCTGCCTTACCAAGATGCCAAGTCACATGATGTTTTAGCTCCTCAAGTCTTGGGAATCTCAATCCACATCTCTCAGAGTTACATACAAACATGCCTTTCTTAGAGGGGAAAACACATTATTATAAATAGTGAAACATCAAAAACTTAAATGTACTTTTTCATAATTTTCCCTATAATTTCTTTAATTAAAAAGTCTGATTATGATATTTACCAGTTGTTCATTTAATAAAGAGCTTTCATTGTGGATGTTGTGTATATGTAATTCAAATTGTTCCATAAAAGGAAATGCAAGTCCACAAAATGGGCACAATTTTTCTCTGGGAATGGACCTATGAGCTTTTGTCAAGTGATCTTCCAGGCTCACCGCCTCTTCATAAACCCTTTCACATTTATCAAATGGGCAACTCAGCTTTCTTGAAAACAGATCCTCTTCTGCAAGGAAGTTTGATTTTTTATGCACCCTAAGTTTATGATAGCGTAAGCCTCCATCTGTGCCATATTTCAGTCCACACCCTTGTTCAGTGCACTCATAAATTTTTTTGTTCAAGGGTTTATAATCTTGTATTCCATGTTGGTTAGCCATATGTTGATCAAGAGACCTACGCTCAGCATATTCTTCTCCACACCCTTCCATAGGACACATCAAACTCTGTGGACCTGCAGTCAGGAAATATTTTTTTAAACATTATTTAAGTTAAATGAATGCCAAATACACATAGAGTAAAACATTCTAATGGTTTAACATACCAGAATGTTTTTTAAGATGCATACGATACAACATCTTGTGTTTGAAGGTCTTTCCACAAAATTCACAGCAAAATGGTCTCTCTGATGTATGACTAAGCATGTGTGCTTGCAATGCATTGGAAGAAATGTAGGCAGCATTGCAACCATCAATATTACATCGAAATGGCCGCTCTCCTAACAGTGAAAAATTAATAGTTTACAATTCAGTTTACTCAAGAAAGAAAAAAGTTTTTAAAAAGTATCAAGCAATAATGCAAACTTTCAAAGATGCTTCTTAACTTAAAATATGTTAAATTAAATACTTTGGTGTTTCATATTTTCCTAAAGGATAAAAATTTAACATGCTAATCTTAATGTTATTGATTATCTGGATACTGACCAGTATGAGATCTTTTGTGCATTGTAAACTGGCAAGGTATCCTGAATGACATGCCACAGCCTGGCTCTGGACACTTGTAAGGTTTCTCTCCAGTATGTAATCTGTTGTGACACTTCAGGTCATATTTACTTTTAAAAGACTTCTCACACTCGGGATATGTACAGGGATATGGGAAGTCTCCACCATCATGAAATTGAAGATGGCGCTTGTGTGGCAATCAAAATGTAAATTTGTTATTGTTGAGTTTCCAGTTATTAAATGCCAGCAAAAAAGTGGAACAGTATTTTATTTAAATTTATAGAAAAAAAAGGATAGATCCAAAAATATTTTTAAAAATTTAGTAAAGAAATCTATGCATTTTATACACTATTTTAATTTTCCCATACCTTGAGGCTACTCAGAAGTTTAAAATTTTTATCACATTTTGGACACTGATGAGGCTTTTCAGCTGTAGAGAATATATTGACAAGATGTGATTTAATTAAATTTGTTACCACTGGGGACGATGATCCCCATAGATAACGATATAACAAAGATTTAAGATAGTTTACAAGTGAAATTATATTTTGATAACTCAAATTCTGACTTAAAAGTTACAGAAAATCCTTAGCTTAAAAAATTTTCTCTAATAACTAGCAAACTTGCATGTGTGAGTTAGACGATGAGCCCTTAGTTCTTGGTTTCCACGGAATCCACTACCACACTTATCACAAATGAAAGGTCGTTCATCTGTGTGTGATCTAACATGCAACTCCAGTTTACTTTTTCCAGTAAAACGTCTACCACAACCCTCAAATGGACATATAAATGGTTTGCCAGCTGTCAAAGAAAAAATACAGGTATAGTAGTATTAGTAGTAATACATTTTCTAATAGTTTTTTAAATGATTTTTGATAACATAAAATTATTTAGGGCTAAATTACTCTAATTCATTATACCTTTTTAAAATGAGAATTTCCTACAACTTTGCTTCTTACAAAAAGATAATAATCTGACAAGAAATTAACAATAAATTGTAATGAATTTGATAGAAACTTACATCGATGGAAATGTCTGATATGATTTTCCCAAAAAAATTTTGAACTAAACATCCAATCACATCCTCCTTCCCCACATATGTAGACACTTTCATTTTTAACTTCAGCAAGCTTAATAGGCTGTGAATAGTAAAAAAAAGAATTACTATTAAAAGAAAATTATGAATACTTTTATCATACTATTATGTTACTACTTTTTAGTATGTCTGCCAAAATATTTGAACATTCCTCAGCTTAGAAAATGCATTTCAAAATAAAGTTACCTGTGGAGATTTTATCAGTAATAAAGGATTTGCCAATATTTCAGACAATTCATTTTGTGATGGTTTGAAACTTGAGTTAAGGCCCTTTTCTATACTGCCTGCTTCAGTGTTTACTAAATGATCTAGATCTATGTTGTTAGACCAGCTGTTTGTCTCAAACAGATCGTTAATCAATGCATTTTGTGAAACAAATGATAATTCCGCATTTAAAGAAATGACACTGCAATCTGCACCTTCATTTGGTATATGCAACTTATCCTTGTGATTTTGTGTATCTACATAAATATTTATTTTTGTAGAAATATTATCTCTTTCTTTAGCTGATGGAGAACTGTTGGCCTCATTTTTTTGTTCTAAATCCTTGTTACAGTTGATTTCATTCACAATATCTTGATCTTGCCTATGTTGAGTATATAGGAGAGGGTCTTTTACAATTTCAATGGGTGTATTTTTATCATTATCAGCTATATTGTCAGAATTAGTTTGATTTAAATTAATTGGTCTTAGAATAATTTGAGGTGTTTTGTGGTTGATTTTAATTAATGTCAATGATGCTATTTTCTCTGCTATTCTTTCAGCAACAGGAGGAAGCTTCTTTTTAGGAGGAACCTGATCTGAAACAATAGAATTGAGACATTGTTTTAAAATGTAGTTGTACATGGGAATATTAGTTTTTAAAATCTGGAAATAAATTATTGTTAAGATGTTTTATATTTGATAGATTTTAAACTTCCTACCATGGTCATTAATTTCTAAATCTTGATCAGATCCTGAGTCATCACTGATAACTGATTGTGAGTTCATCCCTGAAATGAATTTGACCCGACTTATAGATCGGGCCACATCACGTTGAATTTTTCTTATATTGTCATAAGTTTGTCTGACCACTAAATAACACTCTCTACAAATGTAACTTCGTCCAAACTTTGTAGCCGACCTTTTCTGAAGTTCTATCAAATCTTGCTGACCCATCAGTGCCTTAAATTTTGCTTCAAACTTTGCCATAAAAGGCCGACTTCCACCAAACATGAATAATCTACCCCCTTTTCTATTTTTAGTCCACACCACTTTACACATCAAGCACACAATTGGGGGACCCCTCTCACGTTTATGTTTGCCTTTAGTATTTTTTTCAGATTCCATAGAATTGTGGTCGAAGCTATTGTTACTGATGTGGCCAACATCATTAGAGATTTCTTCCCAGTCTGGCTCAGATTGTAATGAAATGTCCTTTTCTGGTTCAGTTTCATCTTCTGTATCCATTTATCAATGTTGGTTATCACTAGAAATTTTTTAATGACTTGTGACTTCCTTTACTAAGTGACATAATTTACTGCAAGTCTAATCAACTGAGTTGTAGTTGATCAATCTTTTTTGTCAGTCCACTCTAGAGAATATCCCTGAAAATGAAACGTTATACATATAAGCATTAGGATAAAATAATCAAAATTTAATTTAATAATTGTCATCTAACAAAAAAATGTTAGAAATAGTTATTGTTGCATTTTCTTTACACTATTGTAGAAATTAAATTAACAGTATTTTCTAGCCTGAACTAACTTATAATACATTAGTATTTCAGTGGCGACACCAGGTCTGATGACCCCAGTGTGGTAACTAAGGGTGTCACACCACCCCCATCCAACAATTTTTGGATATTTTGTTTGGTGTCTCCCGCCTTTCTACTTTTTAATTATTCTAACTTAATGGCACATTGTTTTGACAGTAGATTTTATGATTTTTCAAATGGGTGTCACCCCCTTAATGGTGTCACACAATGGACTGCAACTCCCCACTTTCCCTCACCCTTGTGGGCTATTAATACTATTATGGCTACTCAAATTTAGGGCTAAGTATTAAATTATTAATAATAAATAATAATAGTATTCAATTTTTAATTCAATAGCCTATAATTTATTAAGTTAGTTCTTTTAACCTAAATTTTTATCTTTTCATTATGATATTTTTTTGGTGTTTAAATTTCACAAGATGTAATTACTAGTAAGTAATAATAGTAAAAGGTATCTGGGAAACTTAGAATAGATCTGCAAACTTAGACTAGACTGGTTATCCTCCTAACTATTAATATTAAGTTAAGAAAACTGAAGAGTGGGTATTTATCTTTATTTCTAGTTAGGGGCCTAAGATCTAACTAGATCTATTGTAGTATCTAGTCTATATAAAATACAGCAGTTAGTTAGGGCTTAAAGTACATAATAAGTATTAAGTACAAAGTGTACATCCCCATCCCCAAAGAGTAAAGAGTAGTAAAGACGCTAACAAACTAGATCTACAGTGTCCGTTAGGCTCGGCCTTGATATTAAAATATTACGAATACCAGATCTAGTCTAGATCTACTGGTTTCAGGAGGCACATTCATAAAGTGATAGTGATATTATTATTGAGTAATATTATCATAGATATCTCATCTGCAACACATATAAAAAAAAACATTTTCATTTTGGCACTCGGCGATTCTGGACTTAGAGATCTATAATTTCTATATTATCTATTATCTAACTTAATGTATTAATAATAATAATACGTTTGATAATGCATACGCATCGAATACCCCCATCTAAAAGAATAGTCACAATACGAAAATATACTAGTCTAGATAGAGAGAGATCTACGTGTAATATATTAAATTTACAGTAAGACAATGAGAAAATATAAGGAAAATTAAATTGGCCTACCAATACGAAAAAGTATTACTGCTGTGTTGGAATCAGCAACTCGATTCCAGTTACCCATAATTCACACGACTAATGCAGTAGTCTAAAAATAGTTGCTCGTCTCTACATAAATTCATTTGATTTTGTGGTACCAAAATCACGGTGAAAATTTGGGGGGATTGGGGGGGGGGGGAGGGGGGGGGGAGTTGAGCTTGAATAATTTGTTCCAATATTTTTTTTGTACTAAATATAAATTATATCGAAAATAGCAGACACACTTCGATAAATCATAGTAAAGAAAATTGACAAGTAAAAGATGGCTGTCATTTGTTATAGTGGGTTAGCCTAGGCCTACATTCTACAATTCGGATAGGTTTATGTAGCTGACATGAAAAAAAGGTAAATAATAACGTTCCAATAAAATTGCTAGTACAGGCACCAATATAGAATCTATAGGCTTATAGTCAAATACAGAGGTCAAATGCTTCCCCGGAGGAGAAGAAGGAACACGCGGGGTATTTATCTAAATTTCGGGAGAGCTGGGTCAGAAGATCACCCCCCCCCCCTCCTGTTGATCTATATAGTAAACCAACGTCGAGGTGGGGAAGGGGAGTCAGAAAATCAGTAGGAGTAAGCAGATCGGCAGCCACATCTTTATCTATAGCGCCGGCGAGCAAGAACACAGAGGAATTAGGGAAACTAACGCGGCTGTGCATAGTGCTGACCACATTGTTGTCCTGTATGCCGAGGTCCAGTAGCGTCGCTAGGTCGGGTATCACCCGGTGCGGCACTTCATGGAGTCACCCCCCCCCCCCCCTCCCCAAGAATCTATATGTTACGGTCAAAGCCCGAAGTCGGCCAATGCTAGGATTGGCCGACCAATCCGCGCATTGGCCAATATAGCCTTCCATAGGTCGGTCAAAGTCCGAAACTTTGCTTGATTTCGGCCTTTGGCCGGCCAATCGGCAGACTGGCCATAGTGGACCGGCCAAAGTCTGAAATAGCTCTTGATTTCGGCCTTTTCGCAAAAAGCATTTTTCTTCTGTACATTTTGGAAATCTTTGCCATGGTGTCACCCCCCCCCCCCCCAAATGGTGTCACCCGGTGCGGTCAGCACCCCCGTCCCGCCCTCGATACGCCTCTGCCGAGGTCATTGAAAAAGATTAACTCTACTTCGTCTGCCCCATGTGACTTGGGCACGAACGGGAAAATGTGATGATGAATTGTACACACATTTACATACATCTTGTTAACATTACGTTTAACAATTGAAATAAGTAAACAAATGCGTTGGGGGTCGTACATAAATGACGTCACACTCGTAGTGGGGACGGGGGTCCGTAATTTTGTGACGTTGTGTGATGAGGGGAGGGGTGGTGGTTTCAGATGGTGTGACGTCACACTTTTGCAGTATAAAAAAACAATGTTACAAAACGAGTTTTAGCCGTTATTTCGCGTTTTAGAAAACTGTTCTAATAAACTGTAATAGGAATTAATTAAAATATCTATGTTGACAGAGCTCAGACAAGATTTTGGAAAAATATATATGTATTTAGAAAAATTCAACTGCAGTTTTGAGGGGGGTTGTAGGCTGAGGTGTGACGTCTTTTTATCACAATGTTTGACGGAGGTGAGGTGGGAGGTAAAAATCGCCAAAAAAAAAGGCGTGACGTCATTTATGGATGACCCATTTGGCACATCTTTTAGAATAATGTTCATTATATTTTTAGGATGAGATCGTGTGTGTGTGTAAGGGGGGTGGGGGTGGGCGGCTTAAGTAGGAAACTTGGATACTTGCATATGGTGCTCTCAGAAATGTGGGCGGGAGAGGTTAAGAGAATTCGGGGTTGAAAGAGAGTAGAGCGACTGACTGATATGGCAATTTTTTTTTAGTTTATGCGAAAATAACACAACTAGCAATTCGCATTATTTTTAACTAGTTGTCCGCATCCCCGGAAATTTTAAGTGCGCCTCCCTCCCTTTAAGTTTCAAATGGACCCCCCACCTGGAATGAGAAAGCTGAAAGAAACTCTGACCTTAACCCTTTCCTTTACCCAATCGGACTAGTCTATAATTAAACTTATACCTTGGGGCAAAAGCTAACCGATAATAAAAAACGAACGAGAGAAACAGCAATAAAAAGCAAATATAATATTAAACCGCAATTGATTTTTGTCGACGAGTCATACAACAGATGGTTCAGCTTCCGCAGAACATGCTTCAGCACTACACCACGCAAGGAAGACGTGACGAAAATATTAAATAAATCATAAAAATCATTACCTGCTCTCAGCATAAACTTGTTTTAAAATGGATAGGCTTAAATCTTTATTGTAGTTAGACTTCACCGTGTGAGTGATTTATTATCTGCAACCCACAGTAGAATAGTGTTCAAAAATAATATGGACTCAACAATGAAGTATTTTAAATCTATACATTTCTCTTTGCAGTGTTGAAGGCAGTCTGCATAGGTTGTAGAATTGAAGGATGTTTTTTAAAAAGAGGATTACATTGTGCATTCATCCCACACCTTATACCGTTATCAATAATTTACATTTTATCACCCGTCCATAAATTATAAAACGTAATATGAGGCTATATAATAAAAATATACTTAGCCAATATATTGTGACGTATACAGAAAGAATGCGGGCAGAGGCGGACTGCTTGTCTCATTGTGAGGCAATTTAATATTGTTTCAATTTAATATTGTTTATACTTCCGTTCAATTCTATTAAAGATGTGGGACACTCCCCCCCCCCCCCCACCCCAACTCCTCGAAGAAAAAAAAAAGATACAATTTATGTTGAATATATAGCCTATACTTTCGCTAATGCCCGCCGACTTCCGGACATTTTTAGTGCCCTCCCCCTCCTTTGTCGGTTGGTCTAAGTCATGGGTTCCCAGACTGGGGGTCGCGATCCCCAGAGGGGTCGCGAAGGCCTTTCTGGGGTGGGGTGGGGGGTCGCGAACTGGTAGACTAAACCCTAGTATGAAAACAAAAACCATTTACAAAAATATCTTAAATTCGGCTTTACTAACATCACAGGAAATTAAATAGAGAAAAACAATGCGTACTGTGCAAAGTTGTTCTCAGCTATAACTATAAGCCTATGAAACCTTCGAAACTTAAACATCATTTTGGTAGATGAATCTGATTGTAAGATAAATTTAAAAAAAAAAAATTGAAACAGGAGATTTCTGGGCATCTTAAATCTCTAGAAAACAAACTGCGGCGTTATTTCCCCCGAGATTAAAGAAGAAGAAACTGCACTGACACGTAATTCATTCTCTGCGTCCCTTGATGTTGCCACCATTCCCGATTAATTATAAGATGAATTCTTAAATTTGCGGAATGACTCCGCGTCATATGAAAAACGGCTCACATTTTTGGGGTAGTACGCACCATTTATACCGAATCGTGAAGTGAATTTGTTTGCGTTTCAAGTTTTATTTTCTTTTGTGTCTACATATCTTTGCGATAACAGATTTTCAACACTTGTCCAATTACTTGTTGAGAATGACATGAGATTGGCGTTAAGAAAAGCTAAACTGTGAATGTTGAGGCTAGTTAATAGTATGAAATTTTACTCATCGTATTAAAACAGTTATAAATATTTATTCATTTTGAAAGTCTACAAGAAAATCTTACTTTAGTCCTTATAAATATCGACTTTTTAATTCCTTGGGGGTCGCGGGGTCACTTACTTTTTGTTAAAGGGGGCCGCCTGAAAAAAAGTTTGAAAAAGTTTGGGAACCACTGGTCTAAGTAAAACCACACTGGTGACCTCAGATCACTTCTGGCTATTTTGTTCTGTCTTAATTGTAACTATTGAACTAATATTTTAAAACGCTGAAATCTAACTGTATGCCTAATATTGCTCAGAATTTGAGCACTGTCCAAATATAACTCTAAAATGGCGGCTATGCGCAATCTTTTTGTTTAAGTATATTGATGTATAGTATAGGCCTACTCGGCGCATATATCAGCGATGAGCTGTAACTGAGAACCTGCATGATGTACATATATATGTAGCTGGTATCTCGACAATCTGTGTTGCATCTGCTGCAGTCATAAAAATCATCCAATTGTTCGTTTCCACCTCTTCCAGTTTCCACGTCACATTCAAGTGGCAGAGGTTTCGAAGGCTCAAGCATAGGCAGTGGCGTAGCGAGGTCGGGTGTCACCCGGTGCGGCACTTAATGGTGTCACCCCCCAGAGGCGTAGCGACCCTTCCCGGGGACAAACTTTCAAGTTTTCGATTTGCACCAACCCCCCCCCCCCCCCTCAAACTTTTGATTTGCACCCCCCTCAAGTTTTTCTCTATATATTTTGCTATTTTTTGCCTTGGTGTCACCCCCCCCCCCCCTAAACGGTGTCACCCGGTGCGGTCCGCACCCCCGCCCCCCCCCCCTCGCTTCGCCCCTGAGCATAGGCGATTCTAGGGGTGGGTGTATGTGGGGGAGGCATAGCTCTAAAATTGTTTGATTTAAAAAAATGTAGACTTATTAAACATGTGCAGATCATTGCATATTTGTAATGTCTCATTATTCTGTTCTTAATGTATAGTAATATTTGTAAGGCTATGGGTGAATCTCGGAAGGATATTGGCATATAGGGTTTATTAGATTACTAATTTAATATCTATTACGCCGAAATGACATGTCACTGCGTTGGAAATAGCTTCAATACAAATGGATAACAACTGAGTTACACTCTTTACAAAGTGAGACAAGATTGACTGGCTATGCACAAGCGACCAGAGAAATAAAATAAAGCCCCCCCCCTCGACTTAAATTTTTTCCTAGTGCATTTTTTCAATCCAGGCTGGTGGAATACAGAGGGAGATGGGAAAATTATGGAACCGGGGCTGTAAGGGTTAACCAACAAAGTATGAAAATTTGAAAAGGCCTAACAGCTTCGTTCACTGCAGCCCACCGGGATTTCCCCCCCCCCCCCCTATGTCACGGCGAACAAGTCTACAGATTTGATAGCAAGTTCACAAACATACGACATTGTAAGCTCAGTAAAGGTTTAAAAAAATGGCATGGCATTATCAAAACCACTACTCTCCTTCCAACACTCAATGTCATTCACCTAGGAACGGAGGAAACAAAGGGGGGGGGGCATGGCGTCTAGCTCTGGTGTAAGAACGGATGGGGTGTAAACCACTGTAAGGCTATTGGTGAATCTCGGGAGGGATATTGAACTATAGGGTTTATTAGATTACTAAGTACTAAGTAAATGTAGTTATGGAAAACATACTTTTCATCAACATTGTGGTTATGGCTTGTGTTGAGAGTGGGAGAGTGTTTTTCTGACGATGTGAATCGGCAAAATGTCTTGACGACTTTGTGTACGATCCCTGTAGTCAGAGGCGTAGCGAGGGGGGGGGGGGGGGCGGGGGTTGCGGACCACACCTGGTGACACCATTTAGGGGGGTGACACCAAGGCAAAAAATAGCAAAATATATAGAGAAAAATAGTTTGGGGGGGGGGGTGCAAATCAAAAGTTTGAGGGGAGGGGGGTGTGCAAATCGAAAGTTTGAGGGGGGGGGGTGCAAATCGAAAATTGAAAGTTCGTCCCCGGGAAGGGTCGCTACGCCTCTGGGGGTGACACTCAGTGATTCTTCTAGACTTTTTTCTCGGGGGGGGGGGCACTTGAAATTTTCGGGGCGGGGGGCGGTAGACTTTCTTCGGGGGGGGGGGGGCGGACACTATTAAAAGTAGGCCTATATATTTTCTATATAAATTATATACATTTCATTTCGTTCGGGAGGGGGGGGGGGAAGAAACTCTGGGTGACACTATTAAGTGCCGCACCGGGTGACACCCGACCTCGCTACGCCACTGCCTGTAGTGTAGGTGTAGGATTTAAACATTGTTATAAAATGTATTAAAAGCAGAAGAAAAATTATAGATCTATGTGTTTCCTAAAGCATAGGTATATTTTTTTATACATGACATAACATATTTATTATACATGACATCCCTGCCTTGACTGCAAGGATTAGCATCTTACATCATTTTTGATAGCTGTATAGCAGTCAACCGACACGTACCCTGGTCCGGCTGAGGTCTGAAAACGTGCTAAAAATAACGTAGGAATCACCTACAAAACGTAACAGGATTTCCCTGTTGATTCGCCACGTAAACTTAATCCTGATATTACTACGCGTATTCCTCTGAAAAATATGTAATGCTATTCAACAATTTTTAAAATAATACCAAGCATTTAATTAATTTATATATTTAACATATTATAAGAAACATAAAGAAAATGTGTTTTCTTGTTAAACAAGAAAATTCACAATAATTTGTATTGCGTACTTATTTCCTTTTCGTGTGACGCGTGAACCATAATTATAGTAAACAGTTTGTATGAAAACATTCACTCAGCTGCATGGTTGTTGTAGCAATGCTATCCTATGCTAATCATTCTTTTGTGGCCGGTCATTAATAATATAATACACGAGTAATACAGAAGTGCAAAAAAGATTTTATTTTTAAAAAAGTAATCATAGCATAGCATATATAATGAACTTACATAGCAGTTTATGTGTTTTTCTTTTTGTATTATTAAATTTTACCTTGGGAGTCTGGCACGAACAGACTTGGAGTGGCGATGTTGCAGACCGGTGTTTCTGCAAGGTGAGGAAAGCATTCTTTCTTACTAGATCTAGATCTAGTACTAGATCTAGAATCTATATTTAATATAGATCTATACTAGATCTATATTATATATTAAATCTTGAACTAGATATCTATAGGCCTAATCTTAATCTTAACTATAGTCTAAATTATTACTAGAGTCTAGAATACTAAACCCATAGATTTAGAATTTAGAATATTAGATAGACTTAGACTAGACCTAGATCTAGACTTTTTTAAGACTCTTGCTTAGGCTTAGACTATGATAGTCTAGGTCACTATAGACTCTATAGAGAACAGTTGAACAGAGAGGTCTAGCTTCAGCTTGGATTGTTAATTGTTAGTCTAAACTTTAGAAAAACTCTTGACTCATAGTCATAATTCATAATCATTTGAGAAGTGACTCTGAACTGAAGTGAGTCTCCTCAGATGCCTTTAGTTAGACTCTTGAATTTTCATGCTCACTAACTAATAATGGTAATGGAGTAAGTAATGGTAGTAGTGTGTGTTAAAGTGAATATAGATCTATATATATTCATATGTTTATTATTTAGTGTGTAGTATGTGAGAAGTAACAGTAACAGAATATTTGAGTTTTAGATTTTTGAATTCAAGCTACCTAACTTTTTATTTTAGCATAAAGTAGTAGGCCTAGAGCTCTACTTACTTATTTTTTCTAGTCTAGTCTTCTCTTTCTATCTGTAACACTGAAATATTTATAGATTTCTAGAAATCTAGTATTTTATAGGCCCTGCCCTAAGCCTAAGCACTAATGTTAAAACTTAAAGACTTAGGAAGTTTAGTTAGTACTTAGTAGGGATAATCAATAAACAATGACAATGTCACATGGGGATAGGTAGATAAAAAAAAATTTGTAATGTGAGAAAGGGTAAGATCTGAAAAAGTGATAACAGTTTTTTACATTTTATGTTAGTAGGACTGGCCTAATATTAAGAGAATTATAGCCATTAGGCCTATTTTCATTTTAAAAAAAAAGATTTTTTATAAAGGCCCTAGGCCTATTGTATTAGAAGTTTATTGATGACAATATAATAAATATATGCAATGTTGACAATGTTGGTAAAAATCCTCCAAAAAAGCCTAATGTTGCTTATGCTTAGCAATTGTACTTGCTCTAAACAAACATGAGTCATCCCTTTTGATATGGATATAAAATTATACAAGATGTTTAGAAAAATCTTCAAACTATACATGTGTTTCTCCTGCGGACAATTATCCATATGTTCACATGAGGCTTTCTTCATGATTCACATTTTTGCCTTCAGGTTTAATCCTAATTTAATCATTTACAATGTTGAAAAAATATATTTGTTTTATCATCTGCTCTTTTCAGTTTAATTAGTTATTTTTAAGAGTGTTGTTATAATATAATGTAAGCAGGTTTTATCCTATGATGTTATAAAATTTAAAATGTTTTTTTTTTATAGCTACAAGGAGAGGTGGATGACTGCTCTTGCAAAGTAGAATCATTGGACTCATTAAATAATAATAAAATTTACCCAAGATTAAAAAGTTTGTTGTCTAGAAACTACTTCAGATATTTTAAGGTAGGAGTAATTGTATATTTTTAGAATCAAGATATGTTTTAAAGTAGTTTGTAAATAACCATCACATTGTTTTTCCTATTTTAAAATAATTTTTTTTATTGGCATTACTTTTTATCACCTGGAATATAGGTGAATCTTAAAAAGAAATGTCCCTTTTGGTCAGATGACAGCAGATGTGCCTTGAAAGACTGTCATGTTAATGTTTGTCAAAAGGTACATCTTATTCTCAAGTATATAATAGTGTTTGTTTTTAGATACTGGTTATCATTTTGTGCTTTGTACAATCCAGAATATGTCAGTACATAGACACAAATGTTATAGAAGCTGACTAAATTTAAAATGAGTCAAAGGTTCTGAACCATGTTAAGTCACTAATTATATTAATTATGAAATATGTAGCAACTGTACATTAATTTTAGTATAAGGATGGTGAAAGAATCTTAGAGGAATATTGGGTTTAAAATAATCCATTTTATCAACTTAGGATTTTTTGTTAAATTTTCTTTAATTTCTAGGATGAAGTCCCTATAAAAACTATAGAAAATGTTGAAAACCATGAAAAGAGAAAGGTAAGATACACAGCACACATTTTATCTAATCTGACAAAAGGTAACAGTTGCTTTTACAATTTATTCTTATCAATATTGATTTATCACGACAATATTCCAATAATTAGCTGGAGCAGAATGTTATTGGATTTTGTTGATTGAATCAAGAAAAAAAGATGATATGAAGGTTTTTTCTGAAGGGATTGTTGGTTCATTGCATTCAGTATTAATAATGTAGAATTCTATATACGTATTTTGTCCTGTGTTGCCATCTAAGGAATATTGATTATCAGTTGAAGCAGCTGGGGGTATTTTTGTTTATGTCAGATTATTGGTCAGAAAGAAATACAATGTTTCTGATACATTGACAGCATTTCAAGTATTTTCTATAAGTTTATTATCATTTTACAAGTACTGTATTTTTATAAGGAGTAAACTTAGATGCATCCACATGCTCGTGCTTGATTATTGTATATATAAGTATATATTCTTAAATTATACTTTTACATCTAGTCAACATTTATTGCATAGATATTTTTATCTTTTATCTTTTTTAAAAATATTTTTACAGTATTTAAATGAAAAATCTGGGCAAAAAGAAGTAGATGAGGCCCAATGTGCAGAGCAGAGAGAGCTTGGTGCTCTTGATAAAACAATCAGTCAAGAGAAAATAGCAGAGTTTCAGTCATGGAAGGAATATGATGAAGCATTGCCAATGTTCTGTGATGTTGATGGTCAGTAAACATTTCTTGTTATGTTCCCTTAATGTTTATACAATGTGAGCAAAAATGCTTTTTATTTCAAAATTAACAACTGGTGCCGTATTTAATGTGGGATGGTGTGGTCGAATAGCAGAACATGCGACTGCTATCCAGAAAGTCAAATCACAGGTTTGTGTTATTAGAATGTTCCTGAGTCCACTCAGCTCTGATGGACTCACATTTGGGAAGGTAAAGAATCTTGTGATTGTGAAGTGAACTGTGTCACTAATGTGATACATTTCTTAACAGATGAACATTCCAATGATGTTGAATATGTTGATCTGCTACTAAATCCAGAAAGATATACTGGCTATAAAGGATTGTCCCCCAGAAGAATTTGGAGATCAATATATGAGGAGAATTGTTTCAAGTTAGTTTATATTGTTATTCTGTAAATAAATTAATAATAAAACTGGTATAACCTATTTCTTCACCAAGACTGTTTCAAGCTAACAAAAAGTTGACCATTATAAGCAGTTATTTCTTTCATTTATATGTCAATAAATTAAATTTGACACTTATTCTTTCTTTGGGTGCTACCTCTTCCAGGCCAGAAAAAAACTACGGCTATGGACCAGAATATGGATCTGATTCGTCTCTTGAATCAAGTAAGTCCATTTTGTATTTTTACATTTGCTGTAATGTATGTCACATTGTGTAGTAGTAATACTAAATATTCATCATCATCTTTTCCATTTTGTGCCCAAGACACATGGGGATGCCACAGAAAGCCCCCATTACTTAATATGTCATAGCTATTTTTACTGTCTATTGTTGTTTGAAATATGTCATTGTTTTGTTAGAGCAAACACCTTTTTCTACTGTAACTTTACAGTTATATGACACCACTGAATTTAGCTTTTTATAGAGTGATACAATTAACTTATCTGATTAATTATAACTGAATAATATTTATATGTTGCTTACTTCTGCTTTTATTTAATTATTTAATTATTCTTTTAACATGCACAGTGTGCACAACTGGACTGTAGTTGATGTGTCTTATTGTTATTTGCATAATGTTTCTTAATTGTTCTAATATCAAGAAATGTAATGAATGTAGTTGGTAAATGGTAATACTCTAGTTGAGGACTAGGGAAAGGTAATCTTTGTCCACTAGTTAGTTGCTTGAGATAGTAGTCTTCTTCCCTGAGCAAGAACATGGCATAAGAGAATTTAGAAATTGTTCAAAAGATATTTTAAAATAAACACTTTAGTTTAGAGAATTTATGTTTTTATAATTATCAATTGGTAATCTCATTGCTTCTATTTTGTATTGCACTTTATTTAATTTAAACACCATCTATAATCAGCTGCAATCACATTTCAGGTCCATTATTTTCTAGAGGTAATTTGTAGTAGCACTGCAGGTTGGATATATATGAGGGATTTCTAATGGTTATTTGCTCTTGTGTAGTTTTATCCCTGGAAATTAAATTATAATTTCCACTTTAGTTAATGGAAGGTTGAAGCAGGGTTTTACTTATTTTTCTTCCCAAATGATATTCAAAATTATTTGAATTCTGATCATATCTCCTATCATTTATACAAAACAACAATAAAAACCCCTTTCATTTAAAAATAGATCACATTCTTTCTTTTTCATTTAAATTTGTTAATTGCAGGATCTGTTGAAGAAGGTAACATTGTTTGTTTATTTCTAATCGCAGGACTAGAAGAAATGTAACTCTTGTAATTCTTTGTTTTGGAAAAAAAAATGTAACTTTTCCTACAACAGGCAAGGATTGGTGATGGACTGGAGAGAATCAACAAAAAGCATGTCATGAAAATAAACTTTCTCTCCCCAATCCTAAACTTTATTCCCAAAATATATTTGACCTCAAGTGTTTATTACAGAGGCTAGAGTGATTTTGTTTGCACTACTTGATGTTCCATTCCAAGATAATAGTTAACTGATTTTGCAATTATCATTAACTATTAATTGTTAGGAAGTAAGCTGTTTAAAGAAAATTTGAAAGTAGTTTTCTAATAGTGAAATAGCTGCTAAAACAGTAAAAGTAAACTTCTGTAACATTTTCCCCTTCGTTGTAATAAAATATGAACAGTTTTCAGAGTTAGTAATGCAAAGAAAATATAACTGAGATACTAGAGACAGATTTTACCAATACAAAGGTTAATGGTTGTATGTATTTCAGCTCTTTCCATTTTCTTCTTTCTCTTGTTGAATGTTAATCCTTGAGTATCTTTGATCGGTTTGTTTATCTGAACTCATTTCACTGTATGATTTTTTTAAACATGATATAGGTCTGCATTTATGGTACTACTTTTTCCCTCCCTTTCATTCTTATTGATTTTATTATTTGGTTGTAGGATCTTTATCAAAAGTAGCCAAAACGTTAACAGATGCATGAAATACAAATATTTTCCAGGTTAATGAAGTTTATTAAAAGCTCATAAAAATTTTCCCTCATTTCATGATACACTAGTCTAAAGTTCTGTTCTACACAGTAAAAATCAGCTTGAGCCCTCAAATGTTAAAGTAAACAACTTGTTTGTGCTGCCTGTTGAAATACTTGAGCTAGTTTCTAAAGGTTATTCTCAGCAAATATCATACATCCTCTGTAAACTTTACCCCACACTCACATATTTTAAGCACCCCATCACAAGTATTTAGTTACACAATGACTCTTTAAATTTAATTTTTAGGTTAGCTTTTTCATCGTAGTATTCAATACAGTGGATTTATTTCTAACAAATACTTAAATATTTTATGTATTAATTACAATCGAGTATGTTCTCTTAAGTAACTGTATTGGGATGCCTTACCCAGATAGGTGCCTCAGCTCAAGGTTTTGTGTATAACTAAGCCCATTAATGCCTCATGTAATGGTTTTTTCTGCTATTTATTTTTAGTTGTATTATTTGTATCTATTAAAATTATATGTTAGGACTTGAGTATCTTTTGTCTTACTTCCTGTTATCTTGGGTTGTTTTTTTTTGGTAAACAAGAAAAGCCATTGTATAAAAAACTGCTTTGCTGTAGGTTTCTTTATTTTTTCATTAGCAAGCTATCATTTTAAATAATCTGCATAGTTTGGAGTTTTATATGAAATGCAAATTTTATTTAAAAAGAGTAAAATTGTATTTCAATAATTTATGTTCAGCTTTAGATATGTGCATGTTTTTTTATCATTAAAACCCAAATCAATACAATGTTTTATTATATGTTTAATTTGCAAAAAGATAGAAGAAATTATATGATCCTATATTTTACAGTTATGAGGTATTCATGGTTTTTTTATTTAGAAAGTTGCTATTTCTACACATGTAAATGGCTTTTCCATTTATTTTTAAATAATTTACATACATTTCTAAACTACTGATGCTTACAGTCAGCTTGAAAATGTTAATGTGTTTTAATGATTTAAAAAAAAAATTTAACTACACTTTTATATATTAGCTGTTAATTGCAAGTTTAGAATTTTGATTTTTTGTTCAAAACAACATGCATTAATAACATTGCAAAGATGTTAGTTTCATTTCTTTTGGATAGTTATGAGCATTATACTTGCGTTAACATTACAAGCTGACAGTAAAATACTATTGAAACACGATTTAATAACCCAATGCAGACTTGTCAAATATGATTGATTTGAAGATCTTGTTTGTTGATTAAATTTGAGCTAGATAGAAAAATAATGTTATTTAACACAGTGAATTTATTGTTTGATTTTTTTATGGAGGTTTATGATATGTTTTTTGTTTTTTAACATTCTAAACCACTTTTAATACAAATGAAACAATTATTTGCAGGTATGTGCCTTGAAAAAAGAGTTTTTTTCCGTTTGATTTCTGGTCTGCACACTAGCATTAACATTCACCTTTGTGATCAGTACTTGTTTCCTGGTAAGACTTTTTATCAATTGGAGCTAAATACTCGTAGTTAGATATTTTCAAACCCTTTTTAGGGGTAGTGGGGGAGACATACTATTCAACATTGTAAAAGAAGTTTTGTTTTGTTAAATGTTTCTTCAGCTAAAGGTGGTTTTGGGTCTGGCCACTGGGACCACAATTTAGAAGAGTTTCAGTCCAGGTTTGATCCAGCTCTTACCAACAACCAGGGACCTCAGAGGCTCAAGAACTTGTACTTCACATATCTCATTGAGTTAAGGGCCTTGGCTAAAGCTGCTCCATATCTCAAACAGGTTTGTTCTTGCTTTTGTGGATTACTGCCAGAACAAGTTTATATTTTAAAATACAATTTGGTTAATTTTAATTTTTGAATTCAGAAATACACTGTTCCCTCCTGATTTTTAAGTAATAAGCACATAATTTAACATACTATGGACTAACTTAATTACACTTTTTTAAAAACCAAAATTAATCCTGTTTTAGTTATTTTTAGGTACAAAACTAAAACCAGATTAAAATATGCATTAATGTTAATTTGTTTCAGGAAGGGTTCTATACAGGTGATGCAGAAGAAGATGCAGATTTGCAGCAAGGGATCAACAATCTACTGGATATCATCAAGTAAGTCATGTTTGTTTAACCAGAGAAGGGCATTTGTTGGTACATAAGTATGGTGGTTCTGTTGACTTTCTTTTACTACATAAACACAATAATATATTGCTCTACAATTTTTCCCTTCTTAGATCTTTTCCTGACCACTTTGATGAGTCACAGCTCTTTAAAGGCAACTCAAAGGAAATGAAACAGCTCAAGGTCTGCATATATTTTATCATATTTAAAAACAAAATGTATGCTGGGAATAGAAACATTAAATAGATATGAATTTAATATTTAAAAGTTGAATGTTTTGCTTTGTTTAAATTTTATATTTATAGGCGGAATTCGTGCAGCATTTTCGCAATATTACTCGCATCATGGATTGTGTTGGCTGCGACAAGTGTAAACTGTGGGGAAAACTTCAGGTAAACTTTATGATGCAATACGTTTATTTTGGTAAGAAAATTTACAACATGATATATGGGTACAGTAGCCAGAAGGTCTTGAGTTGGATCATGTCCGGACTGTAGGACATCCCTGAACTCTGATGATGGGTACCTGACTCACATTGGGGAAAGTAATGGTGGCTGACCACACCATTTCTTTATATGCTGGGGTTAAAGAAACATGAACTCTCTCTGACGTATGCTATGAAAGGGGAGCTTCACTTAACTTTTTTATATAGGTACAGAAAACTTGAGAAGTTTTACCATTGATGTTAATGTATGATGATGAAATGATTATTGTTCTTTCTTGCCTTATTTTAAATAAAAGCTTTTGTTTTCCCTCAGATCCTGGGCATGGGAACTGCCTTGAAAATACTTTTCTCTGGTGATAGCATGGGTCTACAGTCAACTGTGAAGTCAATGAATAAAGATTTTCAACTCACTAGAACAGAGATTGTTGCATTGTTCAATGCATTTGGAAGGTGAGATTTTTTTTATGCTTACTGATATTCAATGGTTTAATTAGACTTTAGAAAAAAGTATTCATAGTACTAGTTTAAAAATATATCTTAAGTATGAAGGAAATATCTTGTATAACAGCTATGTGTAAATTTTTAGCTGTTTCTGTCTTTTAAAACGCCTTTGCAATTTATATTGTAAAATGTAAATACCTGTAAATATTCTGCGAGGCGAATTAAGGCTAATTTTGGCAAACCTAAAAATGTTAAACATATATAATTACTTAAAAATTGTTCATTTTGCATGACCCAGATGCAATTTTATTTATGTTCACCACAATTTAATCATGATATATTTTTTTTACCTCCCTTATTTAGGTTATCCAAAAGTATCCATGCCATAGAAACATTCCGCAAGTTAGCAACATAATCAAGCTCTTAATTTATTTTATCTAGCCTTGTTCAAATTTTTTTTCTTTATAGTATTTCTAAAAATCCTTTTTTGAAAATAATTTTAAACTGTTGTTTCCATGTTTTCAGCCAGTTGTAAATAGTCCCTCTGTAATTGTGCTTTTGTGGTGCATACTTGTATTTATATGTGCATCAGTTGTTTGTGGGCCTTTATTGACATATGTTGAAAATAATTTAAAGATAGCTGAACGATTTGTTTAAAATATGTTGATCACCTGTTTTATTTATTTAGTTCAAATTTTAAAACATTGCTCGAACATGATTACATTTTTTAAAATCTAATTTGTTTTAAAGCTTGTGTATATTGTTTTAATAACATTTTTCTAAAGCTAAAAAAAAAGTTATGACAGTTGTATGATTTCCTTTGCTTACAAAACCACCAAGTTTGATCACCAAAGAGAAAAAAAGCAAATTAAAACTTGTTAATGTAACAACTGTTTAATTTACATTTTTTCATCAGTTTCAGTACCTTAATTGAATCTAACAGTGCAATTAAACATTTAAATTGTCGCACCTCCATTATATAATGTTTGAAAATTTGATTATTGGTTAAAAATCTTCTTTTCTTTATAAAATGAGTGTTATTAAAAAAAAAACCTAAATTTTACTTTAAAGAAGTAGCAACTAATTACTCTTGGTAAAATTTAATTTGATTGCCTAGATATTATGTTTCTGCTTGGATGCACCTTTTTCAGTGGCATTTCCATTTTTTTAAAAATGTTTGTAAAATGTTTTAAATCATTCTTTTTATTTTTAAATATTGTTTTTTATGTGTATGAAGTCATGGGTAATTTGTTAAAAATTACAATTGAATGCTTGGTAAATTCCTATTTTTACATAAAATATGATTAGAAAATAATATTGTAGCTTGTAAATGAAATATTTTCATATTTTATTTCTGTGATCTTATCCTATACATAACATGCTAATTATTGTCATTGCAAAGTATCAAAATATATTTGTCCATGAAATGTTAGTTTGAAATGTAGAAGATCAACAAATTTAGAGCTGTTTCTATTTCCTACTCATGTTGAGTAATGCTGGCATTCTGTGCATTTGTCAGGACAATCCATTTTCTTTGTTTATGAAGTACAGAGGCTATATGAGATGTTATTACTTGTTATCTTCTTGATGAATCTCTGTTTTATTTTGCTACTAGTACAACTCAGTACGTATTAGTCAAGTTGTTCAATGTTTGACAGAGTGCCACCATGGTACAAATGTTTGACCTGACAAGGTCCAGCTCTTGGTCACTACTAGAACTCAGGTCTGGGGTGCCCAGCCATGACATACTTGGTACTACAATATAGGATTGTATTTAGTTTTACATGCAGTTGTGGAAGAGTTTTACAACCCTTGTTAACCTCTAGGAGGTTGCAGCCACTCTTTTTGCATCTGGCATTTGTGGTTATTTTGTTATTTGAGTTTGGGCTTGGATATAAGGAAAGCTCAGCATTCATGCATTTTCACAAGTTTTCTTAAATTATCATGTTCTGGACCCACCTTTCACACATTTTTAGTTTTTATCAACTATTGTTTGTATACTGGTGTGCCCTTAAAATGTGTGTACCACAGATAAGGAACACTGTATTGAGTTTATCTTGTGATGGAATTATTCTGTGATACTCATTTACCTTGTTGGGGCCACATGTTACACTTGGTGGTGCGCTTTAGTGAAAAGTCTCTTCATATCATTTGATATTATTCAAACTAACTGTTTTATTTTATGCAAAAATATAATTTTACCAAAATCTTATAAAAATGCTCCAACTGTAATTTTTTTTTCACTCAAATTCATGATTTGGTGTGCTGCATAAATTGCTTTTGTCTAATTGCCAAAGCTGTTTTGTTTTTGATATAGTCAGCCACCTGATTTAAAATATGTGCTGTCGGGGTCAGTTCAATAACAAAAGTAGGAGGAGGGGTGGGTTCAAGAACCGTGACTGGCATAGTTTTGTATTTCTAAATTAAAAAGAAGGCTAACATGTTTATTTTGGGTTGAAGTGGGTTTTTTTTGTTTGGGGGGGGGTCTAAACCTTTTGAGGTAAAAGTAAAGTCGCATGTCATCTATGGATAATTCCTCTGATAAAACATGGACTTTTAAAAAGTTTATCACTTTATATGCTGTTTCCCTTTGTAAAAAGTAATTCTAATTTAAAAACTTGTTTTGTACCAATATTATAGAACTTGAAATTTTGACATTCGATTTAAATTTAATTTCTACTAGTAGGAACCTGAGATAGATTTTTAATATCTCTCTGATGTATTTATACTTAAGATATGATTTATTTTATGTTATTTGAATGAATGAATGCCAACTTGAAATTTTGACATTCGATTTAAATTTAATTTCTACTAGTAGGAACCTGAGATAGATTTTTAATATCTCTCTGATGTATTTATACTTAAGATATGATTTATTTTATGTTATTTGAATGAATGAATGGTTGGCAGAGTTCAATATTACTTCTTGAATGACAGTTATAATTTGCTATTAAGGAAATGTTTGATGCTGAAGTTTTTATCTGATAATGTGTCAACATTGTTCATTTTTAACTATGCTTACTTACATCAGTGATTGCGATTAAAAAAATAATTTTATAATGAAGATTAAAAAGTAATAAAATGCACATAGAAAAAGAAATCCTTGCATGTTTTTATACTTGTCATCTTAAAAATGACCACAAATATGGGTGAATTTTACCATCTTTTAGCATTGCCCTGTGTTGATATAACATCATTTATGGCCATGTTTTAAATTAACAATATAATTCAGTATTTACTATGTTCTCTGTTGCATTGAACAACCTACTGTAATAAATGCAGTTTACTTTAGTCAGTTGCTTTTATATTGTAACTATACATTTGTCCAAATTATTGCAATTAAATATTTGTATGAAAGTTTATACCCTACACATTTATTTGTTTTAAAACTTTATTCTTCTGAATTATCTTATCCTGTTCCTTCAAAGAACACAATTGGCATTAATTTAAGCAAAAAGTGAAAGTAATTTGATTTGTTAGGAAAATTAATGAGTTTAGCATGGAAAAATAAGTGTAACATATTGTAAATGCAACAGGCCTTAGGGACCGGTTAGTACTAAAAATCTTTGCTCTGGACAAGTCTGTACAGATAATATGAAATTAAATCTCTGATTCTATCAAGTCTATTTTGACCAAAGCTAGCATTTTAATGTGATTGCCAAGGAAAAAGTATTTGCTTTAATATTCATTTGAAAACAAGATTAAAATGATTTTAAGCATTTTTTAACTTAATGTGTATAAAAATATTAAATGACATTTTTATGAAAAAAAAAAGTTGTATTTTTATATTATGCATTTTTCAATATAGTTTTATCAATTTGTAAAAATTGTGTGCTCTAAGGTCTTTAAAAAATCTGATCTTTTGAGGTAACCCTTGGCCAGCTTACCATGATTAATTTGTTTTTGCTAAATGACATGATGCATTGAAAAATTGCCTAAATATTTGAGCCAGAAACTCTGAGCCAAGACTTATAAGCTGAACTGCTATGACTACTTTAGTTATGGAATTTTTATGTTAGAATAAAAAATAGCACACAACCATTCCAAGCTCCTATGTAAACTGATGTATAAAGTACCCTGTGCCAACTCTGCATTGTACAATTTATTGTTTTTACCTTTGGGAAGCTCTCAGTTGCTGATTTTAAAAAAAGAATAAAAAAAAAACATCCTGGACAACTGATTGAAAGAGGATTTTAATTGCACATTATTAAAATAATTACAGCAGATAGTACTTGTTCCCGTATAAAAACTGAAAAATTTCAACCTGGGCAACTATTTCTAAAATAAAACAAATTGACAATAATTAATGTCACTTGTAGAATTTTTCATTACCTGTGGTATTTTTGTGTCTTGTATATGCCAATAATAGCCATGAATTTGATTGTCCTGTTACACAACTGGTCAATTCATTTGCCTTATGTAGGTCTCAACAGTAAATTTGAAAAAAAATTAATGGTTTACAGGTTTGGTTACAGAACTTTTCAGTATTTTGTTACTTATTATATTATAAACAGTATACTAAAAAATGTAATGACAAAGTTGGATAAAAAATAACCTTACAAAATATTAAAATTCATATAAAATGAAAGTAATTTGTTTCTCAACAAATGCATTAAAAATGTGATGTTTAACCTTCTCAACATTCACACATTTTATTTCTCATCCATTTTTACCAATGGATTAGAAAAAATAAAGTATATAAAAAGTATTACTTATCTTTTAAATATGGTAAAATATAAAAAAAGCACACAACACTTATATCTGCCACACTAAATGGATCTCTACAGGTACAATTTTCTAACCTACCAACAGCTAAGAGTTTCTCCCAAAACTTTATGTTTATAAACTGTAAAGCACGTGAACAAAAAATCAATCTTCAGTGTATTTTACACCTGATTCCACATTACAAGCAGGAGGTCCATTAAACCTGAAACTAAACAAGTCACCAGATCAGCTCCTATGTTTCTTAAGTTGGAGCTGTAAAAAATGGAGTGTAAACTGTTTTCAATACAATAAATGATCACACTGTAACATGAACAGTGACGGAATCTAAAAATCACAACAATTGTAAAAAAAAGGTCAAATGATCACGCAGCTGATAACAAACAGCTCTTCAGATAGGCCTTTACATTATAGTGTACATAGGAACACAGTCAGAGCATACAGACAAGCAAAAGTTGTGCAGTGATTTTTCTCAGATAAAATAAACTTAAAAAACAATTGGCTTAAATAATTAAAAAAAAAAAGCTTATAGCTTACAAAACATTTTCTTAAATACAGTTCTATCTGATAATGTATTCACCTACTGAAAATGTATGATGTTTTTATTTTCAAAAGTATTCAACACAGTTCTTTTGTTTTGGGATGAACTTCTCACTATTTTGTCAATGGCATGGGAGATGGTGTGTGTGTAGTTAAACAATCATATCTAAGCTTTCTGCTTTCTGCTATTGTTTTTTTTTTTTGAAAATCTTATCTAGATTTATATATAAAAAATACAGAGTTGAGAGGACTAGATGTTCTGTGGGAGGAAAAATTTGTTTAGGGGAATTAAACTATTTCAGGTCAACTAGCCAAGAGGAGCTGGCCAGACAACTTTAAGACTAGACTTGAAGACTGGATCTCCAATGTTCAAAGGTTGACCACTGAGTAAAAAATAGTCTAAACCAGACAACAGAACAGCAGTTTAAACAGCAGCTTTTGTGCCAAACTCATTCATTTATGGAAGATAAGGTTAGCTGAGATCTTGCTAGGAGAAATTTAAAAATAGAATATGGGACATGCAATTTGCCAAAATGTATTTTATCCTGTTAAATGCTACAATAATTTTCAATTCTGAACATATTAAGAAACATTAAAAAGTCATTTTGATTACTTTACTCAGACACACACAAATAAAGATACTGCTAAGCTCTTAACAATCCATATAAAACCCACAAGAAAAAAGTTTTTAATTCAAATAAGAGGCACAAACTCAAGTAATACTTGATCAAAGCTATAGTTAACAGTGAGATAAAATTTTTTTTTACAACCTTAGATGCAAAGCAGTTCAATAAAATTTACATCACTTAAATTGGCAATTTTGTTTTTCCTTAGCCATTCTACCAGGTAGCTTTTGTTAAAAATACCAAAAGGTTATACAAAATTTGGTTTGGCAACAAATGTAGAAGATTAAAGTGAACTTATCACAGTGAAACATCGTTATGGAATGTTGCAGTGAATGTCTGCAGCGATCTATGTATTTACACATATATAAATTAGTTTACACTCAAAAGCAAAATAAAATATTCATGTTTTAGAGAGTCTTGCAATATTTTTTTTCTTAAAAGTTACACTTGATTTTAAAATATTTTAAAATGTTATAAAAGCAGTGTGTGTCATTTGAAAAAAAAAATGTGTTTGTGGTTTAAAGCTTATAAAAACTCATAACTACGCATAATAAGTTTATAAGCTAAATCATGTCATACATTTTTTATCAACACATTAACAAATGTAAATTTAAAAAACATAAAAATTTAAAAGCTCATTTCAATTACATGCATGGTAAATTGTTTCATATAGATGAAAATGTATATAACACATATTGGTAACAGTATTTTTAAAAATTTGAAATAATCTGGAATGCAGAGTTTTGAAGATAAAATAGGATCAGCACAACTTTATAAAAATGTAGTGCAGGAATAAAAAACGGAACACAGTTTAAGCATAATTAAAGCTGTTGTTACCAATGCCATCAGATCAGCAGATTTACAAAATATTTTTTTAAAGGTGTAAGTAAATAAAAAATGCCAGTTTCACTGTCTAACATTAATTTCACTTTCAATTTTTGTTACTATTGATAACTACAAATTATGTTTAATTATTCATTAATTTATAAAAATAAACAACTAAAATATAGTTTTAATTGTCAAACATACATTAGCTTTTAATTTTTTTTCTTTACTCTGAATAACTAAAAACTATGTTTAATTATGAGCTAATTTAAAAAAATGTACCAAAATAAATTTCAATAGCCCATAATTTCGATCCAATTCGAATGTGAAAATATAACCTAAAATTTTAAGCATCTTCATTCTTTGCACTCACAGATCACTTAAATATTTACATTTGTTTGATTTTTAATGGTAATGAAATCACCAGCAATATACAGATATACTTCTTTAAAATTTCCTTCAGGAAGACATCAACTACTCTGTTACCAACCAAATTTTAAATCCAATGTGTGGAAGTATTGTTCTGTAAAGGTGAGTAGTTGTTGAGAACAGTGCCCTTGTCTATAGTTTTAAAGCAGAGCTGTGGGGCCGTAAATGGTTTTGCCCTGAAGGAATGATAGCTCCATAGCCATGTCTCCTTGGGGAATGTATCACAGTGTTGTTGTTGGGTGTTGTAGCGAGGGGACTGTTGGGATGTGGATATGATGAAGCAGAGGAATAGTATCCCCACACAGGTGCATTGATTGGTGTACTTCGTGGTGTTCCTCTGGGTGTGTGGGACCTGAAGCTGTCAACACCACTGAGGGTTCGAGCTCCACCGTAATCAGCACTGAAAGTCAAATAAATTACTTTTAATATGGAATTTAAATACTTCACAATTAAACATAAATAGATCAAATAGAAATTAAAAAACCAATAACTTAGAATTTTAAAAATGAAAACTGTTTTAATAAAGTTTGAGAAAAAAAACAAATCTTTGTTTCTACAACAATGTGTAAGACTAATCTCTTTAACAAATTTTGTTTGTAAAATATAACATGTTTTCTGTGGGTTTATTGAGCTCCAAAAGTAGGGATGATTGGCACCAGATAAGGAGTGATGTCAGAACACAACTAGTGTGAACTGTAGCATGAAATGTTTAACATTATATGTTAGATAAAAACATAGAGACTGTTTAACTTTATTTTCTTACTGTGGACTAGATCCCTGCTGTGTGGACAAGTCATCCTCGCTGTCATAACGACGAGGATTATCAAAGAAAAATACTCTTGATCCATGACTTTGAGATGAAAAATCTGTCAAAACCTGTAATTTTAAAAAGTTGAAACTGTATACAAAAAATTTTAAATTTAATTTTTAACAATAATTTCCTGTTACTATAACATAACCTTATATGCATTTTACGTGACTTAAAGGGAATTAATTATAATCTATCTTCAGTTTCAAACAGTTAAAAATGACTCACTTGTCCAGATGTAAACCTTTTTACTCTAAAAAAGATGACAACTATTGAGATTGGCAGAACTTCCCAAACAAAGAGTACCATTCCAAAGGATACATAGGCCAAGCTTTCAGACAGCCGAGGTACAGAGTCAGCCTGAAACATTAGAAAAATAATTAAATAATTTAAGATGATTAAAAAAAAAAAAACCGAACAAATAACATAATCACATGGTTTATCTTTTAAAAAAACTATAATTGTAGAAATCTTGATTTTAGTAACATTTTGCTAATTATTTCAGTACTGAAACCCTCGGTATTAATGTAGATCTACATCAGGAGCTGAAAAAGATCCTTTTTGGTCAAGGCAATAACATCTTATGAAAAGGCATCATAACTGTATAAGCATTTCAGTATCATTTAAAGTAAACAGAATGTACTCAAGGTTTTTTTTAGAAAATAGATTATTGTTGGAAAAAGAAAATGTACTTGATCTGTTACATTGATCCAGTCATATCCAAAGTTAGGTGTAGACTTCATGGCCGGGCAGATGGAGATCAAGTTGTAGACGGTGCGTGAAAGAAACAAAAGTGTGATGAGAATGGCAGCCGCTACAGCTTTCTTTACAGTTGTTCCCTGTAAGAAGAGATTATGTTGCACAGTTAAACCACTTCAATCAAATCAGTAAATCATTATAAAATTATTAAATAAATATCTTAAACACAAAAGGTATTTCAGAATAAAAAAAAAATTAACATTATTAATTAAATCTAAGGACAAGTAAAAGTTGATCAAAAAAGAATAAAAGCTTTTAAACTTCCAAACAGATAAACACCTTTGCTTCCAAAACTCTTTGTGATGAAGCCATCTTTGTCATCTTAAATATGCACACAGAAAGCAGAATGCCATATATTAAAAACATGGTTTCTGTTATTGTGACTCTAATGTACAGCAAAAACAGAGGGACTGAGGCGTAGTCCCTTTCATGTTGCTTGGTGACTATGGCACACGCTAGATTCATGGCTGTGAACAGCATCACTGACAACCCAAGAAATAAACGGAGAGGTCGCCTAATGAAAGAAAGAAAACTATTTATTAAACAATAATTGTAGTTTTAAACGTGTCTATTGTTTCTCATTCATTTGCTTACCAGCATATTTGTGCAGCTAAATAGTTGATAAGATAGTTTTTTCAAAGTAAACAACCCTTTCAAACTGCAGGTGAAGTAGAGTTACCTGTCTTCAGTATATAGAGGGATAATGTGTTCACCTCGATGCCCACCCATATTTATTTCCCTTAACATGAGTTAGGTACCCATTAGAGCAGGGTGGACTCAGGGATGTCTTATGGATTTGAGCTAGAGATCTGAACAAGAGACTTGCAGGTTAGCAGTCTACCACTTGACCACACCATCCCACAAGATACTTTAATTGCTGGGTTTAAAGCTAGCTTAGGGCTTAAGTATCATGATCAGCAACATAAGTATCATGATCAACAATAATATCTACACAAATATGAAGGTCTGGCTTAATCAGAATGATCTCAACATCTTAAGATAAAAAAAACAGCAATTTAAAAACTAGATAACTTTATTCATTAGTTTGTAGGGCTGCTACCACAAACGCTTTGGCTTCTTTTACAATTAAAACAAATCCATTTAGATTTTAATTTTACTCCTATATTCACAAATGATTTTAATTTAGATTGAGAAGTGAGTGATTAATTAATAATAATGAAGATTGAGCTAATTTGACCCAGCCATCTATTCGTTAACAAAATAAAAATTAGCATATGTTCAATTCAGTATTGTAAAATAATAATGACTCACTGGTATTGCTTGGGCTCATACTTGGCCTTTGCTTTGAATACAACCTAAAACAAAAATGATTTTTTTAAATGCTGAAAAAAGTTAACACATAATGATAAAAACAGAGGAGTAAAGGGCTCTACTTATGTAAACATCAGTAGGACAGTATTACATCAGGATTTTGAATAACGTTCAATATTGAATTTAATGTTGTGGAATTTAATTCAAAATTTATGGCTAACTATTTGGTTCATACCATTGTTTTCTTTACCATCCAAAACAAAATGTGTTTATAATGGTTTGAAAAGGAATGAGGTCAACCTTATGATGATGTGTGATAAGTGGAAAATGGACGGGAGGAATAAGAACATGTCAGAAAATTGACTTTCCCACTCTCCCCCCCCCCCCCCCCATTAGCTGCCCAGGGCAATGGCCCTTGGTACATAGCCCCCCCCCTGTCCCAACAACTGCAGTAGGACTTTAACCTCTAATCAATTACCCACTGGTCATTTGGAGAAAGAGATAAGGTAGAAATAGATTAAGGATACATTAGGAACAGGTTATGTAAAGCTATAGATTTAGATAAAGGTCTAGGTAAGGGATGGGTATAGGTATTATTACAGGCATTGTTAAGGGATAGGAATAGTGATAGGGAAAATGAAATGAGATTGGGAAAAATAGGTTCAAAATAGGGATAATTATAGGGATTGGAATAGAGTAATGTTTATGTTTGTGTCTAGGATTATATATTTGCATAAAGACATTTAAATAAATTTTTTATATATTCTGCACAATCCAGGTAGTGCCGTTTATATGCTGCTACTTGGATAATAACAACTACATTAATTGGATAATTATGCCTACGCTATTTGATTAACCATATTCCAATGTATTGAAACTGCTGACTTAACAAAATGCTCTTGGTATATGTTAGACAAAATAAGCAAATAAATAGAAAATTGCTCAAATATTGGCTAATCATAGTGTCAGCCACTGGGACAATCAATGATCCCAATTACTATATGCAAAATGCACTTGTATGTAGAGGTAATTCCTACCAAAAACAAAAATAAATTATCGATACAGCATCAGAATTTAATCCGTTATAATCTGTTGAACATATTTAAAGAGGAATTTTAAACTCTCTCTATTTTAAATGTACCTTTACTTACACAAGCCTACCATACTACACCAAAATAAGATTTTAAGAAAAGTTGTGTTTTCAGACTTCATATTATTGTGTACATTTTATAGGCTAAAGAATAGAATAAGTAATACATAGTGTTTTAGTTATCAGTATGGAGTTCTCATATCTAGAAATAGGTAAAAAAAATTATATGGCAACAAACCAGACAATAGAATCTAGATAAGACAAAACATGTGAAACTTCATTCCCATTAACTTGATAAACTATAAAGTTGTTGCTAATAAAAATTACAAGTAACTGTAACACTGTTTACGACCTTACTATTGATGATTACTTTTCTACTTCAACTAACTAAACCATAACCTTGTATAACACCAAAGGACAACTATGTGATAATGTACACCAATGTACTGATAAGACTGATTGATTTTTAGATAAATTCAAGCAGACAATGACTTTAGATCTCCTATCATTCCAAAATTATCAAGCTGACCCTTTTGTGGGAATTTTTTATCTTTTATCTTGTATGCTATGGAGGGTTTACAGTATTCCAGATCAGCCAACAGGATTAGATTTAAAATTTGTTTTGTTTAAAGAGTACAGTTTACAATAGATATTGGAAAGATTGATAGATTAATTTATAACTGGTAATATAAATGTAAAAGTGTAGCTCATAAACATGTGAACCAGTAAATACTTACTAGACATCTATATTAAACTCAAAACAAATGCACATGGACAAATATACACAACAAGCAGTTAATCATTAACTTTAAAAAAAAATGTCTCTCTTATACTAACTTTGTGTAAATATTGATCTGTTATTCTCATGCTGGGCTCAAATTCCACCATCCCAATATTATATTAACAGCAATGAGTTTTGTTGAATGGCATTGGGATGATTGAGTAAAATAATGAATTGGTTTCTTATAATTAAAAAAATCAAGCTAATAATGTACATTTTAACTATTTAACAGACAAAGTAACAGACAAAGGAAAACAAGATGCGAGTTACTCAAGTTACTGAAAGCATAAACTATTATAACTTAAAAATAGACTCAATTCTATGAGTCACACTCATGCTGTATGACATCTGCTGTTTATAGTTTTATCAAGGGGCATCACTGGTTACTTAGCTCAACCAATACAAGTCTGACAGTGAAAGTGGTGGATGGGAAAAACAACATTAGGGTTAACTGTTTAATAACATACAAAGAATATTAGATTGCACTAAAAATAAAATTGATTAAACAACCAGGATGTAATTTAAATAAATAGTACAAGTAGGCCTATATGCTTTCTTTTTGTAGGTTTGGCACATTTAATTTGAATTTTTTAAATATTGAAGTGTTTTATGACCTAAATAAATTGAAAAAAAAAATTGAACTAAAGTGAATTTTAAGGGACTGCCCATAAAATACATCTTGCCTGTTCTCTGATGCCTGTGTGTGACGGTATAAAGAGGTTCTATTATGCTGGCATTTTCACTAGCGTCACAAGGTGGGGGCTGGGGAGTTGTTCACAGCTTGTGACACCAAGTGAAAATCATAAAATCTACAGTCAAGAGTTTTATTCTGTTAAGATACATTAGTAGGGAAGAGGGGGTGATACCAAACCAAAAATGCAAAACTGTTGGATAGGCTATGGTGACATCCTCAGTTCCCTAACACCCAACCTAATGACGCCACTGTTGGAGTTACAGACTTTTAACATGTACACTAATAAATACATCAGGCATAAAAGCACAGAAACTAAACAGTGTATAGCTTCTTACCTTGCCGGAAATCATAAGTACAGTTTTTTAAGCAGAGAATGGACTAGACAATATACATATCTAAATTATCTAATAAAGATTTGATACACTACAAACCTTCAACCTTTCATCCACATCTTATTTAACATGTGAGAACACACATTCACATCACCTTTATAGATCAACTGAGTTAAATAAAAATGTTTTTAAAAATTACCTGAGCAAAAAAATGCAGAAGTAAACACAACATGGAGAACTGTAGACAAACAGGGAAGCTATACAGGAGCCAGTACAGTGCAATCTCCAAATTATTGGCCTCTTCACAATTGTAGAAGTAGAATGAGAACAACGAGGTCCTTAATCCAGCCCATAATAAACCCATAAAGAGAAAAAGAGTTTGGTGGCTCAAGCGTTTGTGTCTGTAGTACCATATCATCCACAATTGCACATACACAAGAATAAATATTAAGGAAAACATCACAATATATACAATTGTCAGACTGAGTTGAACTGTTGATGGTAATGCTGGTTGGAGAGTTGGCAATGACCCCCAAGATGAGGTTGTTGTTCTTCCATCATGTGAAATGGTTGGGTTGAATTCAGTCTCCTTAAAAGATGGAAACAGTTCACTGGAAAAGGAAAGTGCTTCATCCTGGTGCAATATATGGCTTTGTTTTATCATAAATTCTTCTGAAATTTTGTGATTGTGGCTACTGTTTGAATCACCCAATTGTGAATCAGCTGCAGCAGTGCTGAAATTTCTGTTTTCCATTGAGTTGAGCTAGATCTAGATCTAGATCTAGAATCTACATCACTCAGTCCTTATCTTAATTGGAGAACATTTGTGTTCATGCAATATTTAGAAATATCTCTTGAAATGCCTAGTCAAGTGAGAGCTGAATGTGACTTGATTACAAACACTTGAAAAACTCACTTCTGGCTAGCACTCGGATTTTGGTTAAACTTGCACTGTTAAAAAATAAATCACCTAAAATCAGCTGATCGCATACATCCACACTTCGTAGAATTAGAAACGGACTATTTTTATCCAGAACACTCAAATATGCTAAGTACCTGGTAAGAAAATGTACACAACAAAACTGATATTCGAAGCACTACTAGGTTAGGTCAAGGAATTGTGAATTGTAGTTGAGAGGACCAAGCTAGTTCTTCTGTTGTTTGCTCAGCTGGAGGTGGTGGCGATTAACACGGAAATAAATCTGATTTGTAAACTTTCTTAACCCCTGACTTTTGACCTCGAGCACTTTTTTCTTTTACAGATGATTTTTAATAAATCTATAAACTATGATTGCTTTACACTTTAAATTTAATTTTTAAAATTTAATGAACAACAGAATCCCATTTTTTCCTACCCAATGAGTTGTACTTTGATGAACTTTTCTTTTGTAAACAATTTCATTTGGAGCGAGTCTACTTTAAATGGCAGCGCCCTTGAGTTTGTAAACTACACACACACATCTACTACTGTACTACAACTACACTTTACTACACTCATCTGCACTACACAATCATTCAATTCACTCATAAGTTGGATAAACAAGTAATGAAACAAAAATGAATAGAATAGTAAAGCAAGTTTTTGCTTCATACTATTTAAAACCGAAGACATTTTATAGGTACAAAAGTGATCATTTGAATAGTGATTCTGGCACCAGCAGCAAAACTAAAGGCAAAAAAAGCAAACGATACAGCCACACCTTAAATTTACCAGTGACTTCTTTTCCTTTATCTATGAAAAGTGGTGCTGCTCCTCAACGAGAATTAGAAATTCAACAGGTGGATAACTTTCATGCGTTTGGCCTATTTATTAGATTATATAATTAATTAATAATTTTTATTTATCAGTGGATTTCTTGCGTTTTAGGTAGGCCTATGTAAAATCAACCGAGACTAGTAATGTGAAAAAAAGGTGACTCGTGATATAAAAATTTGTAATTATTTGTCACATTTTTAGTAGGATTTATGTTATGAAAATTACAAAAATGTTTCAAAGTTTCATTTATGTACGGTACATTGTAGATTCTACCTGTTTTTAAACAATTGTATTAAAACGTCTGTAAAAAATAAGGACTAGCAATGTTTCATCATATGCAACCAAGCTCATTTACTTTAGCAGCCATCTTAAAGTTTTTTTTTGGTAAAATTATGGTTAGAGATTCAGGGGAAACCACTCTAACTTACAGATGGCCGCTTTTTATATAGCAAATCTGGCTTGCAAACACTGCTGTTTAAAGTTAATTTCTGGCCTAAATTGATATATAAATTTAGCCATTGATTTTGGTTTATTATTCATTTATCTATATCATTTATCTAGTTACTACTATTACTTAACTAGTTAGTAATTAGTACTAGTGTCCCATGGTAATCTATTTGTTTTAGGGTACATAAAATCATCCAGTTTTAGGTACATAAAATCGTCAGAGGTTTTACAAAGCAGTGGCGTAGCCAGGATCGTCTCAAGGGGGGGGGTTCCAATTTTTACCCGGGGACAAACTTTCGATTTGCACCCCCCCTCTCAAACTTTCAATTTGCACCCCCCCTCATACTTTATATATATATATCGAGGGGTCTATGGGGGGGGTTATGATCCCCCCTCACCCCCCCTGACTACGCCACTGTTACAAAGGGTGTCTATCTTGTCATTACAGAGGATGACTAAGATTAATAACTTAAAAGAACTCAAGACATAACCTATACATATATGTATATATATGTACATATATATAAAGTTGATAATCATGTACATGCATTGCTGACTGGTTTGCTGAGTGGTTTATCACATTACAAATGAATTAGACATGTACTGTACTAAAGTGGTATAAAAAAGTAAAATAAATTATCATGTATTTTTTAAATATAAAAACTCCCTTTTGAGATTCCAACCTATTTGATGCCTCTAAAAGTGACTGAATCTCTAGCTAGAATAATAATATAATATTATTGTGTTTATTTAGTCAGACAGTTTCAAGACTCTTTACCAGTGGCAAAGAAAACAGAAGTGGGATACAGAATTTATTTTACATGATGGTCCTCCATATGCCAATGGGAAACCACATGTTGGGCATGTGGTCAACAAGGTAACTGATTATTTATTATGACAATCATGTTATATATAAGACAGTTGGAGGGTATCTACTTTTTTATCACTTAAAGAGTTGTTGTGAATGATGGCATGCACATTCAGCTAGAGGGTAGTCTTTTGTAACTATGTCAGTTTGTTATGTTATATAATAGAGAGGGTGTTGGGGGGGGGGGTGTGTGTTATAGCATACATTTTGAAGTTCTTTAAAAATAGGAGACAGACAACTTGGTTTCCATTTTCAATTATGAATGGGTTTTTTTAGAGGGGGGGGGGGGGGGGGTGACACACTTTGCAATGTCATTTTAGGGTACAATTCAGGGTATGGTGACATGATAGGAGGGAAAAAAAGCAAAAAGTGAGTGAACTCAATTTAAGATGACCCTATGATTCACTAATTCCCCAAATTTCACTAATTGGTTGATTAGTTTTACAACTCAAGTATGCTGTTTTTATCTGTAGGTGCTTAAAGATATTACAAATCGGTATAAAGTGTTGAAGAAATACAAAGTCCACTATCGTCCAGGCTGGGACTGTCATGGGATGCCCATTGAAATAAAAGCTATTACAGATAAAACTGGAAAGCCAATACAATTATCTCCCTTAGAGATCAGGGCTAAATGTGAGGAACACTAATTAAACCCAGTATTTAAATAATTTTTTCCAGCTCTTAACTGAACCTAGTTAAAGAAATTTCCTATTGCAAATTAAATTTGAAAGTTTTACACTTCTCCATTGAATTTTATTAATGGCTTTTATTAAATATTGTAATAGCAAAAAAGTTTGCTGAAAGGGTTGTTTTGGAACAGAAGAAAGCATTTCAACAATGGGGTGTGATGGGTGACTGGGAGAATATATATAAAACCCTTGCACCTGAGTATGAGGCTAAACAGCTGGAGGTATTCTATGAGATTTATAAAAAGGTATTTTGTTTCTTAAGTATTTAGTTTCTTACTCAGTATTTAAGATCTTTACTTTTTTAAAATAAAGATTATTCTATGTAAGTAAGTTTTTCCATTTCTGGGATTAACATTTTTTTAATGTGAAATGTAATCCATTCAACCTTGTAATTTGTGATGTATTGCTGTGTGTGGTGGTTTTGTATTTGATACTGCAAGCTTTCAGTTAGTTAGTTATTTGTAGTACTTTGTTTGGTATTTTAAGCTCCAATATTTGAATTTTCCTAATGAAAAATAGGTCAGTAAAGATGTTTTAAATAAATGAAATAATATAGGCCTTTGTTTACTGTTAATTAGGGATTAAATAGAAATAATATATTTTATGCTACGTGCTCATTTTGGGATTTTATTTTATCATTTTAATTAAGTAAAATGTGTACTTAATATTTAATGCTGAGAGAGTTAACAAATATTTATTCTAAAATTACTTTATTGTGAATGTAATGTATTTTTGGTCAACTAAGTTTATTTTATCTGAAGTATATTTCCTTGCATCCAGGGCAACATTTACAGAGACTATATGCCTGTTTACTGGTCACCTTCTTCCCAGTAAGTAGCAACTATTTTTCACAGACTCTAATTTTTGGTTTTAGAAAACATATTTTCTCACTCCTTAATTATTTAAAAGCAATATGGTTACTTTGGTTTAACTTAGGTCAGCTCTGGCGGAAGCTGAATTAGAGTATAACCCTGTTCATGTCAGCAAGTCTGTGTATGTGAAATTTCTTTCCATCATGCCACAATTTTCTGGTGAGCTTGGTAAGTTTTGAACTGATGTGGGATAGTGTTGTAAAGTTGAGGGTGCCACATCATCAATTTTCAACTATGCTTGTTATAAGAGACTAAAAAACAAAAAAAAAAAAAATAAATAAGCTAACAGGGGAGATAAGAAATGTAAAATAAAAGACAAAAAACTGTAGAATGGGTAAGGATAGTTATTTCATCATTTGTGGTTTTAACAAAAAAATATTTGAAATGTTGATATATCAGGTGAGGGCTCTCAAGTTTCTGCTGTAGTGTGGACCACCACACCATGGACTCTTCCATTCAACCAGGCTGTGTGCTACAGTCCTAAAATAAAGTCAGTATTCAGAGAAACAAAGGGGTAGGCGTGGTCGAGTCGGTAAAGCTCATGGTTGCTAAACCGAAAAGTCTCGAGTTCGAACCCCCGGGCAGATGAGGCTCGTTAGCTGGGGACAGCCACTCTTCTAGGAGAGACAACTCCAAAATTAAACAACTGCTGCCTTGTAGTTTGTTCTTGGTTGGACAAAGGCTATGGAAGCAAATCCAAAAAGAAAAGCAGGCTGAAATCGGAGTCAATGGCCTCAATGGCGCATAACCAGTTGACACGTAACGCTTAATTGTGTTGGAGGCGTGGTCGAGTCGGCAAAAAGCTCATGGTTGAAAAATTCGAATAGTCTCGAATTCAACTCCACTGGCAGATAAATCTCGATCCCCTTCAACACAAATAATTAAGAACGAAGAAGAAGAAGAAGAAGAGAAACAAAGTAGTTGTATCATTTGATGGGAAGATATTTATTTTTAAAAATCTTAACTTGACAGATAGTGCTTAGCAATATTGAATTTTGGCAAATTTTGAAATCATGTCTGCATTAGGATTAATTATTGAAGCAATTTAACTTTGTGTTAAGAGTTGCTTGCCTTGATTAAAGACTTAGCTATAATGTGTTGATTCGAAGTGAAAATTTTTTAATAAATAAAAGTCATCTATTTAAACTATATTGTTTCAGGTATGCTTTCTTGCGTGTTGGTGACGGACCTGAGGTGTACCTGTGTGAGGAATCATTTGTTGAATCTCTTATGAAAATAGTTCCAGTCAACCTAGAGCTTATATTTTCTGTTGAAGGTATGACGGCACAAAGTTTAAAAATATGTTTGTTGTATGTTATGCTGGATGTGACAGTGGGGATGAGAGCTATTTTTGTTGAAACTATCAAAACTTGAAAGAAAATTATCTGCTCCAAATATTCTTATGTTGGAGTGTATAGAAGCAATGTAATCCTCAAGCAAGTACCACATTTCAATTATATATAGCAAAATATTTATATCACATCGGAGTGGTTCTTTTATTGGCCAAATTATTTTTTTTAATAGTGAGTTTAATTTTTTTCTGTAATAAGTTTTATTGTAAATAAGATTCAGTAATAAGAATTGAAACTATCCAACTTAAGGTTTCAGGATTAGAATTAATAATATCTGTCCTAATAAAAATATACCATGGATGTTGTGTTATGATTTCTTGGTTATTTAAAGGTTCGCTACTACAAGGCTCAACATACCTTCACCCACTGAGTAACAAACAGCTCCCTTTCTTACAGTCTGGTCATGTTGTTGAAGGGAAGGGCACTGGCCTGGTTCACATAGCACCAGCCCATGGCCATGATGACTTTTATGTTGCTCTGACACACAACTTACCTAAAGTGAGGACTAGATGCATTTTTCATTTTCTAAAATAGGCAGAAAAAAGTTAACTAAATCAGACATAAACATATCACAAAATTAATATGCTGATGATTATTAAAAATTTTTTTATTTAGTTTTTATATTTACATAAAGCACAAAATTTTCTTTTGTTGAATTCTGAGATATAAGATTGTCAGATATACTTGTTTTGTGTGACCGTGCTACATGTCTGATTCCTTAAAATAGTTTGAAAAAAATTCTTGAATATAGGTTTTGGGATGTAAAAATGTATTCTAATACAAGAACAGCAAAATTCCTAAGAAATATTTTTTTGGTTTTTGTGGTAAAATCAAAATATTAAAAATGTAAGTAAAAAAGCATATTATTTTCTTGAACAAATCAAGGAGTGCCACATAGATGAGAAGGGCACTTATGTTTCTGGTTGTGATGCCTCTCTCATTGGAAAAACTGTTGGAGTAAATGCAAATGAAGCTGGTAATCTTTGCCTGATATTGCTAACAAATATTTTTGAAGACTGAAACAGTCGTTATCACTGTATGTAGTCACCAAATATTTATCACTTGAAATTTTTAGTTGCTAAAATAAAAGACATTCTTTAAAGAAGAGGAAAACAAATTGTTTCAGTGATATCAGCCTTAGGGCCCAGGCTAATGAAATGTGAGGATTATACACACAACTATCCATACGACTGGAGGACAAAGAAACCTGTGATCATAAGGGCAAGCAAGCAGTGGTTTGTTGACCTCAGAGCACTGCGACCTCTAGCTTTAGTAAGTGCATTATAGTTTCATTCTTGTGTTTATTGATCTCAGAACACTTTAGTAAGTTGTTTATATAGTAAATGTCTTCCCATCTTTTTTTTTGTGTGAAATGTATTGTTTTAGTTGCTTTCCTTCACTTACAAGTGGCCTTGCATTTTTTAGACATACTTCTTTAAATAAATTAACTATTTTCTACTTTATACACTAATATATACAATGCAGGTACTTAGAGTAAAGATATTTTATTGTAAACTCAAGGTTATACTAAGCTTTTTGCAAAATCTAGCAATGATGTCCCCATAGATTAAGTTTTTAAAATTTACCTTTTTACACCATTAAGTTAAAAGCATGTTTTCTTTTTGACAAATGTGCAAATGATGTAGTTGCCTGCTTCAAAAATTAAATGTTATTTCTAAAAGTGACACTAATTGAAATGGATGTAATTTCAGGAAAGCTTGTCAAGTGTCAGTATAATACCCCAGCAGTCTGAGCGAGGCATGATAACAGAGCTCAACACTCGACCATACTGGTGCATTTCTAGGCAAAGAACTTGGGGTGTCCCCATGCCAATTTTTTATCATAAACAAACTGACGAGCCTCTGATAACTGGGTGAGTGAATGTTCTTCTGTTGTTATATTGAGTTTGTTAAACTGAGTTTGGCCTAGTGGAAGAAAGCTAAACTGCTAACCCAAAAATATCGAGTTCGAATCCTGGTTCAACCTAGCTCTGATGAGTACCTAACTTAAGTTAGGGAAAACAAAGGCAGCTGGGCTTAGTGTTGACCACACTATCCCTTCATATGTTGAGGCTTCTGAAGTAGATGAACTCTACTTCATCTGCCCCATGTGTGTGTCTTGGGTACAAATTGGAAAAGATAAGATGAGTTCTGGCATTAAAGCTATGTTGATTTTTTTTTATTAATATTGCTGAATGAGTCATAATAAGGATTTGAGTCAGTGCCAAAGTTTTGGTTTAGGCTGCAAAACTAATAAAAATATATCCTTAAATATGTATGTGTAACTTTTTAAGCAGTATAGGTCAAGTTATCAAACTTGTTGCAAACTACATTATAAACACAGAATTTCTTTTATTTACTGTTGATACTGTTTTTTTTACTATTTATAGTTGTCCTTAATCAAAAGTCATGGGACAAATTTCAAAATCTATGGAAAAAAATAAAATATAATAAAATTTAAGTGAAGAACACATCAGTGATATTTAAGTTATTGTACTTTGTAAATAAAGTTTATATTTTAGTATCTTGCATGGATATAAACTGATACTTATAGTGCACAAGATGAACAATTTTGTACCAATGATTTATTTGTCTGCTCTAATAAAGTATCCTCAACTTCACTCGCTTGAGGCTCTGCATGTAAGAAACTTGCAGTGAAAATCTGTTTATCATTTTCTGTTACTTGGTATGTATAGAGAAACTGTGGACCATCTGAAGAAGATGATGCTAAAGCATGGCTCTGACTGCTGGTGGTCCATGTCTGTTGAAGAACTTTTACCAAACAGTTTGTTAGCTAAGGTACAGATAGAACTAAATATTCACTGTTTATTTAAAATGTTCCTGGTTCACTTATTTTTGAACTGCTCAGATTTAATATAGGCTTAAAATAATAAAGTAATCATTGTGACAATATTGTTTGCTTTAAAAATTAAAACCGTTTTAAAATCTTTAAAAGTTCTCTAAGTTCAAATTAAAATATGATAAATCCACTAAATAAGCTACAGGAATTTAAATAAAATAATATAAACAAATGGGGTGTTCTCAAACATGTTTTCTGTAAATGTTTCAAACCTTCTTCCTGTCAAGCTTAAATTTTGGAATTAGTCACAAAACTCCTGTGTTAATAATGTAAATCACATCACAAAGCTGGATATCTCTTTTGGTAAAGTTTTTTTAAAGATGAAAGCTTTACACATATTTTCAAAAAGTTATATTGTTTTTGGATGTAAATTTTAAATATATTTTAAACTGCTGGTTTTAAAATGTTCTTAACCTGTTATTTCTATTGTTGCTTAGTTAAACAAAGGTGTGAGTAGTGACTATGTGAAAGGTCAAGACATTCTGGACATTTGGTTTGACAGTGGTGTGTCCTGGGCATCTATCCTTCAAGGTACATGTGTAATCCATTAATTTGACATAATGAGCAAAAAACAGTATATATATTTAAAAAAATATTCATTTACATATATTTTTATTATTTATACATTACATTCTTATCAAAGCTTTAATTTTTCTATTTTTAAAAACCTTTAAAATAACCATCCTTCACCCTTGTCTCAATATCAAAACAAAAATATTATTAGACCTTTCAATATGCTATCAATGTTTTTTTCTCTCCAGACTATGGAGGCCTGGCAGATGTTTACATGGAAGGTATTGACCAGTATAAAGGCTGGTTTCAGACATCTTTACTTACAAGTGTAGCAGTCAAGGGGAGAGCACCATACAAGTTAGCATTCTTTCTCCAACCTTAACCCTCACCATACAAGTTAGCATTCTTTCTCCAACCTTAACCCTCACCATGCTAGTCGGCATTCTTTCTCCTACCTTAACCCTAACAATTACACTGTGACTCGGAGTAAAAAGTTATAATTATTGTTGAGAGAGTGAGCTGATGACACTTATGATTTTGTTTTGTTCCACACAGGCAAATTATCACACATGGGTTTACCACTGATGAAGAAGGGAAGAAAATGTCCAAATCTCTAGGGAATGTTGTGGACCCCGAGAAAGTCATCTTTGGTGGAAAAGTAGGTGGTAAATTTGGTTGTGGTCATGAGATGTGGTAGGGAAGTAGGTGGTGAACATGGTTGTGGTTATGCAATATGTTTGGGAACCATTTTCCTGGGGTCATGAGAAGAGGTGGGAAAAAGTTTTGTTATGGCCATAAGTTATGGTGATGAGGCACTGAAAACATTGACTACATTATAATGCATTGACTTTATCCAGATCATGAATGTTTAATTAAACATTTAATCTTTTGTCTTATTTTGTTTGAAATATTCACTTTTTGTTCATGAAAGGATAAGAAAACTGAGCCAGCCTATGGTGTGGATGTTCTACGTTGGTGGGTGGCACACAGTCATCACCACCAGCACATAATGATTGGCCCTTCTATCCTAGAGAAGTTCCATGAAGATGTTTTTAAGGTATAGTTTACCAGAAATTTTTTTATCGTTTGTATAGTTTTTCGCTCATTAACAAACTGGTGATTTAGTCCATTTATCTGATTATATAATGGCCAAAAGTTACTGAATACGTTTAAGTACCAATGTTTTTTCAGGTTAGAAAATGCATACGTCATATATTGGGAAACCTGCACAATTTCAACCCTGAAACAGATCTAGTGGCTTATTCCTCACTGACGGCTTTTGACAAATATCTGTTATATGTGCTCCACACTTCCTTGATAGAGGTTTGTTTTTGTCTTCTTTCAGCTCAGTAAAACAAGATTAGTAGCTGTACATTGATGTGTTGTTAACAGACAGAGAATATGTTTGTACTCATTTTGGGAGGTGGGGGGAGGTTCTGTCCTTCACCCCTGCGTACACCACTGAGTGTACATAGACTTGTTCTATTTACAGATTGAGAATGCTTATGAAAGTATCAGTTACCACAAAATCACACAAATACTTGAGAAGTTTTTCTATTCAGATTTGTCCAGTTTCTACATTAGCAACACTCATGACAGGTAAAAAAATTACAACTGTATGCCTGTTTAACAGTGTAAGACTTAATACATTCACTCATTAATGAAATAAAGTATTGTAACTTTTTTCATACTTTAAGTTTTAGTCATTTATTTTCTAAATAAAAATACAATTGGCACAACTTTCAGGTGCTACTGTAATGCACCAAAAGATTTAGGACGAAGGTCAAGCCAGACAGTCCAGTACTATGTGGCTAGAGCCATGACTTCAGCATTTGCTCCCATCTTGCCTCACCTAGCTGAAGAAATCCACCAACATATCCCTGGCTATCAGGCCAGTAGTTCTGGTAAAATACCTTTATTGATAACATAGTTTTAGTAATTAAATACAAACCCATAAACATAAATTTGGAGTAGTAAATTTTCCATTTTATTAATCTTGTTTTTTAATTTTTATAGCAAAAAACTTGATATGTATGAGAAAAGTTATGTTTTTAACCAAATGGTTATCTAAAAGGATGAAATAGTTTTGTTCTTTCCAACAGAGGCAGACAGTGTTTTCAAACTGGCCTGGTTTCATCCCAAGCCTGAGTGGAATAATAAATGTGCAGTGACCAAGTTGATGCCAGTGTTTGACATGAGGCGGGCTGTCATGGACAAACTGTGTCTAGAGAGTCCAGTCGAATTTGACATCCACATTTACAGCAGCCCAAAGCTTCACGACCTTCTCAGGGTAAGGCCACAGTATTAGGGCAGGGGGAATAATTTATAACATACAAAACTAATCAACGTACTTTTCTTGAACCAACAATAGTTAATTCATCAATATAAATCTTATAAATCAATATCTTATTCCTGTTTTAACTAGTTTAAATTTAATCTTGATTATCATTATTTAATTTTATGTACAATTTAAATTGATATCTATGTTATTCAAATTGTTACAATTAAAATTTATATTTACTTGATATTATTAAAATGTTTTTTTTTTTTAAAAATCAACTGTAATAATGATAATTTCTTTTTCTTGTATAGGAAATCCAGCCTGATGTAACATCCTGTACATCTTGTCTGTGTGAAGTTTTTCAGACCTCCCAGGTTTCTGTCCTGGATGTACCACCTGCCATTATCCCTGAGGACAGTCTAATGGTTGAAGGCAGCACATTGGTCCAGCTTAAAGGTGAGTACACTTGATTTCTCTGTGTTTACCTAACATTTTTAATACACCTTTCTTCACTGAATACAGTTGATTTCTGTGTTATATGTAATATTTTTAATACAACCTTTCCACATTGAGTGCAGTTGATTTCTGTGTGTTTAATATTTTTTTAATACAATCTTTCCCCACTGAGTGTCGTTGATTTCTCTGTGTTAATACAATATTTTCAATACAACCTTTCTTAACTGAAAACAGTTTTAAAAAAAATATTTTTACAACCTTTCCTCACTGAGTATAGTTGATTTCTGTCTGTTTATCTGACTTAAAAATATAACCTTCCCTCACCATTTTCTCTTTAACTTCAGAGTCAGAGCAAGCAGTTGATGTTGACTTCAAGATATTAGTAGTCCCAGCAACACTGCACATGTGTGAGAGATGCCGCAGGTACACAGCCAAGAGCTCCAACACACCTTGTGAGCGGTGCCTGGATGTGATAGCTCAACACTGGGACACGTGACCAGAACCCAACATTTAGTTTGTTTCCTTTGTTGACACTTCATGTAATATAATCTCTATAACAACAAAATATTTGTTTTCTTTTAATCTTACAAGATACATAGAGATAAATTACAAGAATTAAAAAATCTCAAGCCATAATCTGACCAAGGTCAAAGTCACTTAATTAGAGCCTAGCACACACATTTATTGCACTAATTAACTTGATGCAAGTAAACATTCTTATATTTCATTTATCAGGTAAACCATTATGGTTCTAACCATCATTTATTAAAAATATTGCTCTCTTGCACAGGACATGATTCATGAATGTCACAGACATTAGCAACACCAAACATCACCATATACCAACAGTTGTATGACTGTTACACACAATAGCAACACCAAACATCACCATATACCAACAGTTGTATGACTGTTACACACAATAGCAACACCAAACATCACCATATACCAACAGTTGTATGACTGTTACACACAGTAGCAACACCAAACATCACCATATACCAACAGTTGTATGACTGTTACACACAATAGCAACACCAAACATCACCATATACAAACAGTTGTATGACTGTTACACACAATAGCAACACCAAACATCACCATATACCAACAGTTGTATGACTGTTACACACAGTAGCAACACCAAACATCACCATATACCAACAGTTGTATGACTGTTACACACAATAGCAACACCAAACATCACCATATACAAACAGTTGTATGACTGTTACACACAATAGCAACACCAAACATCACCATATACCAACAGTTGTATGACTGTTACACACAGTAGCAACACCAAACATCACCATATACCATAAGAAACAGGAAAAAAATCTGACCACAGAGTGCTTTTAAAAAAAAAATCACTTCACAGATGCAAATAAAATAAAGCAAGCCAAAGAAGGCATTATCACAGAAGTAATATTTTTCTGAAGACACTGTACATGTTGATATTCACTGTATGACCACCTGCTATGAATAATGCTAATGCAGTTCAGTGTGGGCTTTTGCAAATCTGGTTATTTAGTATAAAAAAAACGGTCACAGAACTTGTTTCTGGACATTTTTCAGAACATTTGCAAGCCAGATCACAGTACCTAAAGGTACATACATACATGTAATCTTGCACTCACATACATTACAATGAAAAATGTTTAATTATGAGTTTTTGTGTTAATTGTTTAAGGGGAAAATTTACAAAGTAATTCAACCCATTGTAAACCTGGACTCCAGTCAAACTACATATGGACTACTGTTAAGTAAGAGAAAAGATAATATACACTTCAAGTAAAGTGAAGTTGATTAAAAGTCTTCCACCAACTACATGGAATAGAGATTTTTTAGAAAACATGTATTATAACTAACTCATTATTTCTATTGAATGAAGATATCAATTGAATGGCAATACAATGTGTGCAAATTTATTTACAAGTTCGTTAATTAAGGAAATCTTGTTATGTAACTGCCCTGTGTCATGAGTCTGTAAAAGATGAGAGAACTTTTGTTTTCTCCAAGAGTTCCTGGGCCAGCTCGTGGTACTTGGATGTTTCTGGCAGCTTAGATGCTGCATGCTCTAGTAGTGTCACTGTATAAGGCAGTGGGACTTGGGTGTTCTTCAGGGATTTGTAGTCCTGGCAAAAGTTAGGAGACAGTTTTTACATTCAGAGAAATCACAATGTTGGCAGCTATTGGCTAGATGGGGGACATGCAGCACAATGAATGTAGCAGGACACATTTAGATGGAGAGTCAAGATTGACAGCACAACACTGTAAAACTATACAAGACCACATACAAATGTGGACAGCTAGACAAGACAATATACCAATGTGGACAGCTCTACAAGACCACATACCAATGTAGGCACCTATACAAGACAACATACCAATGTGGACAGCTAGACATCATACCACTGTGGACAGCTAGACAAGACAATATACCAATGTGGACAGCTCACCAAGACCACATACCAATGTAGGCACCTATACAAGACGACATACCAATGTGGACAGCTAGACAAGACAATATACCAATGTGGACAGTTCAACAAGACGAGATACCAATGTGGACAGCTAGACAAGACAATATACCAATGTGGACAGCTAGACAACATACCAATGTGGACAGCTAGACAAGACAACATACCAAAGTGGACAGCTATATACATACCAATGTGGACAGCCATCTTGTGAGAGTGACAGACATGCCAGCTAAGTGCTGGAAGTTTGCGTCAATATTGTGTTGATAAATTTCATAGGCCACACGCTGCCCGGCCAGGGTAAGTAGCTGAATGCCCATTTCCTCATGGTCATTCACTGATGACATAACCTAGAACAACAAATCCTCTCATCAGTTTATAAAAAATGTCACTGTATGTATTCCCTCCCACCATTTCAGCACTGATTTATAAGAATCATAAAAAAATGTATTTTGAGCTGTGTTAGAAAAAGAAAATTTGTCTGTCACCTCTTCAGCAAATTTATCATGACCACAGGAGTAGAGCTCACAAACATGGTGTCTCTTCATGTAGTCCAAATCAAGGCCAAAGTCTCTGGCCAGTGACAGTGCCACCTAGGAAACAATTTCAACATCATAATGTCTTTTCTTGCAAGGGACTAATTACAATTAATATTTTTCTCAAAACTATTTCGATTAGAATAGATGAAAAAGAAATAATAGTATTAAATTTTAAAATTCAAAGAACTAGAATTGGAAGAATGTATATTCCATCATGTTTTTCTATGTATTAAAAAAATAGATACATTTAAAACAAATCAGCCACATTTAAAAAAATAAAATAAAATGTCACAGCTTTTTAAAAAACAAAAATTTCTTGGTGACACAAGTTATTAATAACATCAGACACATTGCTGCTGTCAAGACTAGATCCATTTAGTACATCATCATATTTTTATACAAATGGAGCAAAAATTTATTGAAATAATTTAAAAAATTCTGGCGACAATGAAATGGGTGGAACTAACCTGTGGCCATTTGAATGCTAAAGGATAAAGAGATCTCTGCTTCTTGTAGAAAGGTGGGCTTGTACCAGTCATAGTTGGGCTTGACACAGGGGGATCAATTGTTGACACAGCACTTGAGATTATTTTACACACAAACTAAAAAAAAACATTTCAGGAATTTTCTGAGATCAAAGGTAAAGCCCCAGCGGATGATTCAAAAAACAAACAACTAAGTAAACTAACATTTATTTTTTAAATGAGATGAATTTTGTTGACTGACAAACTCTCAAAAATGTTACTTACATTTTTTCTTGCTAAAAATAAATCATGATCCACTTTTTGACTGGGTAACAGAGGGTGGGAATGTAGATCTTTAAACACTGCTGCTCTCCCCTGAAATAAGAAACCATTTGCATTTGTTTCAATATTAATTATTCAATATTAGAATGTAGGAAAAATTGAGCAATGGAGAATAAATCACAAAAGATTTACTTTTTAAAAATATGCCATTTAAACAATTAATTCTTTAACATACTAGATGGCAAAACTCCACAATAAATGAAATACCAAAATTACAAAGACCTACCTTACTGTCAAATAAAGACAAAACTTTGACAGATTTCATCTTCAGAGACAGAACAGCTGACATGATTTTTAACAGATGAAAATGCACCCGTAGCAGACCATAATTGGTTGCCTTCTGGTCAATGGCCAACTCCATCAATGATGTGGGTCCCTGACTTTTCTGCCAGGCATGTTCAATGTTGCACACAGGCACCTCACTGGCTTCACAGTTTGCCTGTAATTATTTTGTTGTTGATACAATGAGAGGTTTTTAAAGCTGGGCTGCATTATCTATATAGTTATTTTAAATAAAGCAACATTAAACTAACATACAGTCTAAAGCTACTTTTAAATACTACAGCACTAAACTATCAGTCTAAAGCTAATTTAAATATTGCAACATAATATTATAATACAAAATTTGAAGTTAGTCTTAGAACTCTAAAACTGGTACTTCATGAAAACATCTAGAAGTAACCATTGTGATTTAAGTGATGAGACATTTAAGTTGATAGCCCTGTAGGTAAGCAAAAAACAAGACTTACATCCACCAGTAAGTACACAAACAAGACTTACATCCACCAGTAAGTACACAAACAAGACTTACATCCACCAGTAAGTACACAAACAAGACTCACATCCACCAGTAAGTACACAAACAAGACTTACATCCATCAGTAAGTACACAAACAAGACTTACATCCACCAGTAAGCACACAAACAAGACTTACATCCACCAGTAAGTACACAAACAAGACTTACATCAACCAGTAAGTACACAAACAAGACTTACATCCATTAGTAAGTACACAAACAAGACTTACATCCACCAGTAAGCACACAAACAAGACTTACATCCATCAGTAAGTACACAAACAAGACTTACATCCACCAGTAAGAACACAAACAAGACTTACATCCACCAGTAAGTACACAAACAATACTTACATCCACCAGTAAGTACACAAACAAGACTTACATCCATTAATATTTCCATGAAGTCAGCACAAAGAGAAATGAAGGCCACAAGCCCTGTGTCACTGACTCCAACTTCCTACAGAGGCAAATTTTTTAAGTCAGTTTTTTTTGGTTTTTCATCTCAGCTGTTTCAATTTTACATTGAGTTTTAAAGAAATGCTAATTTAAAAAAAGAAGGGTAATAATATATATGATGGAAGTAAACACAAAGACTGTAAAACAGTAAAGGACTTACCTTTCTACACAGTCTGTCTTTAGGGGACTTCCCAACCTGAAATATTACAACAACAGTTGAATTAGAATTTATTCTAAGTGTTTTTTTTTAAGTACATGTCACCAATAATTCCTCTTTAATTAAAACGACATTATTTATGAATTGATTAGTACCTGATAATGATTTTTCATGAATGTATTTTGCAGCCTCTAAAAAGAATAATTATAACTTCACAAAAGTTTAAACTGACAGCTTAAAATGTTTACCTTCTCCATAAGAGTTGCAGCAGCTGAAGCCCTCTTCAGTATAAACATGTGCCACAACAAGCTGGAAACACCTGACATTCAAGGATACAAATTTAACTTTAAAAAAAAAAGACTCTCTAGGTAAAACCAGAGTTGCCTACTAACTTATTCTAATCACTATGGTGTGATATTAAATAAATGAAAGATGGAAAACTTAAGCTAGTAAACAAAGATAGAATATAAGCAAATACCCTGCCGCAATACAGCATTTTGAACCAATCTCAGAAATTCTAATGACAGGTCCAAATTTTGAGATACCTGAAATACAAATCAGGTAATAAGGAAATAGAAAAGATGATGATGAAGGAAATAGGAAATCTAGACTTGGAAAATTCTAATCACAAGAAAAAATTAGTTAGCCATAAAAAAAAGAATTTTTTTTGGTTACAGTTGGTCCTACATAAGTAAATCATTTTGAGATACAACTGGTCCTACATGAATATTTGAGTAGATAGTAAGTCAGTGCAGATTAAATTAGCCTTAACCCTAGAAACCCACAATACCACTTATTCAGTCAGTCTTAAATCCCCTTACACCAGATAGACAGTCTCTGCATAAAAAGCTAAATTAAAAAAGTATGGAGCTAGTACTGTTAGACTTGTAAGTTCCTATCGTAAACTAAATTTTTTGTTGAGTTTATCATTTTCAATTTACAAGGTTGATTTAAAAATTTTAATTTCTACCTATGTGCTTACTTACCTATGTCTAAAACAAGGGTCTTTCTACTGGAAGGACTGGCATACAAAGTCGAAGTATTGGTTACAATTCATATTTAAAGTTTATAAAGTCAATGAAGTTAGTTTATAAAGTTGTTATATTCAGTTGTTATTTTTTATTGTGAGTCTGTCATGTCTACAGTTCGCTCAGGAGCAAGTGGATTTTAGGGTCAGGACCTAAGGGTGCAAAGGGTTAGCGTTGGTTCCTATGGCAGACTGACCTCAGGGTCTTTGTTCCAGACGACAGCAAACTCCCAACAACAGTTGGCCAATAGAATATCATTGTGTAGGCTGTGGGGGAACCTGTGTCTCAGTTCTTCTAGTTGATCTAACAAAAACAAATGTGGGGGTACACTTCAGACTCATGTATTATATTCAACCAATCATGTGGGAACATTTCAGCCTCATGTATTCAACTCAACCAATCAAGAGGGAACACTTCAGACTCATGTATTCAACTCAACCATTTTAAAACTGTACACTATCTGCAGCACTAGTACACTAACAAAGAAAAATTAATACTAAAGAGAAGATAACCACAGCTTACATTTAACTTTGTCTGAGGGACACAACTCTTTCACTTTTTCATCTGCAGGTTGATTGAGTTCAGCACCTCTGTCTGTCCTCCCATCTTTACCTGTCCCAGCTAGTTTCTCACTCTTACCCTCCTCTTCCTCCCCCTCCTGCAGCTCCTCCTGCACAGAGAATGTGTAGAAGAGTGAAGCAGGATTCAGTCTCTGCTGCACCACATACCTGGCTATCAGCTCTGGCACAGAACCTGCAAACAACAATGACATCAACAAAAGCTTGCTCATTTGTTTTATCATATAGGAGTCTTAATGAAAGGTGTACAAATATGATAAAGTAATAATGCATTTGGTGCAGGTGTGACTTGTATAAGTTTCACTGCCTAGATTAAGTAAAATATCAGTTTAATGGAATCTAAAATATAAAGGAAAAAATATTTCAAATTATAATGGTTATATTCAAGTACAAACTATAATGGTTAAATTCAAGTAAAATACAAAAGTTGAATTTACATAGCAACCCCACGACTTGGCTAATTTTCATGATTTTCCAGGTGACTTGGTGAAAACAAGAATCTCTGAGTTTTATATTTTTAGGTATGTAAAAGTAAAGTTCCCTTTTCAAACCTGACGGTCTATAGGGCAAGTGAAATAGAGTTCACTTGTTTCTGTGACCTTGGCATATGAAGAGATAGTGTGGTCAGCACTATGCCCAGCTGCCTTTACTTTCCCTAACATGAGTTAGGTACCCATCAGAGTTGGGTGGTATGTATGGTATAAATAATTCCACACATTAAAAATGTGGACAGAGTTTTGTTCTGTGCTTACAAATCTGAAGTTCCAGGGACAATGATACATTAAACGTCCCTATTGCTACCATTGATGGTTAGACAGCAATAGAATAACTGGCTTTGATTAGCTTAAGTGGAACTTATCACAATTAATTACAGCTTCAACTAGTGCTACATTTAAAAAAAAAATAAGCTTGAAACCAAGGAAGGTAGCTTGTAACTCAACTGCATAAGTTAACAAAAACGAACAAAGAAATGCACAAATGTCAAAACAAGTCACACTGATTATTTTATTGACGTGATAAATAAAAATACTCATTGCAGTATTAAATAATGTCAAAACTTTTAATATCTATATTTACAAATTAAAAGGCAATATACTTAAAAAAAACCTTAGCTATTTTTCAAGATTAGTTGGGTCAGTACTTAATCAATATCAGTACTTTCCATATATGCAGTGAATTAAATCTAATTTTGGAGGCCCAATGTGTCTCTGGGCACAAAAGGGACAAAAATTATGATGATTTTACAATTAGTGGGGTCAAGTAAAATAACACTTGTATACTTTTGGTCTTGTCAAGTAAGATCTCAAAGCTACATTTAAAATAAACTACCTTTTCCACTGTTGAGAAGCTTGTAGACAGAGACTGAGATGGGTTCATGTCTGGTCTCCTGGACTTGGTCATCTGCTGGAATGTTGAGCAGGGTCACGATGGCCATGACGTCCTCAAACTGACGTGACAGCAGCTCCCAGTGTTCCATGTCGACAGTCAGAGACTCCCAGTCCTGGCTGTCCAGGCTCGTCTCCTCCTGCAGGCCTGCGTCTGGGGAGTCACACTCGTCAGACTTCATGCTGGCAGTGTCAGCGTCAGGGTCCTAGGGGATAAAAAATATATTGTAAAACAATGAAACAATTTTCACACATTGTCTGGGATAAAATATTTAGAATCAGTTAAATGTTAGACATTTTCTAGTTTTAAATACACAGGTTTAAACTACAGCCTAAAGTAAAGCAGGTGGTGTCCATGATAAAAAGATTAGCAAATTACAAACTAATGGCACTTATAATAAGACAAAAAGTAAAGCAGCTGTCTAATTCAATTCTTTGTCTTACCCTAGTGGCAAAGACACAGATCAAGCTTTCACTAGGGTCCCAGGCTGAAACTTACTTAGGCGTCCATATGATTTATTGCAAGGACTATTTATATATTGTTAAAGATATATGACAACTTTCTGGTTTCCCTTACTGTACTTGACTAGATATTAGGACTGAAGTGGACACCAAATCTGCCTTTTAAAACTAATCTATAACCTGAATTCAAAGAAATACCACTGAATGTAAAGAAAAACAAACTAGTGACCTTAGCTTTGGTCTGGACACCAAGTAACTCAGCAGCCACAGCCTTACAGGTGAGTACAGCCAGGTAAGCTGGACAACAGTTTTCTGACTGGCTGCACATGTTGCGCACACGTAGCCACCAGGGAGAAGGTGCGTTGGAATCTACAACTACCTCGCTGACATCTGTGGATGGATGATTTATTTATCTAATGAAACCTACAATGTCTTATAGAGGATGATTTAACAACAATACTTTTAATAATTAAATAATGTTATATATTTAATTTTTTAATTAAATCTACGTCTTATGCAGAACTTCAAATAATTGAATATATTAATTTTACGGAGCTATTGTTGATAAAATGTAATGTGCAGTAAAGTGACGACTTACCAGCAAGGGCAGTGATGCTTTTAACCAGTTCGTACAAGCCAACCATCATACGAACAGATCTTGTGTTGGAAGACAACCAGTAAACCAGCAACAGATTCTAAACATAAAGAAAAATCTTTTCAATAGAAGAAATTATTCTTAAAAATATTTTTAAAAATCCAACAGTTGGGGGTGGTAAACATTTTTACCCTTATTAAAGTAATGAATTTGATGAAATTTGCACTGAACTAGGAGACTAGGAACATAATAAAACTTGCTACTTAAGCTATTTTACCAAATGATGTGATAAGCATTTGATCTTTCTTTCATTGTGTTAATTGTTGGTGTGGGTGAAGATGAAATAGCAGCAGTGGTACAAAGGTATAAACATTTCTGTGGCCTAGAGACCTACCATCAGCTGGTCTGGGGGCAGGTTACTCTGCTGTATGACAGACATCAGCTCTGGTGCTTGACATTTTCCATTCAGACAACCAGCAAACAAAAACTCAGCTGCAGAGATGATACAACCATATAAAGCACAACACTTTGATGTTTAGGGAAACCTTTCTTAGATTAATTATATATTAATTTCTTAACTTTTTAACAACATACAAAATAAGATGTAAATTTATATTGAAATGTTGGTTTAAAGTTTGCAATTATAAACCATTTAATTAATATTCGTTTCATGTCTATATAAGAGCTGTGTGATAAAATAAACTCATGATTTTGAATAAAGAACTCAATATACTGAGTTCCATTACCGTGTTTTAATGATTAGGATTTAAGTTAAGAATCGGTTATATAGGTTAAAAACAAATAAATAGTGATTGAGTTCTGGTACCATTCTTATTAGAAAAGAAAAATGGACATTAACTAAAAAAGTATGTTATGAAATCAAACTACATGTAAGGTAATAATGTTAAGATAAAAATTGTTGTAGTGCTATTGAAATGAACCTGTTTGAACTGACTTACCCAAAGCATGTCTGCGCTCTTCTGTGACCTCCTTGCTGATGGTGATCTGAGTCTGTTTCCCACAGGAGGATGTTGTGGCGCTGTCCTCGTCAGCACTTAAGATGGTTCTGTATGAAAACGCATGCAGGAAGGATGTGGCTGCTAAAGAGTTGGCCTCATCACTGAATGTAACCTTGGCAGGTGGTTTAGGGGGGCTGAACACCTCAGTCAGCATGTCCATCCGTGTCAGGGAGTTTATGACAGCTGAGGCATCATGAGGAGACAAGTGCAGGACATCTGTTAAAACCTGGGGAGGTTTTTTAAACTTTATTTAGCATGAGCTATCTTTGAAAACTTGTATGACAATTCATGCTATTCTCTCAACTGTAAAAACTAGAAAATTTGTTTTAAAATATTGCGAATCTAGGTTTGTAATACTTGACCGTATGTAGTTTTGTTAGAGGAATACTGTAATACATGACTGTATGTAGTTTTGTTAGAGGAATACTGTACTACATGACTGTATGTAGTTTTGTTACAGGAATATTGTAATACATGACTGTATGTAGTTTTGTTAGAGGAATACTGTAATACATGACTGTATGTAGTTTTGATAGAGGAATATTGTAATACATGACTGTATGTAGTTTTATTACAGGAATACTGTAATACATGACTGTATGTAGTTTTGTTACAGGAATACAGTAATACATGTGTAGGTAGTTTTGTGAAAAGAATACTGTAATACATGACTGTGTGTATACTTTTGTTAGAGGAATACTGTAATATATGTGTATGTAGTTTAATGAAAGGAATACTGTAAGACTTCTGAAAGACTATACCTCAGTGTCAGACAGCTTGAAGGGTTCAGGAGAGGCACCATTTAATGTTGTCACAACTGAGTAGAGGGACAACAGGGAACGCTGCGTCTTGCAGAACCTCAACATCATCCTGCTATCCAGGTCTAGGCTGTCTTCAGCTGGGAAATAATAAAAAAAATAAACAGCTGTAGTTGCTGCCATTACTAGTGTAATATTTGGGAAAATTTTATGCCAAAAGTCATAGAGTAATTGAAGTGGAATACCTAAAACAGTTAAAGGAAAGTGGATAAAAAAAGAGAATTGTTTGTCATGTCAGACAGACGTCATACTGGGATAATATCAGGTTAACTGTTACAAGCAAAGCTTCTTTTATTAAACACCACCAATAAATCAGGCTAATATAAAAAAAAAAATTCTAATTAAAAAAAAAAACATTTTTATCTGACCTTTGCAGTCTAATTTCTTGATGCAGGCTTTCACTACATTCTGCATTAACTTGATGGGTAAATACTTTGTGCTTAAAACTCTTTCTATTGCCTGGGGAATTTAAAAAAATGAACCTGATTAAAGCAAAAAATATTCTAATTTAAATTAATTACCAACTATTAGAATATAACCTTGTGAACACAAGTGAGGGTAGTCGTGTGGGTGAGTGTGTGGCAGTTGATTTATAGGATGTGGATCTAACTTTAGTCAAGTTGAGCTAACTCCAGCTATTTGTGGAAAAAAAACAGCTACTGTTTCCATGGTGATAACCCCTGGTTGTTAAGGTCAAGACGAGAACAGGATGAACTTTGAAAGATTAGATGCAGCTTCACAACACTACAGACCTAGCATGAACAAAGTGGGTAGGGAGTAATAAACTCAGTTTGCTATTATCACTAACCTAACCCTGGTCTTAGCCCTGGCTGATTCTTTAGACTTGATTCTTTTAATTCACAGAGTTATCTCTGTAGTCATGTCTAAAACAGATTAACCTCACCTGGTGAGCAATGCTGGCTATTTTCATGTCATGAAGTATTTCCAGTATTGTTTCTTCAAGACCCTCTGAAATGGGAAAAACACAACTGTAATGCTTCAACTACTCAAGTAATGCTTTTTCTTTCTAGTGAAATTATAAAGTTCATTGAATACAAAAATTAATGAAACAGCTAAATGTGTGGAGAAAATATTTAAATGTACAGACCTCTGTCTTCAGAAGATTCTTTAAGGAGAGCTTTCAATTTTTTTAACAGGTGAAGATCTCTGGCTCTTTTGCTACTCTTGTCACTGTTGATACAGAATAACAAGATAATTAAACTTGTCGCTTTTAATATGGAATAACAAGGTAATTTAAACTTGTCACTGTTGATACAGAATAACAAGATAATTAAACTAAATAATAGTCAGTATTTTAAATACAAATCAGTTAGTATATATGAAATCACATTTCACAACTTAAAAAAACCCCATAAAAACATAGGTAAAATCATCTTTAATTAGTTAAATGGATTTGAGCTTTAAAAAATCTTCAAATGTTGTGCTACAAGTTCATGTAATACTACAAATCTTGTCATCTAGATTAACAATTCAAAGATTGAAAAAACTTCTGTAATATTAAAGCAATGGGTAGAAACCAATGTTAGAGTAAATAGATCAACTATTAAATACAACATTTATAAAACTTAAGAAAAATTGGTTTACAAAAACAAAATCCAATTAATTGGGGAAAGGAAAGTTAGGTTTATCTTAATTCCTCAATTGAATTTTGCTGTTGACATGTGTGGTGTGAACAACGATGTTAAATGTACAGAAATTAACACTAAACTTAAAGATCCAGTTTGTAGCAATAAACCATACACAATACAGTCCACCTAAAGGCTGCCGGGCTTACATGGGCTCAAATAAAGACAGAGTGTGGTGTCCAAAAACCTTAGAGCTAAATGTACAAGTAAGTAAGATACAGTCCACGTAACTCATAGCTAAATGTACAAGTAAGTAAGATACAGACCACCTACCTTAGAGCTAAATGAAAAGGGATGTCCACTGTTTTGATCATTCCATCAGGGTCAATGAGTGCACACTGAAAGACTCTGGACTTGATGCCCCTACTGGTCACATTATTCAACCCCATCATGCCATAACATGGACACACCAGCTGACAATATTTGCTGACATTGAATGCTGCCACTCGTGGTCCATGGGCAGCCAGCCATACCTAGAGATGGAAATAAGTGCATTAGATTCAGATATTTTACATAATTCGTTAGTAATAAGAAAAAGTATTTGAATTGTATTCAAATTTTTGACATATTTCAGTAGTACTATGACAAATATTGTTATGTTTTACATAGCTCTTTAGTATAAAGACAAACTCCATTTTTAAATAGTGCAGATATTTTTTCTTAACTCCTCTTTTCCCCACTTACCTCAAGTATGCCCCTGCGAGGAGCATAAATAATCAGGAACTGTGCCAGTCTGTAGTGGTCATTGTTCTTCCCAGCCTCCACATTTTCTTCTTTAATTTCCACCCAGCCTAGGTGAGCATCTCTGTACCCTGACAAAATATAATTTCACAATGTTAAATAATTACTCCCTGACAAGATATAATTTCACAATGTTAAATAATTACTTCCTGACAAGATATAATTTCACAATGTTAAATAATTACTCCCTGACAAGATATAATTTCACAATGTTAAATAATTACTTCCTGACAAGATATAATTTCACAATGTTAAATAATTACTTCCTGACAAGATATAATTTCACAATGTTAAATAATTACTTCCTGACAAAATATAATTTCACAATGTTAAATAAATACTCACTGACAAGTTATAATTTCACAATGTTAAAAAATAACTCCCTGACAAGTTATAATTTCACAATGTTAAATAATTACTCCATGATAAGTTATAATTTCCCAATGTTAAAAAAAAACTCCTTGATAAGTTATAATTTCACAATGTTAAAAAATTACTCCCTGACAAGATATAATTTCACAATGTTAAACAATTACTCCCTGACAAGATATAATTTCACAATGTTAAAAAATAGCTCCCTGAAAAGTTATAATTTCACAATGTTAAAAAAAAACTTGCTGACAAGTTATAATTTCACAATGTTAAATAATTACTCCCTGACAAGTTATAATTTCACAATGTTAAATAATTACTCCCTGACAAGATATAATTTCACAATGTTAAAAAATAACTCCAATCTATGGTTAAACTGTTTAAATGACATTCTCGTAAATACACACATCAAAATTAATATTGACTAAAACAGTTTGTTTATTTAACATACCATAAAACCTTCAATATGAAATTCCAGACTAAACAGCAATGTTTAATTATAAGAGAAAACAGCTTAAATATTTGAATCATTGTGCTCTCAACACAATCTGATATCTATAAGGAGTGGTTTTTACAAAGGCAGCATTAAAGGATTCTATATGTGAGAAAATCCCACCTTTCCACATACGCACAGCCATTCCTCTCTGTACATCTATAAGTATCACACGCCCAAAGCTGTCTGTGGTTGCTGCATAGTTATTGCAAGGGGAGAGCATAATTTTCTCCCCTGCTCTACGCTGGTCTGGCAAACCAAACCTGCATGCAGAGAGAAGAAAAAATCATGTTAGTCTCAGGAGATGGTGTAACAAACAAGGAATAAACAAGCCTGGTAAGTCTGAGTTACAAGAATCAAGTAAACAAGCCTGGTAAGTCTGAGTTACAAGAATACAGTAAACAAGACTTGTAAATCTGAGTTAAATTAAGCTACATCACAACTGTGAATGAGCTACATCCACAGCCCTGGAACAGTTCTGTTTAAAACTACTATGACAGTATGCTGATAAGTTTTATATAAAAAATCATTTTCTATTTTCACCTTAAGGGTAATGGTGTAGCAGGTTCAATCTTTGGAGGCTTTTCTTTCTCTTCTTTAGGCTTACCACCAAACCCAAGCCAGCCACTACAAAATGTCAATGTAAAGTGTGATTACACATTAAAGAAACAAGTTTTCACAAGATAACAAATTAGCTAAAACATAGACAACTGTTAAAAAAAACTTGAACATAATGTCCTGCTATATTATTTACATAAAACTAATGTTAGGCATCAATATCACATATTTACAAAGTTAATATTATTATTAAATATATTTTTTCAAAATAGTTAATACCTTGCAGCAGATAATAAGGCAGACTTGATCTTGTTTGCCATTGCAATGGCCACTTCTGACAATATAGGCTGGGTAAAGCCCTGCACAAAATAAAAAATATGTCTATTCATATTAGGTTTGTACTAATATTTTTATCAGCATTAAAATTTAAAATAGTTAAAAATTTTCTTAAAAAAAAAAAAACAACAGGTTGAATGTTGGTTTTCCACTGACTTCACTAAGTTTGAACTCACCTCAATAGCATAGAAAAATCCAACATAAGGGCCAATGCCAGTAGTCATGAAGACAGACATGGCAGGGGGTGAAGTTTTTACAGCTGCCTTGACACCTCCCAGCATGGACGCAGCCTTCAGTTGGTCAAATGTGTTAGCGCAGGCGACACCTTGAAAGTGGTAGAAAATTAATTTTGGTTTATTTTAGGTAAATGTAGTTATGCAACATCGTCTCAACAAAGAAGATTATGATAATAGTAACTGTATTAATACTAATAAATATTAATATATTTTAAAAAAGACAATTTAAATTTAAAATTATGAACTGTGTCATTCAATAAGGTATAAAAAGCTTATCTTGTTAAAACACTCAAATGACTTTCACTTGTTATCCAAACTAGATCATAGACAGATCTATATATATATATAACATTGACATATCAGAAGGATGAATACCAGTAAATCTTACCACAGGCAACATAGTCACAAATCTTTTCTTGCTCGCTGAGAGACCACTTTTTATAAGCAAGAGGTGGAGGCTGTAACAGGTTTTCTGTCCCACTTGCAGTAGCTAGTGGACAAGAAGAGGTAGAGCTTTTTAACAATTTGTTACAGAAATATTATTTATTACCTTTTCGTTTATTTGGGTTTCTGCAATACCCGAATAAAGTAAAATAACAGAAAATAAAAAAGTACTTTTAATAATGTAAAGGAGAAAATTGTGCACCTCTTGCTACTTGGTTACAACAAGCCCTCAGAGACTGAATCAAGCTGAAGCCATCAATGGAAACAATGGCTCTGGTGTACATGATCAGAAATTCATCGTGCTGAAAGAAAACAAAACAGCCATCATGATCAACATCTATTTAAATTATTGTTGCATCAATAAATAAACTCTTGTGCTAAATACTGCCTCAGCTACTACTTTACTACATTTAGCAGGCTCTACTAAATGAATAACTTCTGTGGCCAATACACCTAACCATGTATGCTAAATTAAAAATGTTTTAAAATAGCTACATGAATTTGTATATATGGTTGTACCATAACAACTACAAGTAATAATACATAATTTTTTACTTTATTCTACTGCTGCAAGTAATAATATACTATGTCTGAAAGCAGTAAAATACAACAAGTAAATATTTTTTAAGCTTACCATTTCAGCCATACCAAGGAATCTAGGAGATGAATAAGTGCGACACTTTAGTCTTTCTACCTTTTCCATGTGAAGAAGTTGAGACAGCAGAAGCACACCAGTCTAAAACAGTACACAAGATGACATTTATATTAGCATGAGATTTTTGAAAATGTACAATAGAGAACAATAAAAACAAGTTGAATTACCTGTGAGTACATCCTAATGAAGCCTGAAGAGAAACCAACTATGATGCATGTCCAATCTGGCCCTCCTTGTGTACTACTGGAAATTTGGTTTTAATAAACAAACATTGAAATCTCAAGAACAAGTGAATAATAATAGCAACTAAATAGTGCCAAAACAAGGATTTTTATTTTAAAATTGGCTCGAATCTTTTTAACTTTACAGATTAGTGGTTGGGCAGAATTTTAGAGTAGTATTTAATATTTCTACTTACAAAAAATGGCAGTAATTTGAAAGAAAATTTATACAAAAATTTCATTGCTATAAAAAATGCAACTATTTCAATTTAATATGCTTTCCTCACAATTTATGCTCATGGCAAACACAAAACCAATGAAAAATATGCTGCAAAAATACCGTTTTTGAGAAGCCAATGGCAAGCAGAGAACAGCTGTGATGGTTTCCCTAAAAAAGATTAATATATTGTTGTTTTTTTGTTGCTCTATTGAATTGCATAAAATGTAATTAATTAATATTTTTAAATTATGTATTTCTAATTGCCATAGCAATTTTGACTTAGTGACACTAAGAAGTCAGAAGTAGTTTGCTTCAGGTAATTTGGTAAGTAAAGCCATAAACAGCATTCTCATTTAAAATAACAAACATACTGGATGAAAAAGAGTTACTGAGTTATACAACTTGCCAGTATACAAAGTAATAATAAGTGAAGACTACTGGGATTATAGGTTTGAGATAAATGGCTCACAGAGTTTCTTCCAGGCATTACCACCCCCCCCCCCCCTCCAAACGAAATGGAAATTCTATAGAAAATATATACTTTTAACAATGTCCCCCCCCCCTCCCCTGAGAAAAGTCTGGAAGAAACACTGATGGCTCAGCCTCAAATCAACGTTCTAAAACACCCTCTTGAAGGGCAGTAAAAAACAAAAATCAAACAAAAGTTGTGTTTCCCTACAAATGTATTCAAGACATAACAAAGGCAAAGTGGTGAGAGAAAAGAGCTAGTTAGAACACACTGCAGAAACTATAAAGAAAAGTTCCAGAGAAAAAGATAAGTCATTTATTAAAAAAATAATGTTACTTGTCATCAGCTCCTAGTGTAGCTTCCCAGGCTGAAGTCAAGTAGGAATCTATTTCTTCTCCCTTCTTTTTAGGATCCCACTTTTCTGATAATATATTTTAGCATCCATAAAACATTTAATATTATTTATCATTTATTTATCATTTAATGTCACAGTGAGAGAATCAGGTTAAGTTTCATGAAAACAATAAAAAAGAACAGAAAATCTAATGTTGTTTTAGAAAACAAAAATATAAGAAGGCACATACGAGTGAGTACACAGATTTTATTCTCATGAGCAATGGCGAGGACATCATTTGTAGGTGAGAGGGAAATTAGACAAGACTGAAGCCATTTCTGATGATGTCCAGCACTGACTTCTTGGCTCTCAGTATCCTCTGTGGCGTCTTGTTCTTCAAATCCCCAATCCTGGTCCCAATTGTCTGTAGCAATTATTAAGAATAATTGGGTTAAGCTATTCCAGTTTTTGATTATGTTACAAAAATGGAATCTTCTTAAAAAAGGGATGTTAGATTACTGGTTGTTAACTAAATACATATATGACTTGCTATTGTCAATGCTAAACTTAATACCCTGATAATAACACGCCTATTTTCAGAAGAGTATATTGTCAGATATTGGTAATACCTCAAAAAAAAATTTCTCTTAAAAAATTAGAAAAAAACAACAACCGACAATCAATTATTTGAAAACATGATAAACTTTCATGTGATGACACAATTAATGCATGATGTATTTATCCTAACTGAATTAAGCCTAATAAAGTTTCTTTTATTTTCAACTTGGGGTTATTTTTTTGGTTTTAGGCCTACAGATATTCAAAAGTATACTTTACTGTGACTTTCTTTACATTGCCAAACTATGAATAATGGCAAAAAATTAAATTCTGAATTTTAAATGACAACCACAGCTTCAAAACTAACCCACAGTATCAGTCATAGCATTGTAGCCATTTAAAAACAAACACATTGGATTTTGGTAAAAGTAAACAACATTCATGTAATTAATCTTGTTAATTAAATTATCTCATATATATATAGGGCCTAGGCCTATATATAGGCTATTAATTTTGGAACGGTTTGGCATTTTTGCCAGATGGTTGGCCGTTTTTAGCGGCAGTTCAATTTTTCCTGAGAGTGCTCCACAAGAAATGAGTGTAATAATTATAACTACAAATTTCACATTTTAAGGCATAGTATCCATTTCCTTAGCGACTCGCTTTAAAATTATGATGAGATTTTGTGAGATTAGCATTTTTTTTTATTTGTCGTATATAGATATAGCCACTTATGATTTATAGGACCCCTAAAATAAACGTAAAATAATTTTAAAAAACCCGAAGCAAAACATTTCAGGGTCAGATTCTGATTTCCGGTTTCGGTAATGAGGATGGTCTAGACTCTAGCTACACTAGCTACTACTAGCTAGGCCTACTATTTATTAAATAATTACGCCTATTAGGCCTAATTACTAATTAGTTAGGCCTATTATTAGAGATTATTTTATTTATTAGGTCAGGTCATTGAAAAAAAATGATTCATTGTGTTTTGCATCTTTTGCCGGCCAAATAGCGCTTGGTGGAAAAACCTTTTACGGTGTAGCCACAATGTATTATCTAAGTAGGCATTTTTGAGTCCCTCAGTTGCTTACCATTTGTTTCATCTTTGTCTTTGATTGGTGTCCCTTCTTTCGACAACGTAGGAAAAAAATAACGCCGTACAGAAGCTATGTCATGAAATTTAGACAATGCAGATAGTTGGCAAGACATAATATTAGTTTATTAGCCTTTTTATTTTAAAGTATTGATCAAATAAACATAATCTGACATTAGAAAAAACACATCTGCTTTAGTCCTACTAATATCTAGATGTAGTACTAGTAGAAAAAGGAAAACAAATGTCAACCATCTTTGATGTTTAGGTCAAGTCAACCTACACTATACAAATCATTCGTATTTTTACAACTTGGAAAATTAAATTATTAGAAGAAATTAAAGCGAGAGTGATCTCCCGTAAACTTTCTCGAATATACTTATAAAATAGTAGGCCTACTTATATATAAAACATCGGGGGATAACAACTCGGGAAATTGACTTGATTTTTAATCAGTTTTTAATTACTAAAACTTTAAAAAAAAAGGATAGAATCTCGTAGAAAAAACAAGTTCATAAAAAGTCTATTGACAATTTAAGCGCAATTTCCTTAATTAATTTTTTGTGACCGAACGAAAGGATATTTTTGAAAACTTTCTTCGGCAATATTGTTCTAAATTATGGCAGGAATCGATTGGTAAATGTTTCAAGTCGCTAAGTGGTCTGGTTGCCGAGATATGGGCAAAAAACTGCATTTTTCGAGGTTTTTTGGCTTTTCCGGGAAATCCAGGAAGGAATTCCGGGAATTTTTTGGGCCCACAATCATTCTCGGAACTTGCTAAACATATTTGCTTTTGGAACTAGTCCTCGATATTGCTTCGTTGAGGAGGAGATACGACTTAAAGCTGCGGACACACATCGGACACACATCCATCCAGAACGAATTAATAATCGCAATTGTCCGTATGGAAATTGCGCTAATAATCGCAATTGTCAGTATGGAAATTGCGCTAAAAAGAGTAGCGCACCAACTGAAATATTTCTGTTTCTTATCCAGAGTTTCTTCCCGGCATCTTATAAATGAAACAAGTTAATTAAAAAAGTCTAGTGACATTTATGCGCAATTTCCTTATGTTATCTAAAAATAGCTCTGACGTATACTGCTGGGGTGCGTTCAAGCTAGAAGAACGATCGGTTTGTAGGTGTTTATGTAATTTTAAAATTTGTGACCGAACGAGAGGATATTTTTGAAAACTTTCTTCGGCAATATTGTTCTAAATTATGCCAGGAATCGATTGGTACATGTTTCAAGTTGCTAAGTTGTCTGGTTGCCGAGATATGGGCAAAAAACTGAATGTTTTCGAGGTTTTTTGGCTTTTCAGGGAAATACATGAAAGAAACCCGGAATTTTTATGGCCTATGCTCATTCTCGTAACTTGCTTAACATAATTGCTTTTGGAACTAGTCATCGATATTGCTTCGTTGAGGAGGAGATACGACTTAAAGCCCGGACACACATTCATCCATACATTCATTCATTCATCCATCCATTCCCAGAAATGACGAGTTAATAAACGCAATTCTCCAGAATGGAAATTGCGCTAAAAAGTTAAGTGGCCCCCCCCCCCCCCCACGAACGAACGAAATAGAAATTATATAGAAAATATATACAGGTATCGGTGTACGTGTAGGTATAGGTGTAGATGTAGGTGCAGTTGTAGGAGTAGTTAAGCAAACCACCAAGAAATCTAAGTTAATTTTAAAATAAGTTATCTCTGCTTTGAATTTAAAGTAAATAGTTTATTAAGCAAATTACGGTCAAAGGGAAATAAACATAGAAATATTTCACTTTGTAGTTTAGCCAAAGTTACCTCGCTTAAAAAAAGTTTTGTTTAGATAAATTGAAATTAAAAGTAATAAATACAAATATCTCTATTTATAATTATGCATTTAACAAAAACAGAATTTATCTACACTTAATTGAATACTCTTCAATACGAACAAGCATGTGTTTAATTTAATAAATGAAACTTAAAAAAAAACATACTTAAGCGAGACAACCTTTACCAAACTACATGGTGAATAATTTTCATGTTTGTTTCCCTTTGACCGTATATTTATTACAATTTTTTTGAAACTTCAAAAAGCAGTGACCGATAACAAAGAAACTAGAAATATACAATTATGTTCCATAGACGCATTAAAAGTAGTTTCACAAAGATTTACATAAAAAATATTTCAAATATTATCCCAAATTTAAGTCATTGTTAAATTTTTAAAACTAAGATTTTTTTCGAAGAAAGGGATCATCTATAAAAGACATCACGCTATTTTTTAATTTCAACCTCTTTGTACCGTCGCACATCGAAACATAAAAGCTACACCACTTCCACTAAATTGACGATACCCCTCAGCCTATACCCCCCCCCCCTCCAGATAAAAGAACAGTTATTGATAAATAAATTATACTCTACTAAACTGATTACGTTTTTGTAATTAGGAGTCTAGATCTATATAAAAAAGGATTTAAGAAAAATGAAGCAAATAAATGGTCAAAGGGGAATAAATATGAAAACATTTGAATATGTAGTATAGCCGAGTTTTTACCTCGCTTAAATATTTTCTTGTGATTTTGAAATTGATATTATTAAATAAACATATTACTATTTATTAGTATAGATTTAACAAAGATAAATGACTATCGCTCCAATACGTTTAAAATCTAGAGTTTAGTTACATTTAGAAGCAGATTAGTGGTACTGATTTCCTCTTTGTTTCCCTGCTGGGCCCTGAGGGTAATACATTACATAAGAGATGATATCTCTGGTTGGCTGAGATCTAAGAGCAGCAATCCATGTTACCTACAAGGAGAGGAAGTTTTATGATGGGTTTGAAAGAAATGGGGGCTGGGTATCAGATATCATGGAGGAAGAGACGTAGCGAGGGGGGGGGGGGGGTGCGGACCGCACCGGGTGACACCATTTAGGGGGTGACACCAAGGCGAAAAAATAGCAAAATATATAGAGAAAAACTTGAGGGGGTGCAATTCGAAAGTTTGAGGGGGCGGGGGGTGCAAATCGAATCGAAAGTTTGAGGGGGGGGGGTGCAAATCGAAAATTTGAAAGTTTGTCCCCGGGAAGGGTCGCTACGCCTCTGGTGGGTGACACCATTAAGTACCACACCGGGTGACACCCGACCTCGCTACGCCACTGCATATATGGAGGTGAGAAATTTTGAGGGGGAGGGCAGTGGTACTGATTCCTCTTTGTTCTCCACCTTGCTGGACCATGTGATGGTCATAAATTACATACCATACCATCTCTGCAGGGCTGAGATTTAAGAACAGTAATCTATGTTACCTACAAAAAAAATAAAGCTTTATGGTGGGTTAGAAACAGGTGGGGCTGGATATTTTGTAGGTAAGAAATTTTGAGGGGGAAGCATCGGCATGTGTCTGATTACTTCCATGCTGGACCACGAGGGGCATAAATTACCTAACATGCTACCCAGATTAGTTGCAGAGCTTCTTCAAGACATCTCTTCGGCTCTGCCCCCCCCCCCCCCTCCAAACGAGATGGAATTTATATAGTAAACATATACTTATACTAGTGTCCGCCGCCCCCCCCCCCCCCCCCGGAGAAAAAGTCTAGAAGAAACACTGATTGGTTGAGATCTAAGCAGGGGCGTAGCGAGGGGGTGGGTGGGCGGGGGGTGCGGACCGCACCGGGTGACACCATTTAGGGGGGTGATACCAAGGCAAAAAATAGCAAGATATATAGAGAAAAACTTGAGGGGGGGGGTGCAAATCGAAAGTTTGAGGGGGGGGGGGTGCAAATCGAAAGTTTGAGGAAGGGGGGTGCAAATCGAAAATTTGAAAGTTCGTCCCCGTGAAGGGTCGCTACGCCTCTAGGGGGGTGACACCATTAAGTGCCGCACCGGGTGACACCCGACCTCGCTACGCCACTGGATCTAAGGACATCAGTGGTTGTTACCTTAGAACTAGATTATTGGGGTTTTTGTAGAGGTTAAGTCTGTCGCAAAAGATGTAACATATGTCAATGAATTTTCATTTAAAGGAAAATATGTCTAGTGCAGTTTACGAAACTTACGACCGTCGCCGATGCTTTTTTCTGGTTGCGCATTTTTCTGTTTGCGCTTTTTTCTGGGAACCGAAAATGTTAAATTTTTTAAATACTCCTTCCCTGTTGGTGTTACTTTCGCTCGCGCTTAGTAAACTCTCATTGAAAGTAGATTCTAATTAATTATTAATTTCAGTTTCGTCGGAAAGTGACACTCATTCATTTTTAAAATTAGTTTTAAGATTTAGCTCTAGATTGTAACCGAAAGTAGATCTAAGTACTCTACTAGAATTACTAGATCAAGTAGTATCTAGATCTAGCTAAAAATAAAGAGATCTAAATAATTTAAAATCATCGTTCTAATGACTTAGGCTAGGCTATCTAAATCTATTTTCAAACTATTTTGAAGCATTTTCCAAGTCAAAGTTTAAAATTTTGAGTAGAATAAAAAAAACACCTAGATTATATCTAGATCTAGAGTCTAGACTTCTTTAATGATAATGTGTTTTATTTTGTTATAGAATCTACTTATTGCTTTCTTTATTATTTCTTTTTAAATTCCAAGGAGTAGGATATTTCATTGTCATGGTAATGTATTTAGATTTAGTGACCTCCTTTGCTTAACCGGAAGCCGCCGTTGTTCAGCAAGCTAAACAAAAGAAAAAAGAAGTAAAAAAGTGATGCCAAATGTAGGGAACTTTTGATGACTCATACATTTAATCTGATGCATCTGATTACTGAAAGCAACACAGACAGGGCAGGTATGTAGCATGCGTTCAAATAATAGTGGTTTAGGTTGCGTAATGAATTCTACTAATTAACAGTATTATTGAAATTACGTTTCATTTATTTTATTTATAAAAAACTAAACTTAGGCCTACGGCTTACACAGTTACACAGTTTAAATTTGAATTGAGATCTAAGGTCTAAGAATCTAGATCTAGATCTAGAATCTAGATCTAGATCTAGAATCTAGATCTAATCTAACTAATCAATCTAGATCTAGATCTAGATTAGATCTAGTTCTAGTCTAGATGCCAGACCAGTAGAACTGAGTCAGTCTGAGTAAGATCTAGATCTAGATCTATATACTATATACTATAGATCTAAATTAAAATTATACTTCATAGATCTTGATCTATAATATTAATAATATTTAAATATTAGTCTAGATCTATATAACCTTGGGGCCTATATAAAAAAAAAGTATGTTATATTTATGATATAGAATATAGCATAAGCCTAGAAAAGCCTATACTATACAATATACTCACAAGTAATTATTTTTAAGTCATAGACTCAATCTAGAATTCTAAATTCTTAACTAATAACATAGTATTTTTATAATAGTACAAGAAAGTCTGACACATACTGTCACTGGCTCCTTAAAACTAACGTATGCACCATAGCGCTCATGGAATAACCAAGGGCACCAAATAACACTCTGCCGGGGCACCAGCAGATATGCCTGATTCAATTTATTGAATGACTATAATGCCCCATCTTATGCATAGTCTTTTGTACTGTTTAAAATGAACATAGGCGCCATAGCGCTCACTGGATAGCCAGAGGCGCTAAATAGCATCCATTTTATCCATAGTCTATTGCACTGTATCCACTTTAGATAAACCACTGCACCCATGATGTGGATGTCCACAAAAATGTAACATCTCTCTAAAAACCCACTTCCATATAGGCCTAGTTAAATAGCATGTGTTGTGTATGTATAGCTTGCAATGTGCTGATTAAAGTATATGTTTTAAAAGTAGTTTTTTAAATATGATACACACTTGTTTTATTTTATTTGTAACAATCTTTTACCATATTAGATTACGGATGAATGGTATTAAACTTGTTGAATCTTTAAAAGTCTTATCTCTGCAAAGTACACTTCATTAATGTCTTTCTGACTAGATCCCAGTCTTTAAGAATCATTATTTATAGTGTAAGGGCTAACATGTAAATCGGGGTTAGGTTCATAGTGTAAAGGCTAACCTGAGAATTGGGGTTAGGCTCATAGTGTAAGGGTTAACATTAGGATTGGGGTTATGCTCATCGTGTAAAGGTTAACATCATAGTATAAGAGTGGCCACATAGTACCATAAAGCCTTAAGATTATATCAGACTGTGGTACAATTGTAAATACTTGACCAAATTAAAAAATCAGTATTGGTGAACAGTTATTTAAAACACCAACTACTGTAAAAATGAAATAATTAAGCTCAGTTTTAAATAAAAGGTTAGGCTTTGTTAGGACACTTTGGTAGAATTCACATTGCAATAAAAAATAGGTTGTGTGTAATATATACAATCCCCCCATTCATCACCTGTACAGAGCTTGACTGATGACTTAAAGCCTGAATGAGCTGAAGAAGAACTGAGTGACAAGTATGGAGAGAACTACCCTTGAAAGTGAGGAGCATCACACTGAACTTTTAGAAGAGCTCAAAGCCATGTTTGAAGAAGGGCTTTTGGTTGATGTGACCATGTGTATCCAAGATTGCAGAATTCCTTGCCACAAGGCAGTCCTTGCAGCAGCCAGTCCATACTTTAGGGCCATGTTCACCACTGACTTGCATGAGTCCAGGCAACAAGAGGTATGTGTCACTGTCTCATACGTCATGTTACAATCATGTAGAACAGGCCTATTGTGTAGGCAATACATGACAGCCATGTTCACTTCACTAACTTGCATGAGTCCAGGCAACAAGAGGTATGTACCACTGTCTCATACTTCATGTTCCAATCATGTAGAACAGGCCTATGGTGTAGGCAATACATGACAGCCATGTTCACTTCACTGACTTGCATGAGTTCAGGCAACAAGAGGTATGTGTCACTGTCTCATACTTCATGTTCCAATCATGTGGAACAGGCAATACATGAAAGCTATGTTTTTTAGAATGATGCTTTGTATGATATCAGATTAAATACAAGAACATTACATCCAATTTAAGAATTTTAAAAATTTATTTATTTCACGAAAATTTACCAGCAATATTTTGCTATTCTTTTGAAGTACTTTTTACTGTGCACTTTTCTATCATAATGATTATGTGACCCATACTACCAGGTATTATAGAACATCCCTTTAGCTTTTATGCAGGTCCTATGAAATGTATTTGTAATACTTACTGTTATTAAAAATGTTTTCAAGAAATATAATTAATTTATAAAATTAAAAACTGTATCCATTTTATAAATTTTATTAAATATTTGTTATATGTATCTTAATTGTCTCAAGTGTTTTAAAATAATTCTTTTTTGAAATGAAATTAATTGTTTTAATATGTCCCATTAGGTTTGGCTGCGTGAAACAGATCCTGATGCTGTACGCCTGTTGATTGGATATGCCTACTCAGGCAAACTGGAAATCACATCAGCCAACGCCCAGAGTCTTCTGACGACAGCATCATTGCTGCAGATGTCTACTGTCCAGAAAGCTTGTGCTAAATTCATGGAGTCTCAGCTAGATGAAGCAAACTGTGTTGGCATTCAGTGCTTTGCCTCAGTGCACAACTGTGAAGAGCTGTACACTAAAGCCAAGGAGTTTATAGAAAAAAATTTCACCATTGTTTGCAGGACTGAAGAGTTTTTAGACCTGCCTCTGGACAAGGTTGTGGACATTGTCTCCTCGGATGAGCTGAATGTGGAGAAGGAAGAGATAGTGTATGAAGCTATTGTGACCTGGGTCAGCCATGACATGAAGAACAGGCGGCAGCATCTGGGTGAGCTCATGCTTCACCTCAGGTTCCCATTAGTTGGGGTCAAATTCCTTACAGACGTTGTCTACCAGAACCCTGTGCTGATTGAAAGTGAGAAAGGTCGGGTTCTTATTCGCAACATCAGAATGTTTCTTGAAAACCCAGAGAAGGTCTATAGTGCCAGCAACACTAAAGATCCATTTCCCCTACGGTCTGGTATGATCCAGCCTGAACACTGTATTTTGTTGGTTGGTGGAATTGACCAAAACAAACCCTCAGCCATCAATTGCTACAATCCATTGACTAGAGAGGCATTCTTTATGGCAACATTCCCAGAGTGTGAGGATAAGGCTAGGTACTACTGTGTGGAGGACCCAGCTGTCATTGTCACAGAGGACAACACTGTTTATGCTGCTGGAGGGAACTACATCTACCATGCCAACTACGGGGAGTCACCATCTGATGAAGACTCTGTTTCCTTTGATGATTTTGAAGATGAGGAGTCTGTGAGGAAAGATGTTTACATGTATGACAATGACCACAACAAGTGGATACAGAAGGCCCCCATGTTGTTTCCTAAATCTAATTTTACCCTGGCTTCAGTAGACAATAAAATCTACAGTTTTGGTGGCTTGACACTGAATCAGCACCCGACTGAGATAGTAGAGACGTATGACATTGAGAAGAATCAGTGGAACTATGTGGGCATGATGCCCACCACACTTGTTGATTTAAGCTCAGTGGTCTACAGAGGTGAAATTTACCTCCTAGGGGGCCGGACAGGTGTCGGAGCTCATAACATTGTTATGAAATTTGACCCACGTAAAAATGAATGGACCTCACTCGCTGGTATGCCCACACCAAGATTTAACTTTGGGGCTTGCGTCATTGATAACGAGATTCTAGTGGCAGGGGGGCAGATCTATTCTCATTCCACAAACACCATCCGGCGCGATGCCCTGCGCTCGTGTGAGATCTACAACGTGGAGGCCAACCAGTGGCGCCAGGGACCTGAACTGACTGAAGAAATGTACAACGTTGGCCTCATGCATGTCAATGGGTGTGTGTATGCTTTGGGAACTTCAGAGTACCAGCGATCTCCCTTTAGAATATACCGATACAATGTGGTGTGCCGTCTGGATTTGTCAAGGAAAAGGTGGGAGCAGGTAGAGTCTGATCTGTGTGATATACGGAGCTATGCCTCAGTTGCAGCCAAACTTTACACCAGGAAACTTTCTCAAGTATTCAGACCCGAAGTCGACACTTAACTTGTTCACTTCAGTATCTGTCTCTGTACCCAAGCTCCTTCGTCCCTAAAGATTGTTCAGATCTGTTAAAATTCACTTGATTCTAGAATGTTCATATTACAAAGCTAGCTTTTATTGTGATTTATTTAACATAAAATGATCTTAACTGTGACTATATTTATCATTAGCTGTTAACATTTCAAAACAAAATTAAAGGAGTTGTTCCTATTGTTGTTAACTATCTTGCATTAAAATTTCTTCTAGCATTTGTCTAAAAATACATTGGCTTAGTAATTAATGTGAAGTTGAGTGGAAAGTAAAAGAATAATTTTCTAGTTTATTTCTAATTTATCTTGTATTGCATGTGCTAAAGTAGTAATGAGCAATGTTAAATAACTGCCAGCAATGAAATTTTGTTCACGACATATATGTCAAGGGTCATCAGTCTCTCCATCTGGCAACACACTGAACCACATGCCTTGTCATATTATGCAAATTTACATTTACTACCGGGGTAGACAAAGATAAAGCAGAAAATCTATTGTAGCATTGACCAATGTAAATTAGGAACCAAATATGAGTAAGTTTTTATACATTTAGTCATGTTTTACTATCAACGTTAAAGAAAGTGGTTTTGCGTGATTCACATATTGCATGCTAGCTGTGTCAGCAAAATGCAGGTAAAAGACATTTTATGAAAAACATCACATTTTAAGCTCCTACTATCCTTTGCTGCATTTCTGCTTACATTGCTTTTTGCAATCACATTTGTTAGATGAGATCAAAGCACTAGCTTAGGTCAACAGGGTGAAGTGAGCAGTTACCATCTACCAGTGTATACATTAAACCCACATTTGTATTTAATGTACATGTCTCAATGAACAACAAAAAACTTTTCTTGGACACACTGGTTTTAAAATTTGGAGGGCAAATTTAAAACCAAAGATGTTAAGATTTTTAGTTTTAAAAAAAAGTGCAATGTTACTTAATCTTTTTTTAATCTTCAAATTTATTTATGAAATAAAAATGTATTACTATATTTGTAACTTAAGTACTGTGTTATTGGAATTTTAAAATTCTCTTTTTTTAAGTTAACTTTTATATCAAGTTGTGACTTTCAATTTATTTTCATTCATTATGCTATGAACAAGCAAGCATGGCTTTTAATGTTTTTGTATGTACAGCTTGCCATACTCATAATGCTCTCAAATATTGAAATGATTTAGTTGTTTAAATGAATTTTAAAACACAATTAACATCAGAACTGATATGTTTATAAATGCTACACTGCTTAGTTTTATAAAAAAAAATAAGATGATAAAAAATGTCAGTAACCTGTATAACACATTTATAGAGAATTTTTCAAAATTTTGTTATACAAATCTAGCTGTTTAGTCCTTTTTACTAACACATTTCTAGGTAGGTTATATTACAAAAAGTAATAATTTTATAATTTGATACAGATATTACATTCTCAATATTTATTATCAAACTAGTAATATTGAAAGTATTTTATGTCATTTATTTCGAGGCTTTTATTTCGTCATCAGGTTGATCTCTGTCTGTGATTAAAAGAAAATTGTGGATAGAAAATGATTGTATTTAAAGCTCAGTTAAAAATTGATATCTTTGTTTTTTATTATTTACACTTAATTCTTGCTTTATCCTTTGTAAATGATTTAATAATGTGTTAATAATAGAAAGATTTTTACCATTGCTGTATGATTTAACATTTGCTGTTTGAGTTCTTGAAATATTTTCATCAAACAATTTATAAAATTAGCAAGTAATTTTTATCAGACACTTAACTGACTTGATTTATGTTAAAAAACTACATTTCCACCTACATTATGAACTTTTTTATTTGTACTTCTGATCAAGAAGTTAATTTGTACGTAATGTAAAATAAAATTCTAAGACCATATATTAGAAATTTTTAAATGATTTTTAAAAAATCAGGTATAATAAGTATTAAATTGGATCATAATTCATTTTTATAGTAAAGTATTATACACACTTTTCTTGAGAATTTTTTCATGTTTTCAACTCATCATATAAAGATAATTTTTATAAAACAATTTTTTTTTCTAGTTAAGTAGTAAATGTACTTTTCATATTCTCATTTTATCAGCTTGGATGTTTTCCTATTAAGGAAGCTGTTATATTATTAGCCAAGTTTAACATTAAGATTTATATGTGTTTATTTGAAAAAAAAATGTGTCAACTTTATCTAGAAACCATTTAATTTATTATTATTTATTCAGTCCCAAAAAGCAATGCTGTTATATCTGTGATAAGTAGTTTAAGACTTACATACAGATTTATAATACTTTTAATTACATTTTTGTATACTTTGTGATTGATCGTACAGACTAATTTCAAACTAACATTGTAACATATCTAAAATATTTGCATTACGCCTCTGGTTTACTTTGATTGTTTTTAAGTTACACATATTCATCATGTAGGCCTACATATCTATGTAGGCTATGTATGTATATGTTTAGTATATGAAGCGCAGTGCTGCTTTCTCATGGATTATAGCAAAACAGTATTTTGGTAGTTTCTTTGACTTAATTGTTGACACATTTGCTTTATCTGCAGCTACTGTAGATTAATGGAGTCGGTGAAAGGTATTCATGAATGAAAATTACTTCTCTCCTTTCTGACCATGTCCATTCCAACACTGTGTGCTCTACTCTACTGCACTCAGTTTATCTCACATACCACTTACATACATTTTCTTCCCTGACATTTGAAGATTGTAATTATCACTACATTTTTTTTGCTGTGGTAAAAATATGTTATAGAGTTTGTTATTAAATAAATTTTGAAATTTTTTTCATATTGCATTGAAATTTTTTTCATAATTAAACAGTTGTAAGTGAAATTTTTTTAAAGAAAAAAACTATACTTTTAAAAATTGGAAGATTTGTGCCTTTTAAGTTCTTTGTTTTTTAAACTATTTACTAAACATGGTATTGAATTACCTAATATTAAATAAGTTCATTAAGCCTGGTGTGAAACCATGATGTCAATAGCTTTTGATGTTAACTTTTAGTCCCAGCATATTTTCTTACATTGTGTATTGTCAACACTTGTACTAATGTTAATTTATTACAAATTACTTTTTGCTTCTAAAAGAATTTTTATAGTAAGATTAAACTAATTTATTGCCCTAGTTTTTGTGGAGATTTGTGCTAATGATTATCAGTTTTGAGTTAGCAGTAAGAAAATGTTTGCAGACCCTTGTTGAACACAATTTCAGTGTTTCCTTTTTCATATTTGATTGGTTTGCTAGATCTTGGTTGCTGTGATAACACTGACTTCAGATTTTTAGATTACTTATTTTTATGAATATAATTTTTAAGAATAATTTTATATGAAAATAAGTAAATATATTAAATATTGCAAGTTGATTTGTATTTTTTCTTGTGATTATCATTCTTTAAAGAATGTTCACAATTGTTTTTCATAGAGCTTTAACATGAGCTTTTTCTCTTATAGATTTTGTGCCTTTTGGCTAAGAATGGATGTTTCATCAGTTGTTTTGTAGAGTTACCGTCCTTTGTAAGCATGCTATTTTTAGAGTAGACAGTTTTTTTGCATTTCCATGTTTTGTCAAGTGTCAACTCTAAATGCAATTTTTGAAAAATATTCTTGCACAAGATTTCTTTTATTTTAGAGAAAGCTGAAATGTATTATTATAAGTAAATCAACACTATATATATTTTTCTCTAAAAACCTAAAAGAAACCTAAGTGATCAAAATTTTAATTTGCTCATAATCCTTTTAAAATAACTTTTTAAAGGAGTACCCCTATGTTAATTTCATGTATAAGTATAAGTTTTTAAAAAAGTTTTTCAATTTCTTTTTTGTACAAAAATTATTGATTCCTTATTTCTATCAGCTGTTACTGGTAAATAAAAATACCAAATGCATTAGCAATATTTTTGAAGTGAGGATAGAAAGTTAAGTAAATTTTATGGCATTTAATTAGTAAATGAAAATCATTCCTTAACCTGATTACAAACTGATGTCCATTCCAACACACTTAATTTTTAGCTTTTTAATTCTTTGCTGGCCTTACTGTTTTGTACTTACAACTGTTTAGTGTCATTCTGTAGAAGTATCAAGATGATTGAACATTTTTTGACATTCCTGTGAACTGAGAAACCAGCTGGGAATAAATGGGCCCCCTAGAATGATACCTTTCTAATTAATGCATTTTTTTATAGTTCATACAAGCCTTGATATTGTTTTCTAGCCTTATCCTTTAGGCATACAAATACTCAAAAAATAGAAAATGTTAAATCAATTTATATTAATAATCAAATATACATTATCATATTACTAATAAGTGAATTTTAAGTGGGCGTATTTAAAAAAAGCATAAAAAAAGATAACTGACACAGCCGCATTTCAAGATTGAAGTTGGATTATCTGCTGCAAGTTAATCCACACTAAGAGGTTTACGCAAACATTTTTGTGTGGTTTGTGTGATGCTTAAAAATGGAGGCGTAGCAAGGTTTGCTGTTGCTTACAAATGTGTCTTTTCAACGGTCAGTTAGGGGGTATTTGATGAACAATATTATTCTGTTTTATACCTCTTAGCCCCTCTCTCCTGTTGTCATAGAGGATTCAGATCCAAAATGGTATCACAGCAGCAACTCGCTTTCTAGGATTGATAGGAATACAAAAATTGACATTTTATATAATTTTTTTTGAGAAATGCAAAATTCATGCAATATCACATTTTTTAAGCCCCTATATTGTCTCCCCTTGTGAAGCCTTTATTGATGACTCATAGACTGAAACTCATATTACAAGAGAAAACATGTTCTTTTAGATGTAGCTAGCAGGTACACAGAGTATAGTCATGTTTTTTGCACGTCTAATATAGCATCAATGTTTGTGTAGTTCTGTTGATAAAAAAAACTGTATTAGCCTAAATTAGGCTCCATGTTTTGATTGCATTTGTGACCCACTGGTTGATTACAACACCAGAACTAGAAGCTTGTTTTAGCTTTTACCTTGGACCAATCCATACAATGTATGCACCATGTTTTTCTCTCTTTGTGTTTCATCCAATCACAGCGCATGAAACGTGTGTAAATATCTGCCTTGGATTTAATGCAGCAATGTCACTCTCTGTCAAAGTGCTATTAAAAGCATTACCTTGTGTTTAAATGGCTAGCTTTAATTTTTTTTTTTGAAACACACTGAAGTATTTGAAAATGAAAATGCATCTAATACACACAATTCACACTTAAAAACTATTCTGAGAATGTGACTGGATAATTAATAGTGGGCATTTAAAATGAATTTCAAAGAATTTTTTAAAAATATGTAGTCTTTCTTATTTATAAATTTCATTACTATTTTTTCTACTTGCCTTAGATTGTTTTGGCTAAGAAAATCTGAGTATACAATAAGCCTAAAACCAGGTTAAGTTTGTATTTTTCAAAATTTTTTTTTTACCTCAGATTTTGGCTATTAAAACATTAAACTCAACAGATTCTAAATAGTTAGTGAATCTTAAAATGCTGGACATTACCTATCATCAAGATACTATTAACAACAGCAGCTCCTGTATGTCAGGTGTTTTAGTGGAGTATGGCACTGATCTTTCCTGGACTCTTTGACATCTAGGTAGATGTTTCACTATCTGTATCTGTTGTTATTTAAATATCATGCACTGTTATAGAAATTGACACATTTTAGATATCAAAATTATTTTAGGATGAACACCTTAGTTAGAGTAATGTAATTATATCAAGGCATGCCTAAAAAAATTTAGTCTTTTTTTTTAAAAAAAAAAAAGCTAGTTATACTGAATTGTTAGAAAGAGGTGATAAATGAATGATTGAATGGAGTGAATTTTTTAGTATTATTTTTTTTTTAAATTGTAAAATTGGTGATTAAACTACTACATTCACAAAAGTTTTCACTTTCTTATTCAATTCAGACTTATTTAC